CAGCATCAGCTGACCGGCAATCAAATGATATGCGTCATAACATACCGTGACACATACCAACAGTATTCTCACCTTTTTATGCCTCTCTCTCTCTCTCTCTCTCTCTCTCTCTCTCTCTCTCTCTCTCTCTCTCTCCTCTCTCTCTCTCTCTCTCTCTCTCTCTCTCTCTCTCTCTCTCTCTCTCTCTCTCTCTCTCTCTCTCTCTCTCTCTCTCTCTCTCTCTCTCTCTCTCTCTCTCTCTCTCTCTCTCTCTCTCTCTCTCTCTCTCTCTCTCTCTCTCTCTCTCTCTCTCTCTCTCTCTCTCTCTCTCTCTCTCTCTCTCTCTCTCTCTCTCTCTCTCTCTCTCTGTCGCACATTTTCATTTCCTGTATTCTAGCAATATTCTTCTCTCTTTTACTCTCTATCGCTTGCTCACTCGCATTCGCTGCTCTTTGCTTCTTCAGCGCGCTCGTAACACCTCTGCAGCTGGATTCTGTAACTCGTTATTGGAGTTAACGACACTTTCGTTATTGTTGCGCAGTTTTTGTATACAGTAGAAAAGCTGCGCAACGATAACGAAAGTGTCGTTAACTCCAATTACGAGTTATAGAATCCAGGACCTGGTGTCGGAAAAACGAGATACACAAATCCCATCTCCTCTGCGATTTAGCGTTTCTTACTTTCTTACTGAATCGAAATTTTCCGTGATTCGGACTTTATCTTAAAATATATACACTTGGAGACAACGTATACGAAAAACACTAGGACACTTTTCTTCCCATTTTTTAAGGCCCAATCGATTGGGGGACTGAAAAAACCTCGATCGGTTTAGCCATTGCTGAGATATGAATATCTCACCTCGTTTCAACTCGCAGTTTCGCGTAATATAGGCACGGTGTGCCTCTTGATATTAAATTTCCAGACGGTATTTTATCATTTTTGCTAACTCAGATTTCAGATTTCAAGAGGTATCCTGGTAATTATCGAAGTCGCAATTATCCGCTCGAAGAGATCCGAGTAGCTCGCACCGGATGTCCTCTGGAAATGCCAGGGAAGTAATTAGCGAGGTACATGCGATCTCGTTAATTTGGAAAGAGTTGCTTGAGAATTTCCAACGAATTTCATTTTTCTTCCATGAATACGAGGAATATTCATATCTCATCGAGAAGTAGAAGAATCGTGCGAAGAGAGCGGTGTTTTAATATCGCGGATGCAATTGTGCGATACAATGTTACGAATGGCCCGACAAAAGGTAAGAGCAATCTCCCAGGCAGCACAGACTTGTAAGGGATGTCCAAGAGGCGTTTTATTTTCCTTAGCCATCTCTTAGACGCGTCCTCAAGGTATCCTTTGGAAGTCTCGGCGCTGTCTGGCGGGCACGAACGACACGCTCCTCTTTTCAAAGAGGATCCGCGCACAGGTTACCGGCGCGAGATACGTCCGGTGAAAAGCCGCGTAACACCAATAACGTCTTTTAATCAGGGGACGTTTGCGTGTAATTAAAGGGGAGGGAGATAATTCTCCCCTTTTCTTCGGCGCAAACATTCGCGGAAATGGTCCCGGCAGGGAGACATCCACGCTCATTGTTCCGCGTTTTATCGTCTATCGCGCTTTCGCGCGGGTTTCATTTTGCCGCGCCGCGCCGGCGAGACGTCTCACCGCGCTTTCCTTTCTCGAACAAGGAGATTCAGGCGGCCGCGGTGACACGCTTTTGCGGTCCGGACGACAAACGACCGCGCGACTCCTCACGTTTGGCGGCCCGGCCGGGTCGGATAACTCTCTCCGCCGGGGTTGCTCTCTTTTTCCCTCAGTTATGTTAAATCGTCCGCGGTGGAAGAGCGGATAAGGCGGCGACGCGAGGAGACGCGCTAAATCTCGTCCACGATTGCTTCGTATCGGAGACACGACGGCGCGATATCTCGGCGCGCGGCGGTCTCTCCCGTGGGTGAGAGATATTTCAGGAGAGAAAGGATAATAATGTCATTAGCGTTAGCGCGCTTGACGTATAGACGGAGTAACGGCGTACTAAGAATAAAAAAGGCCGGCGGGCTGCTGATGAATAATTTCTTGCTGCGGCGAGAGGATGCTGCTGGGGAGAGATCGATTCATGACAGGCGCGGTGCGCACTCGAATTTCTCTTTCAGACGCGGTGAGTTATTAATGAAGCGGCTGAGAAGCGCGAAAATATTTTCAGGCGTGTGATCCTGCCGTAATTGTCCCTCGTGCCATTTTTACGGGTGAGTCCTGTCGCCGTGTTTGCGCGCTGCAATCGCGAAAACCAACCGACCGAGAGTTCCTTCTTCGTTTGACTTTAAACGCAGCAGCTTTCCCGCGCTTTCTCTCTCTCTCTCCCCCCCCCCCACTCTCTCTCTCTCTCTCTGTTCACTTCTTCGATCAGCGTATATTATTTTTTTCTAATTCAACTTGAGACTTCTCGCAGCAAGAGAAACGGAGCGAGCGAACAATAGCGAGGAACAACGAGAAAGATTGATCGCCACGGATCCTTCATGTCGCGTCCGTTCAGGACAATGTATAGGATTTTCAACAGCGCAATTTGGCATATGAGGTGATATTTCTTATTGAAGAGCGGGATAGCGTTTTCTCGGTGAAAGGTCAAGGAAGAAAAGGCGGCCGGCTGGGAGAGTAAAAACTATCTTTTTTATTTCAAGGATGCGAGTAACAAAATCTCAATTTTCCATCTTATACAAGCTTTATGTGCGTGCCGTGCATTTATGTAGCTTTCCTATCGGAAGCTATTTCGCAGTAAAATTTCAGGATGGAAAAATGCGAGTCATGTGAGAAAAAATGTGATTCCGAGAGAAAGAAAGGAACCTTATCAGAGGAAACATCATTTTGATTTTCAATAAGAGAAATATCAGCGTGTTGAAATGTGTTCGCTACCGCGCGAGAGAAAACGTCCTGCATAAAAGGATATATTTAATATGGCGCGGTGCATGTAAGCTCTCTCTCTCTCTCCCTCTCTCTCATGTTGCGTGCGACACGCACCTTGCTTAAAGCTACAAACTGACGTACATCTAATAAATATTCTCTTCGCTCAGCGCCGGACACACACACACACACACACACACACGCACGCACGCACGCACGCACGCACGCACGCACGCACACACGCACACGCACACACACACACACATAGGTGCGCTCTTTAAATTTAAAAATATAAGCGCTTTATTTTTTACCGCGTGCAGCGCGCGACTGTGCTCGGTTCACGTTTCGCAACGTGGCAAAGCGTGAACAATATGAACACCAATAACAAGTTTAATTAGCCATTAACGATCGAGGGTACGTGTGAAAAAGTTCACCGGCGGCGATGTAATCGTGCCAACGGCGGCGAGCACGTGTGTATCGCGAGGCCGAGCCGTAGAAAGGCGAAAGCTGCACAAGCAAGATAATACGTCGTGCGCGCGATCGTATCTTTCTGCGAGCGTCGGGGACGATAGTGGCGGCAACTGGGACAGCCAGGACTTCTAAAAGGAGACGTATTAACGAGATCGCGCGTATCGACGCGGGACCCTTGACGTTTCTCACGCCAGATGCGAATCGAATCAAATGCGTTTTCGCGATATCGCCGAGAGAGAGAGCTCCATTAATGCCGCATTCGTTATGCAGTTGACAGGTCGGGCCGGGTGAGTGATATTTTTGCGCATCACGCCTATTCCCATACCTTATCGTCTGTCCATATCTATTTCTATCGGAGATTTTATTACGCGCCCGTCTCTCTCTGTCCCGTGCGCGCGCACTTCTGCATTCCATCAACGTCCACCTCGTTTCGTCGCGGATTAACATTTGAATCTGCGAAGAGCGCGGTGCAAATTCGATGTTTGGGTACATCGGATCTAGGCGCTTCGGATTCGGAATGAAAATTGTTTATTCGAATTTATTTTCAAGTTGTACAGTCCTACGAAGAGTTGAGGTTTTCATAGAAACTGTCTCTTTTAAGTTATATGAAACTTTAAAAAAGGTCGCCGATGTTATCTATGCTGTAACTTGTGAGAGAGAAAATGTGTGTGTGTGTGTGTCTGGCCGTCCCTCTTCATCTCGTTCCGCTTCACTATTGTAACCGTGCGCGTACCCCCGGTGATAAGTATCCCATCAAGGGCAACGTTACCACGCGTGGTTCACGGTGCGAAGGTGGAATCGAATCGATAGACTTTCGCTCTTCGACGCGTAAAAACATACACGTGTCGTAACGAGATCGAGATCAGCGCGAAACGATGATGACACGGATTTTTTTTTTTTTTTTTTAGGGAACATCGAGTAATTTCACGCGACCGGTTGTTAGTTGATCACGATCGGCCTCGACTGGCGACGTTAATTGCTCATTAATATGTGAACGAATTACCGGACGGGACGGATGCATTCGCGAGCGGTTGGCGTCGTGTGATATCGTCCTTGCGATTTCCATAATATTCCATAGCAGTATCGAGCGTGACCCTCACATCTTGCAGACGTTTCATGGTTTCTATGTGTTTTGCTGATTCAGTGGTTGGCAGAAATCCCGCCCTAACGCGCAAGAATTAAATTTTGCAGAGTGGCAAAGAATTGGCGTTTTGTTTTCTTATTTTAAGAGGAGTTTTGAATAAACTTTTATTTAATCAAGTTCTATCATCTTCTTAAGTTACGAGGGAAATTACGACGAAGTTTTTTACATTGTTTTATACATTGAATATAATTTTTTCTCTCTTTTTCTCTCAACTTTACTTTTCTCGCGACGAGACTGCCGATTATTACATCAAAGAGCTAATTAGAAATGTAATATGTGGATGTCAGACAATTTTTTAAATGAAATCGTTTTTCTCCTTTGCTCCTCTCTCTCTCTTCCTCTCCTTTCTCCCCTTTTCTCGTATTTTTCATTAAAATTGTTGAAGATTACAATTCCCGTTCTTTCGTGAAACTCATCAAAACCAACGGACATACTGAACCGGAGTGCAAAAATTTCGAGTACAATTCGCCTCCCCCTTTTCTCTTCTATTTCTATTTCTCAATCCATTTTTCCGTACCTGCCGATTTTCCTTATCTGTCTGAGGTCCTGTAACTGTCTCAATAAAATCAGGATTACGCTGTCCGTCCTCGAATAATTGTTACGAGGTTCAGTCAACACTGTAGATCCTTGCGATAACTTGGTCCATATAAATGTCGGTCCGGGAGTTTCCGTCTGCCGAAAGCAGAAACAAGGGGAAAACAAGTTATAAATAGCCGACATACTGGAACTTTTACGGACAGTCGAACGCCTTTGATTGATTAGCCTTGTGTTGTGCGTTTTAATGATTATATTTGTCGCCCACGTATACGTCCGTCGTTTCTAATTACACCCAACTCTGTATCGTGTAATATCGTAATGAACGGGCCGAGGAGGACCGGCCCGGTGGTGTAAAGCCGACTACCTACGTGCGAAACTTAATGTATATTGCGACATTTACGTAGATCCGGCACCGACTCGAATCGTCCTTTTAAGAAATTAAAGGAACGCAAGCGGAATTCATTTTCATTATTACCGCGCCATTTAAGAAAGAGGAATGTATACGCGTGGTATTAATCGTTCGAGATACGTACTCGAATTCAAGTATGAGATAATGTCTCAGTGTTAGATCACAAATTTTGAGGGAAACTTCGGCAAGTAAAAGCGAAGACGAGTGCTGCAGCGAGTAAAATCGCAAATGCAATTCGGACGTGATCATTTTTCAACAGGGGGATGTAATTGTACGGCCGTGCACCGATATGATCGTTGGACATTCCTCGCAACATTATATACTTTTACGACGATTGGACGATGAATCGCTTAGAAAAAGCCAGGTGAAGTCGGCTCGCCGATCAAACTATTGTTATGTTTCAGTGACTTCTGTTCGTGATACTTCGTGTACCGACAGCATGAAAGATCGATGCCCGACTAGTTCGTGAGTTGCGAGAGCCAGCGGCGAAGTTTTCTCTTCGCTCGCTTTAACTACCACCTGAGGATAGGTGGTTGCGCGTGGTCGCGGGATATCGCCAACACGTGTTGCGTCTTCTACATAATCCACAAACTCGAACGAAGGGTCGATCGCCCTCTCTGCCTTCTATCGTTCTTCGGCGAAATTAGGATACTGTCGGGAGTATTACGTTGGTCGTCGAATGGGAGAAATGTGCTCGGTTACATCAAACGCGATCATAAAAAGGGAAGAAAAAGAGAGAGAGAGAGAGAGAGAGAGAGAGAGAGAGAGAGAGAGAGAGAGAGAGAGAGAGAGAGAGAGAGAGAGAGAGAGAGAGAGGGGTGAAATAGTACAGTAAATCGTGCGCTTCCGTGCGCGTTCTTTCAGAATAAAAGTTATGTCGGTTCCTATCGTATCATCTATTCGCTCGCTCGCACGTGTGTGTACCTACGTAGGGGATGATCGAAACAATTCGGAGCCGAATGTGAACGAACGTGCCGGGATACACGCGCAAAACGCTTTTGCCGTATCATCGAGCTGTGTCAATAAAATGGAATGAGCGTTTCCGCTCCTACTTATCGAGGGCAATATATCGGAGATATGAGTGACCGGTATTATGGTCATTTGCTTACTGCCGAAATTGAAATTTGTTTCTTCCCCTCGCCTGTTCATGGCGCCTTATTTTTACCGCCGTATCATTTGCTATGTGCTTTCTTTCTTTATCTTTCCTTTTTTCTTTTTCTTTTATCAAACCGAGTCAGCTTTTCTCAAGCAAAAATATCTCCCTCGTTTTTACCAGCGAGTATCATTACATCTCGCGCTGTATGTGTTTTCTTTCCTTATCTTTCCTTTCTTTTTATTTTTGTTTTATCAAATCGATCAGCTTCGCTTAACCAAAAATATCCCCGATGGATGCTGGGATAGTTTGAATAATCATCGACTGAGAATATGTTAAAGAGATAACAAAACTACCATTTCTTCGTGTTTCTTCGATTAATTCCAAACAAATTTTAGCGACATTTTCGCGTCTACTTCGCTTTCATCCACTTTTACGACACATCGGATCTTTTCGGAACACGCGTCGAGTCTTGCATCGGTGGTAACTCGAGTGCTGTTTGATTTAACGGGGGCAGCTGAGTGACTGAGCGAGAGTCTCTCACTAAAATAGATAAGATATTTACCTGATCATCGTATACGTTTTTAGTAGCTACATTTAACCCCTCGAGAACAAATTTTCTTTTCTTCGCAGAGAGAGAAAAATGCGTTATATTTCAGTGCATTGTTTAATCTTTCGACGCTACGAAGCTCCTACGAATTTCGCATGCTGCGATTCGTTTACAAATTTATTATTTCGCAACTTATTTCTTTTATTTCTTCTATCGTTTTTTTTTTCTTTTATCGTAGCAAAATAAGCGGGTTTATTCAATCATACCATATAAGTCTAGTAAGACATCAGTGATTTGCTTTTTTTTACTTACGTTTTATTATTGCGTGTTTATTATATCGTATTTTCGAAATATCTATTTTGGACACCTATATTGATCGCTAGCCGTACCAAATTGTGCGCCCTATGGGGAGACAAATTTTTATCTCTTCATGTTTTATAAAAGCGACGCAACATCCAAGCGATGTATTATTCTTAGACAGGAGAGGACGCGAGTTATTTGTTATTTTCACTGTTGAAATTTTTGTTACATTTATTGCTGATAGAGAGAGAGAGAGAGAGAGAGAGAGAGAGAGAGAGAGAGGGGGGGGGAGGAGAGCGACGCCTGAAACTCTATGAAAAAGGTGACAATACTATTTTTATATCGGATATGACTGAGTGGCTGGTAAATAAATCGAGGCGGGCAATGAATATGCGCGATAGAGAGAAGCCGATCGCGCGCGTCAATCCCGTGAAAATAATTTAACATCAATCGCGGGGAGAGCGGGTTCTCCAATTTTCCACGTTACCGTGCGCGCGCGCGCGCGCGTAACGTGAACGTCGTTTGCGAGTGATTAATTAACGTTTAATTCGGAGTGAGAAACATCGTGCGAGAAACCGAATGCTCATCTTTGCGATCGGAGGATGAATATATTTAGAATTCCGATGCATGCGTGCGCGTACACACTGACATACGTACCTGCGTTAGTTTTTCTTTTTTCTCTCCTCGCGATCTTCTCCCTGACGTAATTCCGCCGTGTCTTTGGCCGTCAGTGACGTCAGTTATTCATATGCAGCCGTTATCGTACACGATCTTACGGCTTCCTCTCACTCATTAAAATACGATGCGACACGGATGGGGTGAACGTCGATGGCGAACTAAAGGATTTCGCGGCCGGAGGAGTCCTTTTGAAATTTTCCACGCGCAGGCTCACGGCGCATCGGGCGCAAAGCACGGATGTCGCGTGTAAAAGAACACTTTGATGTATGAAATAAAAAAAGGATCTGCCCGTGGTATATCGATAAGCGTTAGACGACGCGGAAGATTAAAATACATCCTACGCGTGGCTGTCGTCTCGAGAGTAGCTGCACCTCGCAATCGAGAAATATTGATCACGTTGTTGTGCTCTGAACTCGCACGATTATATCACGACGCAGCGTCTCTTGTCGCGTCATTATTCTTTTTTTTTTTAATAATCGTCGGCTTCCTTCGATTAACGTTGAATGAATTTCACCTGAAAAACAAATAATTTGTCGAAGCGCAGGTGAAATGCGAAAATCGATGACTGAATCGCGACTTTGTTGACAATCGTGTTTAATAATCGTGGATTTCCTTCGATTAACCCTGAATGAATTTCACCTGAAAAAAGAATGATTTGTCGAAGCGCAGGTGAAATGCGAAGATCGATGATTGAATCGCGTCTTTGTTACGATTGTGTGTTGGAATTATTGAAGTACCTCCCCTGTCTTTCTCTCTTTTGTTTCTTATATTTGATAGATTTTTATTTACTTACCTTTCGTATATTTTTCTCAGTTTTCATTTTGCGATTATTTTGCACGGCGACAATTGAAACGAGCACAGATATCCCGCAAGACAAAGATACGAGAAATAATAAAAATTTCATTTTTCACTCGCGAGTAAACAGGCTTGACATTAGCGGTACAATGATGAATTCACAGAAGTTTCGCAAAGGAAGCGCCGGGCTTAATCAGGCCGCCACGACGGTGCTCTCAGGAGCGAATATCCTTCTTAGAAGTGACCATTCAGAGATCAGAAGTCTGACGTAGGTCGAGCTAATCTCGACTGACTGAGCGCGTAAATTTGAAGCCGCGACGTATAATCCTTATTATTATCGCATCGTTCGTAGAATCCATTTGGAAAATGTCCTCTTCCTCCTTCGTTCCTTCCTCCTGTATTCCCCTAATTTTCATTGGGTCGTTCAGCAACACAGTTAATATATTATTATCGCGCGAGCGAAGGGGATAATATTATCCGACGACGGTATATCGCTCGCGATCTCCGTACTTCTCGATCTTTACTTCTCGCTCGGCGAGGATTGGCTGGTATGTAATTTCCTGCCCAATTGCGAATAATCACGAATACCTTCGCTCGATCCTGTTCCTGACTGAAGCTTTATCGAAGTTCTCGATGACTTTCCGCTTTTTCTCGCTTTGCTAATTACGGCCGTGGCATGCAAAAAATCGCAAGCAATAAGGCTAGGACTATTAACGATTAGTGCGACCTATTTCTACCAGAGCGATCGAAATGACAGGTATTTGGGAAAATGTATGTAATTATACTTCGATTTATATAATCCCCAGCTTTTATTCGATAAAATACTGCCTCGCTTATGTGCTCGCTGCTGAAAATATTAGTCGCCTCTTGCGTCACTTTTGAACGAAATTGCAGTGATACTAGACGACGCAGGAACTACGAGGAAAATATCTTCACGTTGGAACGATCGAGCGGTAAATTGGGAGTCGTTCTAATTGACTCGGCGGAAATATCGGGCGGGAAATTAATCGTGCGTATTTACTGCAAATTAAGTCCGGCGTGCTTTCGCTCGCCCCGTAAACGTAAGGGGAATGCATTTCTCCCTTCGTATCTCCGCCGTGTCATTCCCCAGGAAAATATCGTCGTTCTCTTGGCAGATTTGCGTCCTTCATAAATTTAATATTGCCTTATCATTCTTCAGGACTTTGAACGAGAGCACCCTGAAGGAATGGGGCGTGAAACCGATGCCGGAATATGCGGATCCTTACCACAAGAGGTGAGGGTGACGGCAAGAATTTAATTTAATTATTTGAATTTATATTTAGAAAGAGATAGATAGATAGATAGAGAGAGAGAGAGAGAGAGAGAGAGAGAGAGAGGGAGGGAGAGAGAGGGAGAGAGAGAGAGAGAGAGAGAGAGAGAGAGAGAGAGAGAGAGAGAGAGAGAGAGAGAGAGAGAGAGAGAGAGACAGAGAAAGAAAAAGAATTGGAGCGAATTGAGTCTGTTAATTGGCAAATGTACTCTGGGTGTAGCGCGAACGTAACATTATGTATCTATATAGGAACTGCGGCGCATAAATAATAAATTCAATTCGCTCCCTTTTCGGCTCCTAACGATCGACTCCTGTAATTTCGTGTAATTACTTTTCGTACAGGCCGATGACGACGGGCGAGATTGGCTGTTTCCTCAGTCATTATGTCATATGGCAAAAGGTAATTTCTTTTGAAGAGATTCCTTTGCGCGGAGATATTCGCCGGTTACTCACTAAGACGTTGGACATATTAGGTGTTGGAACATGGTTACAAAGACGTCATGGTGCTGGAGGATGATGTCCGCTTCGAGCCGTTTTTCCGACAGAAGGTCCGCTACGTCTTGACCGAGTTGTCCGATCTCGATATCAAGTGGGATTTAGTGTGAGTTTCTCGGCGAAATTTATCTTCCGATCATTTTTGCAAGGGAAAATCTTGTTCCCCGCCCGACTCGAGTTTGCCGTTTGAGCGATCGATACGACCTGGGCAAAGGCTACACGCCGACACACGATTAAATCTTTACGTTCCAGATATTTGGGTAGAAAGAGACTGATGGAGTCGGCGGAGAGCCGAATACAAGGCTCCAAGTTCCTCGTGCGAGCGACATACAGTTATTGGACACTTGGCTACATTCTGTCGAACAGCGGGGCGAGAAAACTTGTCGACGCTATGCCTCTCGGGAAATTAGTTCCTGTTGACGAGTATCTCCCTATACTTTCGGATGCGCACCCCAAGTATGCGGAGTGAATAAACATTTCGTGGCCATTTCGAGCGGAGACGGCAACTCCGAATTTCCGACGACGGAACAAATTGCGCGATGTCAAAATTCCGCGATCGCGGAAATTCGCAGTTGCCTTCGCAACGAGTCTTATTCGACGTGTGACAATTGTAATTTCGTTAGGAAGCAGTGGGCGGCGCAGTTCCCCATTCGGGACTTGATTATATTATCGACGAATCCACTTCTGATACATCCGACGCATTACACCGGCGAGAATGGATACATCAGCGACACGGAGGACTCCAAGATCGTGCGAGACAACGAGTCGCAAACTCGAGAAGAACTATGATCCACCAGAAGCTGCGAGATGAAGGAGAACTAGAGTTGTCTAGTATATATTCGCAATTCGATATCGACGCAATTAATTAGCGAATTGAACGGCAGATTTGATGGTAAAGCGAGATAAAGGCTCGCGAATACACACTGCCGACCAGTCAATACTGTTCGGATTTAGATGTGAACGTACACTTTACATTTCAGCAAAGATAGTTGCCATTTATTTAGAACAGATTTACATTTTAGCTCGACGTCTAGCATTTCGCAAGATCTTTTTTATTTAACGTAGACATGCTCGTTTGATTCGCTCGATGAGTATCGTATACCGTACATACGTGTACACACACGCGTTTTTATATTTTTATATATCGTATTAACATTGCGAATACAAGTGCGTAATGTTGTGTAAACGTGCCAATATTTTCAATATATTTACTTCAATATTACAACCTTATTATAATTATGCAGTGTTCCAAAGAATTATCTAATTTTTTTCAGCTGTCTGTGACAAAATTTTTGATTGATTCTTGCGTGTTATATATTTCGGCAAGTGATTTAATTTTGTAACGAGGGTAAAGAAAGAAAGAAAATAGGTACGGGCAAATGAAGAGAGATGAAAAAGGAGAAAAGAGGGAGAGGAAGAGATTATGAAAAAAAAAAACGGGTGAAATTTAACCGTGTTTGTAAAAAAATAAACATTTTTCAGTCGTTTAATTTTTTATTTTTTTCAGTCGTTTAATTTTTTAATTTTTAATTTTTCCGCGTCAGATTGTCTCGCTCGTATTAATTAATCGATCAATCGACATTGTTGGAACAGAGGTTGTTATCTTAAATTTTTCGTATATCATCGCTTGTTTTTGACGCAGCATACTCTTGAAGCAAATTGACGACTCTCGCGCAATCGTTAATGTAATTTTAAGTCGTTACACATTATCTGTTACTGAAGAATGAGATTAAGCGATATTAAATCTGCCGCTTCTCACTAAGAGACGCGTCAGGGTCGCATTTCGAGATAGTACATCTGTTCTTTTTCGCTGCACTGCTGCACTGGTGCAATAAGTTAGAGTGAAATAAATATATATTTGTCTTACTCTAACTTATTGCACCAGTGCAGCAGTGCAGCGAAAAAGAACAGGCCTAGTAGCAACAACAGCGCTGTATGTCACACCAAATATTGTATCATCATAACATCGGCTTAATTACGTTCTTAAGCCCCTTGCACAATGCCAGGCGACAGGCAATAAGAATAAAAATAGACCAATCGCAATAGATTATTCTTGTAATAGTCGATTGTGATTGGTCTATTTTTATTCTTATTGCTTGTTGCCTGGCATTGTGCAAGGGGCCTTACCAATTCGCTCTTATTGACTCCTCATCGCGTGCCATATTTGCGTACTGCTGTGGGAAGAAGAAAACCGTGTCAAAGATCGGAGATAAACACACAAAGTTCTTGGCATCATCGTACAAAATACGGCAGACCACGACCGACGACCATGAACATCAACTTTGAGGGAAAGCGTATTCTCGTGACAGGCGCTGGTCAAGGTACGCGTTACAAATATAATGTATATATTTATGTCTTGACATTACAATTCGGATTATTTGTACATTTTTCAATTTTATGCATATGTACGTAAGATTGAAAATCGTGAGAGATTTTCATGAGGAACATGCAAAATCGTTATAGAAAAGTGTATTTTAAGAAATAAAAAATCTATCTGATTAATATTTATCATCTGATTAATATTTACATTTAACTATCGAACTTCGTCTCATAATTAAGATGAAGTTTGATAGTACTTACACGAAATATTATTGGATGATCTGTAAAAATAAAGATATAGAGATTCCATAGAAGTAATCCGAAATGCTTTCGAAAATAACAACAACAACAACAATAATAATATAATAGAGGTTTAATAAGTTTAAGTTTTTAGCTTTATAATAGTGAAAAACATCTCGTTTTTTTGCTTATAGATATAATATACAAAATACTTCTTTTGCAATCTAATTAGTACATATACGAAAGGGGACACGAGATTTTTAGTTTCAATTAGACAAACTGCATCGTCTACTCTCTTTCCTTTTTCGTGATGTATTTATCACGAAGATATTTTACTTACGACGAAATTGCAACAGGTATCGGCAGGGATCTGGCCCTGCGCCTCTCGAAGTACAAAGGACAGGTGTTTGCGCTCTCGAAAACGAAGAAGAACTTGGACAGCTTGGCTGCGACCGACCCTAAGATTCGGACGATCTGCGTCGATCTTTGCGAGTGGGACGCGACCAGGAAGGCCGTACAGAGTGTCTTGCCGATCGATCTCCTGGTCAACAACGCCGGTGTCGCCGTACTGGCACCGTTTTTAGATGTCACGCCCGACCAGTTCGACCTGATTATTAGTGTCAATGTGAAGGCTGTGCTGAACGTATCCCAGGTTGTGGCCGGGAGCATGATCGAGCGAAAAAGTGGCGGCAGCATCGTGAACATCTCGTCGCAGGCCAGTCAGGCAGCATTGAAGGATCACTCCGTTTATTGCGCATCCAAAAGCGCTCTTGATATGCTGTCGAAGTAAGACAATTAACATCATCGTGATGTGGGAGGAGAACTCGAACTTCGGTCATTATTGACAGATGAGTCCTCGTACTTCGCGACGAACTGATGTGAACGAATAAATGTGAAGTATATGCTAACCAGATATGCTAACCGGAAGGGAGAAAATTCTTAAATATTTATGAAATAAAGTGGATCGCTTTGGATTTTCACCTAGCTATAGAAATATAATTGCGCGTCATCTTCTGCTTTATAGTTTCGCGAGAAGTCTCGTTTGTTTCCAATCCCTCGTTCGACTCGAAGCCTGTCGATGTCTTGACACTTCTATTGAGAAGACATCGGTCCTAATCTGGTCAAGCCAAGAATATATCTCACCTGATATTATATATTTGATCGTATTTGCAGGGCAATGGCTCTTGAATTAGGTCCACACAATATAAGGGTCAATACAGTTAATCCTACTGTCATCATGACGGAAATGGGGAAATTGGGTTGGAGCGATTCTGAGAAGGCGCAAAGTATGCTCAGCAAAATTCCGCTTGGTCGATTCGGCGGTACGTTAATATGCTTAATTTTAATTAACGACTAATCGAAGATCTTTGCGAATATTAATAAGCATAAGTGTTTCAAAACGAAGACTATTGCTTTAGGGTGTCGTAAATGTTGTTGCAGAAGTTGACGAGGTGGTGGATGCTGTCGTATACTTATTGAGCAATCGAAGTTCCATGATCAACGGGGTTAGTTTGCCTATCGACGGTGGTTTCTTAGCCACATAAGCAGACGTCGTAACGATGATTCATCACCTTGAAGAAAGAACGTTCGATGGGTAGGCAGACGTCTGTTCTCAAATTTATAACCCGAGGAGACCCCGATGAAGTTATACGTCCGTGGATTCTGGATATGACTGTTCACATGCTACACTTATAAAAAAATAAAGAAAGGAAATAAGCAGTTGGTTGCAATTGATATTAATTAGTGTCAAGGATTATCGAGCAAATTTGAACAGGAGGTTGATGAGAGAAGACTCACGTGAGCTTCGTTCATTTCGTTTAATTGAAAAAATGCTTCGTTTCCTCTTTTCTTCACTCTCAACTAGGTTCGACAAACAGGCGATGACAAAGAAGGCCGCGAAAGGGCAAGACACGGCCACACGCATATATTCGAGCACGGACAATATACTCCTCCGATGAATACTTCCGAAATGCAGCACTCACAGGTGCGATTCGCGAGACCTTCTCTGTCACGGCGGCTGCACTCGATCTAAGAACGCGAACGCTTCTTTCAACTCCTAATTTGTTCCTACGGTAAACATAACGTAGTGAAGAAACTAAGGCGGCTTGCTGAGATGAAAACAATACAAATTGTTGACGTTGCACAGACACAGACACACACACACACACACACACACACACATTCTCTCTCTTTCTCTCTTTGTTTTTCTCGACTTGCCGCTTCCATGACGACGTACATTTCAACCTCGTTGCATGCATGGTTAGAGACACTATATCGATATGAACCAAGTATCGAATGCGAAGCGCGAACTTAATTAAGATACGTAGCCTCCCGTAATTATCTTTCCAATCGCGAAACATGTCTAAACAGCACCGTCACGCGGCAATACACTTCTTTTTATTCTCAAAGCAGGCTTGCGCTACTCGCGTCGAGACAATGAGTTTTTCGACTGATAAAATGCACTAAACAACTCGTAATCGTAACTTTCACCTGCTCCTCCGGGTCGAAACTTCAGTGAGCTGTAACGCCATACCGTATTTCGTATCACACGTCAACTGTTTTTTTACTTATTTTTTTTTTAACTACACAGTTTCGTCCACAGAATGGAGGGCAAGATGAAGATAAAGTTATAAATAACGTTGCTTGTCTCGTGCGACGTGACCTTTGTAATACCACGAACGTTGTTAAGAAGTGTGAACGATAGCTTTAATTTATACAATTATTATATTTGCAATTTATTGCAGATCAACAGGCAGAAAGTATTTTTCTTGCCGTTTCACGCCCTTGCGCTCTCTCTCTCTCTCTCTCTCTTCTCTTCTTTCCTCTATTCCTTCTTTTTTTGCCCTTTCTCGTTACAATTCAAAATAGTTCACTGTTCTTAGGCAAAGATGCGATATATACGTTAATACAAATATAAGTTCTGCCGCCTACTATACATAAAAATGATCGGTCACGATGATTTTTGATCAATAAGGATGGGGGATGCAATAGAAGGAAATTACAGTGCGATGCAACGAAGAAGGCGCACAGACATTAACCCATTTACATTTCTCTTTACAACAATTTATTCTGTGTCCGTGAATAGAACAAATAAATAACTAATAATAACTGATCCAAAGCCATCGACATATAATATGTAGAGAGACAAATGTTTTCTCTTAATAAGTATAAAAAGAATACGTGTTGAATGTAGGGAGTAAATTTTTAAAGAAATTAAATAATAGGTCAATTGTTTGTGTGTATATATATCGAATCATGGAAATTTTCCGAAAAAACCTCTCTACATTGTCCCAAACGAAGAAAAGACATTGATTGCGAATGTACATGGGTTAATGATCGCATCGTTCAACTCGTATCTCGACTCGTATTTCGAATTTTCTCGCCAAGCCAAAACGAAGTACAAATACAAAAGCAACTGAGAAACTATTATGTCGAACACACCACACTATTCCACACATTCTTCTTTTTCCTCTTTCTCTTCTCTCTCTCTCTCTCTCTCTCTGTCTCTTTCGCACTTACCAAAACGCTCCAATTATAGGTATGTTTGTTTTTTTTAGTCATATAGTACACAAAGAGAGTTTATAATATTTATAATATTTAGTAATTCTTTCGGTTTTATCATAATCTTGTCGGCTTTATCGGACTCTTTTTACCAAAATCTCTCCTTTTTTACACACACATACACACACACACATACTTTCTCTCTCCCTCTCTCTCTCTCTCTCTCTCTCTCTCTCTCTCTCTCTGGTTACGTCCGTACATGGGCATACTCCTTCTTGCCTCTACCACAAGCACATTTGCACATTACTATAAATGTTCTTCTTGCCTCAATAGATTATAAGAGTAATTATATATACATATACAAACTGTTCGTCGTGATAGTACGATTAGTACACTTAGAATACATTGATCGCGAATTATCATCAACACATACCATAATCGTCGTGACATCCTATCGCCGAGGGAGGCTATCGGAGCCATTCGCTGTTCCTTTTAAACGGATTGGAGGTTTCTTCATGTATCTGTCAACTCCCACGTGCTTGCAGAACTCGTCACGTACGTATTCGCGAAAGCTTCCCTAGGCCAGTGGAACAAATATGTACGATTCATAACTATGATTCACAATCGCGCAACAAAAAAGAATACGTCCTCGCTTGATAGTTATAGTTTTACGCGCGGTGGTTTGCGTCTTCGTTGCGGCCCGAAACGCAAGACCAGCCGCAGGATGTGGAAACAAATATTTAGCCATTAAGGATGCTGTCAAGTAGTCCGGAGATCAATTTCGTTCTCAGACAGGAATTAGTATAACTCTTCACGCGATGACAAACTTTTTACTGAGTAAATAGATTTTATAACGTTAAAACACACACACATAATATATCTATTCAACAGTTTACCCCTTTAAAAAATATGATGGAATTGACTTTAGATTCTTTCAAATGTCCTTTGAAATGTCCTCCCGTAAAATATTTCAGTCCACAGGCGAGTCTTGACAAAATATTATAACTCATGGGACGAAACATCTGTTAATAATAATATTGAACAAGAAGGCGAATTCTGGAGTCCTGATTCATTAGAAGTCGTCAAGAATATCATTTGTTGGTGTGTGCGCTTATACACATGTGAAAGCGAGCTTTCTGCGAGATAAATTGCAGTTTGAATAGACTTTGCAAATGTAATATAAGTAACGAATCTTGATTTAATGTTTCATATTAGCAGAACTGAAGACGCATCCTCGTCATTCTTCAGCTGGTCCCCGCGGCCGTGCAAACCGCGCGAACGAATGAAAAGAAGAAAGCGCGAGAGGAGGAATTACATCGCCGCTCCCTGCGACATAGTATCGTTCATCTCGACAGAATTTGTTGATCGCCCGGCGAGTTTGCGATAACCCACGGAGGACGAAGCAACGGGTCCAAGTTCTGTGTTTACCGCGTGTCTGCTCAGTCGTGATGGGGAAACGCAAGAACTTTCGCTCGCGCTGGCAGTGCTTTTTATTTGTCCTCTTTCATAACGAAAAAAAAAAGAAAATGGCAACATACGCACGGAATTCCCTCGATCCAACATCCATGACCGCGTTCTCGCATGTATGCAGCAAGCGAGCCACAAATTAAAGCCACAAATTACTCGCGACGACGAGTTATCGTATGTACAAGTGCATGCAATTTGTGTATCACTATCAAAATAGTTTCCAAGATTAACATTTCTCAACGTGTATATAACGACGGATTACACATTGCGATAAGTAACGTTAACATGCGTATCATCTTCTAATAATGCGGAGAAAGAAGACAATCGCGAGAAAGGAGCGATAATTCGGGGAGTGCGCAATGGTGATTCCCTCGACATGGCGGGCAGAAGTTTGGTAACTATCGTAATAACGCTGTCGGCTCAAGAAAACTTTTTTTCGGGCGGACTAATGGAATACGTCCGAAGGAGAAATGAGAAGAAGACGGTTCGAGGAGGAAAGTATCCAGTCTCGGATTTCCTGTTAAATCAATGTTACTGTTACGTAAAGTAATCATGAAGCTGAAGCAAACCCTTAAGATAATTACACAACATTACAGCACGATAGTATTTACAGCAGCTGTATCGACAAATCCTACGGCTTCATAAATATCGAGTTATAGTAGATTAGAAGGTTCACTTTTTTCTTGTAAAAAGTGTATTTACAGCTTACCATTCCTTACGAGAGAGCAGTTCTATTTTAATTGAGAGTGTGCTACATTGGATGTAGCATACACATGAGGACGATTGTAATCCAATAGAAACGTAAATGAGAAATGTTACAGGCCTTATTTGTTACACTATCGTAACGTTTGCCACCGCTTACTCACTCTGCGTTATATTTAATTTTGATGTCATGAGGTAATGAAAATATCATTATCGTGAAGCTTGAAGGAACGATGTCAGCTCAAAATGTGTCATAGAAATGGAAACGGGTTTTAGTTAACTAATTCGCGTTGCAGCCCGATGCCGTTCATTTGCAAAAAAAAAAGAAGAAAAGAAAGAAGAGACTCGGTACAATGTGATGAAACAGAATACGCGGCAGTTACACTAAAACCAGCCGTACTGTTGCTTCGTCCTCGACCCAGCCCAGATCGCCAGTCCCGATCGTTCCGAATATAATTCGACTATGCCAGATATAATACACAAGTTCGTTTGCAATAGTAGCAGCGGCATTAATGATAATAGTTGTAGTAATATTTTTATCATTTCTAGTAATGGTAGTAGTAGTAGTAGTAGTAGTAGTAGTAGTAGTAGTAATAGTAATAGTAGCAATAGTAATAGTGGTAATGGTGGTGGTGGTGGTGATAACGTAATGGTAGTAATAGTGGTGATGGTAGTGGTAGTAGTGGTGGTAGTAGTCTCTACAAAAATACATAAAAAAACATCGTATCCGTGTATGGTTGTGTATAATTTTTATCTACTTCAAGTTTTCTCTACTTCAATATGCGAAGCTACATTGCACGAGATATAGTAGGAAGAAAACCGAAAGAGGAAAGAGGAAAGGTAGAGACAAGAGAGTGGAAGAAAGTAGGACGAAGAATTATTAAGAGGGAACGATTGGATTTTCATTTGCTGTTTATATATCGTTACGATAGCGCGCAAATGATCGACTTCTCTTCCTGCTGCGCATGGGGATACAAACTGCTGCGACGCACTGGTACGGAAATTTCGTCGAGTGAGATGAACAAAATAAACATACGCGTTTGTCTATTGCAGAAAAATCGTGCGATTCTTCGTGCAGAGGATCAAATACGCCGTGTATTTGTATTTATTATTCTATAAGTAATCGCAATGTTTCTTTGCTTCCATCAATGGTCGCACGTATTCACGCTACTCTCCTTCTTTGGTTTGCGTGCTGCGTCCTATGTTCTTCCATTTTTGCCGTGTCAAAGTTGCGCGATTATATCTCGAATTGACATGAGAAGTCAACAACATCATGCGAACGATATTCTCCTGCTGTTGATAATGTAAGCGTTCCGATTACTTAGAGTACTAGTAGTATTATATTGGCAATTCCCTATACAATATCACGAATTTTTATATACAGAAACGTAGGACTTGTAATATCAGGACAGACCAACATATCCTAAAACTAAGGAAATAATTAGGAACGAGACGTCAGACGATTCCTCTTGATCTCTGGCGCGAATCGTTCAGACTTTTCCAAACAACGAACGAGGAACAACTTGAATGAGACGCGTTGAGAGAGAGAGAGAGAGAGAGAGAGAGAGAGAAAGACAGATAGTTAAAAATATATAAGTTCTACTCTCTCATAAATATAAATACAAGGAAAAGAGTTCTTCTCGAGCGCGATATCAGTAGAAAAAAAAAGAAACCGACAGTTTGGTCGCGCGCCGCTGGTGCAAACGATCATAATGAACAATTAAACAATTGAACGAGATTCAGATTCGAAAGTTTCCAATTCGTGTCCCACGTTTAAAATCGCGCAGCTATAGCGTGAGAAAAATGAAAAATTGCGCTTTATTTTCATACAAGCCAAATGAAATACGACATCGGATGGTTGTGTCCAATGTTAAGTGCGAAATACAAATACGGTTTACTGTATAAACGCGGCAGAAGACGACGCGTCTCCTCTTGGTATTTGTTGGACACGAGTAAGCCAGGTAGGCAGGCAGGCAGGCAGGTGGACAGGCAGGTGAGCAGGCAGGCAGGCAGGCATGCGGGCAGCCAGGAACCTTACTCATCTTCTTTATCCCATTACTACTCCCCTCTTCACACTCTTGCTAAACATTCCCACCTAACTGGATGCACTAACAAGCATTCACGCATGCACACACCACGCACATAAACCTACAAACATCGGAGACACACACGTTAGCAGAATTGTGTTCATCGAATTCCTTCCTACGCGTTTTTTACTTTTTCGACAGTCATGAGACAATATCTTCATTCATCCCAGTTGATTTTTTTCGAAAGAAATGAGAGAAAAAAATAAGAAGGGCACAACACGCATGTTTCAAAAAAGTCTCAAAAAAGAGGGAAGATAGGATGTCCTTCAAGTATGCTGTTGTGTGTGGAGGAATTAGAAGAATTAAGAGAAGAGGGAAGCAACAGTCAGTGAACAGAACCAATTCGAGCGTGCGTTAAATCGTTTGCTTTCTCCTCTCTTTTTTCTTTTACCTTCACGATTAGCATTGTTATCGTGCAAAAGAGAAGGGTGCGAGTGATTTGTATCACGGGCCGGAGAGACGTCACATCTATACTGATAAACGATGCGTTGCGTCACGTTTGACGAAATTCCTGCTTCTCTCGCCACTTCGAAATTACGGTAACAATACGGCGAACGCGTGTGTGACTCGTGTCACAATTCCTACCACTACCACTGCTGGCATTAACATTACTATTTTACTACTACTGTTATTATTATTATTACCGCCACTATACTACTACTAATATCACTATTACTACCGCTACTCTACTATTACCGATATGCTACCATTGCTACTACTGCTCTGCTATTACTATTACTGCTACCACTACCATCACCATCACCACTACTACTACTATCACTACTACTACTACTACTATTACTACTACTATCACCACCACCACCGCCACTACCGTTATTACTACTATTACAACTGCTCCTATCATCACTACTACCACCATCGCCACGACCGCCACCGCCACCGCCACCGCTTCCGCAACCGCCGCCCACCTGCTGTGTACAGTACGCCCGATCGATGCTGATGAAAGAATCTCTCTCTCGGCGCCTCGGAAACTCGCAATCACGTTTTTCTTCTTACTATCTAACACAACCGAACAAATTGTCCCTACAACTAGACGTACTTCCCCGCCTTCTTGCGTGCCTGTTGTACTACGTTCTGTATGATCGTTTAACTAGAGCTTTTTAGCGAAAAAAGATAACGACTTTGGCATTACGCCGGCGTAGTACCGTGGATCGGGTTGAGCGGTCAATTCAGCGACAGCTTTCCTTTCTTTCTCTTGTCTCGCGGTAGAAAAGGATTCGCGGCATCACTCTAAGGTCGCAAGGAAAATAATTCGCGGCGCGACGAGCGCGGCGAATCATCTTCTCGAACGCGTGAACGCGTTATTGGATGATTTTTGTTTTTCTTTTTTCTTCTTTTTTTCGTTAATTCGGGCGGGGCTGAAGCGAGATTCATCCCGAGAGCCACGGCACACAAATTGCACGCACTGCGTTCTCGATGTTACGTCGATCACGCGCTCTTGGCGAAATTTTCACCACCATGTTCGTCCGACTCTCACCATGACTGCGCTTTGATCTTTTCCCAGCAGGGAGCTACCTCGCCCCGTGGATCGCCTGAAAATTGATGTCGTATTCTTTCTCTCTCCCTTTCCCTGTCTCTCGCTTCTTTTGTGCAAAAATCCGCTGACAGCTTCGCCCGCTGATCAACTACTAGCGACGCGTTTCGCCTATGTACATCGCGTCTCACTTCGCGACTTACACACGACGAGATATTTCTACATTTATACAAATATATATCCGGAGCCGGAAGTATCGGATGGAACGGGACAGAGGGTTCAAAGTCGTGTCGAATTTGCATACGTTCACACTTGCGTGGCTTACGTCTCGTGAAAGTGTCGAACGACATTGCACGAGGGTAGTATCCCACTGTCAGTGAACGCACGATCAGACGAACAAGTCTGATGAATCACAATTCATGCGACATGACAAAGAAAACGAAAAGTCTCTTCAAAAGTTATAGAACATACGAATTTACAGATAGAATACACGTCGTCGTATATTTGTGAATTATTACGTATACGAAATATAATCTTCAACGAATCGTCGCAGCTTCTCTCTCTCTCTTTCGCTCTCCCTCGCTCGTAAATTCAAAACACGCATTCTGTTTCGACCGTTCCGCTATCGCCGTTCGACAAGAGCCGATCTTTCGGGAACGGATTGCAACGCCACTGAAGTCTCGACGAATATTATTAGTTTCGCGGTATTCCGTTGTTCTCCTATGATTTACGAATAGAAATCTATGAGATTCGAATTCAGAGGAAGCAAAGCCAGCCAGAGTCCGATAGCTCATCGCGAACAATGAAAATCGAAAGTATTATGTTTATCTTGTGTGTGTATGCATGTGTGTGTGTGTGTGCGTGCGTGCGCGCGCGCGCTCGCTCGCACGTACGTGTATATGTTAACGAACAACTGCGAGAATTCCCCCATCATCGAAGCCGCGTACTGTACATTTGCGATTGCTCCGATCGCGCTTCATCGTCCTACGCAAGGGAGAGACACGATACGGTTCTCACACGATTTAAGCGTCCACTTTTCGCGTCCGATATCGCCGCCGAGAGAGCGTTCTCCACTTCTCAGACGATCGCTCCGATCGTCGCTGGGGAGAGACAATCCTCTCGTGGCCGGGTTGTGTGATCCGCCTGAGAATCTTGTTTACTGTGCGGCGACGGAGCCGCGCACCGTTGCAACGCGCACGTTCTTCCGCTTCTCGGGAAGAGGCTTCAACGCACACTTCCGACACAAACGACAAGCCTTTTCCTGTCCTCGTCTTTTCCTTCATCGTTCGTCCACTGGACACGAGGAGTCGCGGCCGAATTTCGCTACCCCCGCGAGGAGGGCCTTCCTCGCGGACTTCGCGCAACCACAGGTGCCGCCACCACCACCACCACCAACCACTACGTCGAGACCATTGTTCACACTTGATATCCCAGGTCGGTGTGTATGTGTGTGTGTGTGTGTGTGTGTGTGTGTGTGTGTGTGTGTGTGTGTGTATGTGTGTGTGTGTGTGTGTGTGTGTGTGTGTGTGTGTGTGTGTGTGTGTGTGACCCCGCGGGGTCGCGCGAGAGTCGTGATAGCGTCGCGTCACTGTGCACCAGCTGATCGTCATCGCGCGACATCACGCGCGAGCTCAACGGCCATCAGCAGGCGGGAACACCATACCGCAGCGGTCGTCGCGGTGATCGCAGGCGGCCGCCCTCGACGGGTGGTGACGTTGTTGCTGCTGCTGCTGCTGCTTCTGTTGTTGCTGTTGCTGCTGCTGCTGCTGCTGCTGCTGATAATGATGACGTTGATAATTCCGCTATTGCTGCTGCTGATTCACTTGTTGTGTTGCACGCTTGCCCGCTTGTACGCTTCCCTGACCATCAGGGCATGTGGGGCGATTACCACCGCATTGGCGCTTCCAAAACAAAAGACACACAAAACAGCGACATTAGCGCGCCACCGTCGTTTATTGTTTCATTCATTGTTTATAAAAGAGCTAAAGGACTCTTTCTTTCCTTCTCTCTTTCATTCATTCATCTCTCTGTCTCGTTTTCTCCCTGTTGCCTTTCCTACGGCGCTCCTTCTCTCATTCGTTGCATCCGCAGCCTCCCCAGCTTTGCTTCTACCCTCGTAGTAAACTTCGCTGAGGATTCCGCGACGCGACGTCGACGCACGATCGACGACGTGTGAAGTTGATAATTATCTCTAAAGATATCGAGTCGAGGTAGAATCTCGTGGTGAAAAAAAGAAAAAAAAGAGTAAACGTCAATGATATTTTTACGTGTTTATTGATAACACAAATGTTTGAGCTTTTACTGCCCGATGTCTTTTTCGTTAACGTTAACTCCGTTAACGAGATGCTTCCTCAAGATTTGCTCGACGCATTGAGCGTATCGAGAAGTGCGTATTATTCGTTCTCCTCATTTCTTGGATAAATTGGAGTAGCACTGCGCGGTGTTTTCTCTTCGTCCGCGAGCGCGGCTCGACGAATAACGAATATGAAAATCACTGATATCGACAAGCTCGTGAGGAGGAATGAACTCAGAGAGAAGGCTTGCGCGATGAATGTTTCCCCCGTGATCGGAGCTTTTCACGATCGGCGTTCCTCCGCCGTGACGCAGGAGAGAACTTCGCCCCCTCTTTGCCCCTATATTTGTCATTTAGAATTAGTGCGATAGCTTTCGGTTACCTGAAAACAGTCAACGAAAGAACATCAAGCGGAATTTCGGTGAATATCGAGATACCGAGTGAGTTTGCTTTCGTCTCTATTCTCACACAGAGCGGAAAAAATCTTTGTGTGGATCGTGCTTGCAAAATTTGAAGCGTCAAAACGCGCGCATATTCGAAAGGATGCTCGTCACGGGAGCGCACTCGACAAAAACTGCTTGAAATTGCAATAGTATGGCGGCAATAGTGTTGCCTCCAAAAACGAAACTTTTACTTTAAATCAGCGTAGGAAAAAGGAATATGACTTTTTTTCTTTCTCTTTTTTTTTATACAATTTCTTCGGTAAGTGGTGACAAATCCGCACTCTTTTCGTTCGAATGGAGCGTCCAGAAAAATTGTATCTCGTGGTGAATTTAATAATCATGGAAAGAAAAGGGAATATTGATTCTTTGATCAAGGGGGGAATTACATGCGGAAGGCCGTTTTCAAAGCTTTTATGAATTTTTTTAACAGAAACGGTAAGATCAACTTGAACTTGAGAAATCTTCACGGTGTATTCATTAATGTTCAAAGCGTGAAATAAATTTTATTGAATCACAAGAATCTTCATATTTGATCAGGCAGGGCCGGATTTACGGGAATACGGCACAGCATGCATACTTGGCTCTATGTATCCAAGTCTATGTTCCAAGATATTCAAAAGTGGATTAACCAGTTACCAAGCAGAGTTGTGCAATAGCCAGCTGGCTCGTCCGGCTATTCTCTGCCTCGTTACGCTCTTATTGCTACGGCTTAGCATTACGTGTCTTGAAAGGCAAATGTGAAAGTCTTCACTTCATAAAGAAGCATGCACTACGCGTCCTAGAAAATATCTCAGCCGCCGAGTATGCTAAGGTACAATTCCCGTTCAATTTATACGCCCCGCGATGCGAATATTTGATGTCGTAAATATTTTAACGTAACGCGCAGATTGAAAACTCGCGAAACAAGCAACACGCACGTAAATCGAATATTCTCCGCTACACTCTTCCTCCGATTTTCAAAATTGCGGCATTTTATAATTTTGCTCACTCGATCGCTTGAAAGTTGTATAACCGTTTAGGCTGTTGCAAGCCACAAGGAATTGTGGATAACTCGTCAATACAGTTACGTCTATTAAATATTATGCAGTTAAATCTATCATATTCCAATTTGTCAGAAATAAAAATAATATCATAATGACACGAAAGTTCGCGAGGGCGAGCAAAAATAATTCCTGATCTTCTGCAGAGAAACATCTGCTTTGTGTGTTTAAGCTTAAAAAAAAAAAAGAAAAAAAGTTCGCGAGAGCAAGCAAAAATAATTCCTGATCTTCTGGAGAGAAACATCTGCTTTGTGTGTTCAGTCTAAAAATAAAAAAAAAAAAGTTCGCGAGAGCAAGCAAAAATAATTCCTGATCTTCTGGAGAGAAACATCTGCTTTGTGTGTTAGTCCTTAAAAAAGAAAGTGCTTCATTGTCACCATCATTGTCACGCGGTATTTTCCAAATGAAGGTAAACACGTTTCACGCTCACTCCCGATTTCCTCATTTTTCCCGAATTAAGAAGAATGATTAGAGCACCACACCACGGTATCCCGACATCACCTTCCTCACCACAAAACGAAGCTAACCGGTGCATAAAACACGATTCAGCGTTTGCACAAGCGTAACACACAAAGTGCAATCTCAAAATTAGGTCATCACGCATCGATGAATCGTGAAACTTGACGAGAGCTGCGAAAACGTGACGGTGAAACTCAGGTTTGCACATCGTACCATTAATACGCCGCGGATTCTCACACTTGTAGCGTCGTACTGTCATTGAACTCGACGCGAAGATACGAATAGAGATTACAAGTATAGACTTGGGATGCGATTTTTTTTCGCTAAATGTGCAACGTTCACGCAACCTCCAACGAGAATGTAGCAAGCTCTGAACTTTCATCAACGGGACGGACGAGTTCTATGCGTGAGGTGGCTCCAAAATAAATCGCCGAAATTCGCAAACGTGTTCTTCGACCGATTTCCCTCCATTTCTCCTTTCTTCCTTCTTGATTTTCTCTTCGTGACCGAGACGCAATGAAAAAAACTCGCGTTTTTAAGACCTCTGCTACTTACTCTTCCCCACCTTTGACGCACTTAGCTGACGGAAAGTTTTTCAGCAAGTTGACCGCTTACAATTCGACGGGAAAGAGACCAAATCGATCGAGGACAATTACAAAGTTCGGCGATCTATTTTTATTCCTTCTGTACGTGTGAGCGAAGAAAATGAAGAGAGTCTTGAGTAGTGTTCACTTTTCCGCACGCCAAAACTTGCTCTTATCTACATTGCGCGAAAATGATCGAAGCTTACTGACGTTTGATAAAAGGTGGCTAACGTCGAAGCGTTGTTTCCGCTGAGCTTACGGTACCTCTTCGTGAACATCCGCGGATCTCTCGGTAGAACAACTTATAGCCAGTCGTTTGGCAGACTTACTCGTTCTATATCGTATAGCAACTCACTTGGACTTGGGCTGCATTTCTCCTGCAGCGGCAAGAAGCGCGTCTCTACGGTGCAACCGCATGCTGACCCTTCGCTCTTGGCCACCCGCACCCGACGCTGAAAGAGAGCACCAGAAAAACACAATGCATGAAAAACCACAAAAGAAAGTCGCCAACATTCCTATGCTCGTGTCATCAACTCGCCGCCATCCACTTTGCCCACTTTGCAGAGTAGGATTTGCTTTTTGTCTAAATATGTATCTACGTATATGTAATGTGAAGAAAGAACAATTCTTATTGCCTCTCTCTCTCTCTCTCTCTCTCGCTCTCTACCTCTCTCGATACGGCAAGTTCAAAGGTTCGTACACAAATCCAAAAGCAGTCATAAAGAGGGAGGAGGGGGAGATAGCAATATTCGTCAATCTTAAAACAGTTCTTCAAGAGGAAGAGAAAGGAAATGAAAAAAAAAAAAAAAAAAAAAAACGACTCTCTCTCGCTCAAACTCGTCGGCAACATTTCGCTCAGTACATTCAATCGTGCAAGTAGCTCGTCGAGGAAAACAAAAGATAGGGGAAAAAACAGTCGTAGACAGAGAAGAGCACTCGTTGCATTGCAAAGCACACGTTTTCAATGATCACAGTATATATATGTATATATATATATATATGTATGTATTATATGTTATACCCACCATGCGTCAACTTGCGATGTTCGCTAAGGTTACTTTCCACGTAATTTTATGCCCAAAAAGCGTGATAACGACGTTGCGCACTTTAGTCCGAGGAAGTATTTTGCCGCGTTTCATGGGATTGTTCGTATCTGACGTATCTAACGCTCGTCATCGTCAATTGAGACACGCGCGATTCTTTTTTTTCGTACTTGAACTACGAACAAGACTTGCGCGTGTTTTCCTCTGATGATAATATTAATTTCGTTCGTAATAATGATAAGGACGCGTGGCACTCGGGGGATTGAACTGAGACATTAGAAATTAAAGCATTGTCTCGCGCGTAAATGAAGAAATAAGCACACTTTCGACTTCACATGACTCGAATAGTTGAAGAAATATAATAACGTGTAAGAACATACCGGTCACAATATTCTAAAGCGGCTTTTAGTTACTGACATTTAAAGCATATAGCGATTCAAAATAATCAAATTAATTAATTCAGACAAATGCCTCGCCTTTTACCGTGTTACCCTGCCGGAGAAGAAATGCGTTATTCTGCAACCTCACGAAACTGCGATAGTGACAAACGAGGCAGTGAGTTTCAGGGATCGAGTCTTATACAGGATATACCCAAATAGACAAAAGATATCTTTTAGATTTCTAAAAGATATCTTACATTTTTTCCGAAGAGATATCTTTTAGGGATCTAAATGTTAAAGATATCTTTCAAGACATCTTTTAGATGTCTGTAGATATCTTTTAGAAATCTTCTATAAAGATATCTTCAACAAAATCTATTTAGATATTTTTTAGACAACTTCTAGACATCTTTTAGAAATGTCTTGAAGATATCTTTTAGATGTCTACAAGATATCGATGTTTACTGGGTACTCGTCAGGTTGATGCGTTAGCGACAATAAAAGTTCAAAAATATCATTCAATGGCTCTCGACATCAACCAGGCGACGCGGGAACGACGGGTAATCATCTTTCACTCTTGGCAATTGAAATGGAAAAATTAATTAATAGTCGAAATGGAAAAAAAATCGTAACCGAACGAATGCAAATGTTAATGTTGAAAAAAAAAAAAAAAAAATAAATCAAAACAAGAAAATATGGCAACGCTTCCGTGTGAAGACAGATGATGCGACAAAATAAAAAAGAAAAAAAAAAGAATTGAAAAAACAGACCAGAAAAGAGAAAAAAAAGAAACTCAGAGCCGCGAGTGCTCCGGAGATGGGTGGAAAATTTACGGGGAACTTTTTCTCCCGGTCTCTTTCTCTATCATCGGCATATTTTGAGATAGTCTCTTCGAGGTCTCTAGGCTAGTCGTTCTATTCGCCGCACGCAATGGGTTTTTCCATTCAAGCCAAGTGAGAAATAATTTTGACTAGGATAATCGACAATGTCGTGTGGTGAGATAAATAAAAAGAGACCAGTCCTTGAATGGAAAAACATTTATTTGCTACTTTCTCTTCATTATCATCATCATCATCATCATCATCATCATCATCATCATCATCATCATCATCTCCATCATCGCTATCAATAAAGAACAGGCTGATTACAGATAGATACACGATATGAAGACTTCGTAGACGAGAGGAGAAACTGGGAGAGAACGAGCACTAAAAAGGACTATGCCGAGTGATCTAGTGCGTAGGAAGAAGTTGGCAGTGAATCGTTGCGAGATGCTAACGGTAAAATCTCATTCGATTGTTTCGCCTAATGTGAAACCGAGGTACTCCTTGCGCGACTACACGAATAAGTAGCAAACTAAGCTTTATCCTCTCTATCTAAACTTTGGTAACCTTTCCACGCGTTTCCAGACGCTCCCTCATGCTAACGGTGGCGTTTATAAGCGACGTCGGGCTATTTGAACCGCTTCGCGATAGTCGTCGCGACTTTCGTCCATTATCAGTAGTGTGTTCACTTCTTCCATTTCACCAGAACGTGCGTCATTAAACGTATGTGTCGAAAAGAGAGAGAGAGAGAGGGGGGAGGGAGTATGTAATACGTATACGCTTAATTAATGGCAGTAAGCACGGTCGTGAAGCTTTACAATCCTGGCGGGATACAATTGATTAAATGATGAAAATGTCAATGGATAAATAAAGGGAACACAACTTCCTCCATTAATGCTAATTAAAATTATCGCGTCAGAGTATTCCGTGAGAATTCCGTTAAGGTTATACGTCCGATACGCCGACCGCCTCTCGCGTAGGTATCCCATCTGGGTCTGCGAGAAATATTTCATATTTAATTCATATCTAACAACGCACACTCCACGAATCGGACAGTTAATGTGATGATAACGACGAATCGCAGAGATTCAGTTCTTTTGGATGGATCACGGCGAGAAAAAATCGTTCGTCGCGTCGTGAGCACTGGATGCCATACCCATAGACGCGATGTACTCGTAAAGCTAATTAAGTAAGGTGAAAGAGCGATTAACAGTCTTTAGATTATTAACATGTATAAAAAAAGAAAAAAAAAAAAAGAGAGAGAGAACATCGTTTCACCGGTTGTATAATGAGACTATTTATATAATAAGCATAAAACCACTGCAAAAGCAGACATACGTACTGTTAATTTCGCTTAGGAAATAACGCAACACGCCGGACGAGTATTGAGCGAGTTTACGTACCGTCTGCGTCATATGCCGCGTTATCGTTATCGCGTAAATTGTATATTCTGTATTATAAACATGTAAAACGAAGAGAAGAGCGCATAAATTAATCGGGACTCGAGAGGAACTGTGTATAAATAGTTGATGAATTTTTGTCACTTGACTTGATCGCGTGACAGCATCGCGGACATAAATACTACGCTTTATGACAGATTTTCAATTACACAAGAAAGCAATCGTAAACGCGCGTCAAATACACACATACATGTATGTACATGCGTGTATGTTGCGAAACGCACGCGTATGAATTTATCGACAGCTTGGAGTTGGAAAAAGAATCATTTCACGAAGAGAAGCAAATACCGCACGACGTTCTCATTTTTCTTCACCTTTACGCCAGACGGCGATTGTTACTTCCAGTTCGGTTTAGACGGTGTATAATTTGGAACACTAGTTTCACTGAAAATTTTATGCACCCCCCCGTGTACAATACAGAAGACATTCGAAGAATAAGAGAACTGCATGTAGAAATGCATGTGCGTGCAAACGCACATGTACACACTCGTTTGCGAGACGGTTTTCACGTATTTGTTCCGATCAAGTGAGAAGCGCATCGAACACGATCAAGGACGCGAGTCTGCGCGATAATCTATTATAACAGAAGTGGCTGATATATCTGAGACATCTGACATCACAACTGCAAAGGAGGATTCAGGAGTGAACTCGAGTGCTTTCATTATATTCTTACCTATCGGATAAAAATATAACGAAGAGCCGAGGTATTTACATCGTATAACTGTAACTTATGCAATATTGTATTACCATTTAAAATCGATTATCAGGCGAACCCGCGAGCAATTATGATTATTCGATGAGTCTCGTACTTTATCGGGAGAGAACACGTTCAAACCTCTTCGCACACGATCGTACATCTCGAAGTCTTCCAATGTGTCTCCTGTGTATCAAGCTCGCTCTGGACAAAACAGTATTCAGGATTCTCACGCAATAAAAGGCAGAAAAGAGTATATAAAACAAAAATAAAAAAACAAATGTAACAAGTAATGTAAAAACAATATTACAACGATATGACAATATGATTCCGATGAAAACAATCTATGCCACTGCGACCAAGTTTCGAGATACTTTACAATAAGTGTTATCAGTCTATTAGCTTTTGGTTAGTCTAAAAGTAATATTAAAAGGTCATTCGGAAAAAGAAATAAATAAGTTACGAAAAGTCGTTTACATTAGGGCCATACGTTGTCACATGTTGCCGTTTCTTATTTTTAATCGCGCTCTGTGCGCGACCCTTCTCACTCTCCCGACGATCTTCCTAAAATCAAATTTTAATTTCGTCAAGTAGCAAAAGACTGCGAGACATTTCGAGAAAAAACAACGCGGGCAAACTAACTCAGCTAGTAAAAATTGCTCGTAACACACTTTCACTCAGTCAAATATACATTAAAGAAAAAAAAGTCAAATATTAAAAACAAAAAGAAAAAAAAAGAAAAAGAAGAGAGAGATCCTCGTTGTGTACAACCTAATCTTACGAGAAGCTTCAAATTCCCATCCATTCTTTTCTTTCCCGTTTACCTTTTTCACGATTACGCTCGTCATTATGGTTGCGCTCCGCAGTTGTCCAATAAACACATTTATATACAAACGTGATCACGTCATATAGTATATGTTAATTATTGTAATTTGGTATGTAGATGCTTATCAACCTCTATCGTAGTTAAAACCTAAACAATAGGGACGAAACAAAATCAACCTCCTCCACTCTGTTTGTCTATATTCTCTGGTTGTGTGTTGTCTGTACGCGTGGTGTGTTTGTTCTTTGTATACGTACGCGCATTTGTGCACGCGGCAAGAATTCGACATTAAAATCCCGCGACGCGCTTCTCGAAAATTAAGCGCAATCAATCTTGAAGTCGCAGTGTGTGTACAAGATTATCAAATCTATCTAATATATATGTTTATACATACATTATATATGGACATAGAAAAAATCGTATTGGCTCTCGAGATATTTTCATGTCAGCCATTTTGCATAATTCCAATCTAATTGGTTTCATTTTTACTTTGCATTTTAAGGCTATTTTCTTTCTCTTTTTCTTTCTTTCTTTCCTTCTTTTCCTTTTCTTTCCTCCTTTCTTTTTCTTTCTTTCCTTCATTTCTTCTTCTTTGCTTTCTCTTTTTTTCTTTCTTTTATTCGTTCGTTTGTTCGTTCATAAATAGATATAGCCAAAACTTCGATGCTTCGTCATATTCGTGCGACTGATTGGATAGTGTAAAAAGTATAAATATATTTGTTACAAACGTTATTATTATTATTATATAGTATCATACGAAAATATACGCACGAGATGCAGATTACGATATACCCAGTATAAAAATCGTGTTATCTCTTCTCTATTCTCGTTTTAAAAATACTCTCCCTCTGAGCTACTCGACCATCAAAATCTTGGTGTAATTTTCGCACTTGTATATATGTGCGCGCGCGCGCGCGCGCATGTGTGTGTGTGTGTGTGTGTGTGAGTAACAGATCGCTCAGTACGTGATGCAAGAGGATGCCTTTTTTCATCATGCGAAGATCTCACCTCCGCTTAAATGCAAATGCAAACGAAGATGTCGAGTAAGATACCCTTGAGAATGTCCAAGTTACCCTGCGGCTTGCCGTGCGCCAGGGAGTCACTGGAATTCGTGCCGTGGCTCAGAGCGTCCAGATCGTCTCTGGCCATCCATTCTATGTAGCGTTCTCGCTTCACGTCCACATCGGCGACCTCCAAGCCGCCGACGTCTGTCCGGCCGACGTGCTGCAAATTTTGTAAGTACAATCGACCGAGTTGGCTGATGGAATAGCCGATTTCCAGGCTGTCCTTGTTGCCGCTCACGGTCTCCTGCGTGGCGACGCTCGCCACGGGCTCCAAGAGTCTCGATTGCACCAGCAGTTCGTTATTGTTGGCGGTATCGTCGACGGATCGTACCGACGGTACGCTCGCGTCCGAACGAGTCTGTCCCGCCGTGTCTTCCTCCGGCACGGTACTGTTTTCCAAGAGATCGTCCAAGTCTCTCATCACCGTACGAAACGTACTGTCTTCTGGAAGCTGCTTCAGGTCCCTGAGACGGCATGAATTAGGATCGCCGTCGACCTGATCCACGCTATCGTCGCGTTTGTCAGAAGGATCGAGGAGATTAGACCGGGCGGTAGCACGACTGACCAGAACACTTGGCGTTCGCTCAAAAAAATCAACGTCGTCCTTCTGGCACCTCTGCAGGAAGTATTCGCACTTTGGATCGATCGGTGGGTACTGGCTATTGACTCGCGACTCTTCCGGCTTTAGCAGATCCCGGCACTTCTCGCGCTCCCTGGGTAAAAAATGCAAACTTCTACCGACTCTCTGGAAGAAGCTCGGCCGCTTACGCGTCTTGCTCACAGCCGAATCGACAGGCTTCTTCGTCGACTTCTGCGACGAATCAAGACTCCTCTGTTTGATATGGAAAAACGTTTTCGGCCGCTCTTCCGGCAAGAGGTCCAGGCTTTTACAGTCCATCGTGGGCGCGTCGACGCTTCGCTCCAGTGACTCCAGGCTACGGTGTGTCTTCTCCTTGTTGCGAAACGAGAAGTTTCTGCGCTTGCTAACGGTGGCCTCCTGCAACAGTTCGCTGCTGCTCTTCTTGAAGATCTCGCCCTCCTTCTCGAGGAACTCCACGTTGCCGGAGTCGCGACGCATCTCGTGAGACACCATGGTGAGACGTCGTACACCCGAGGTCGCGGGGTACCTGAGCTTCTTGTCGGTGTAATCGGTGTAGCCGCGCTCTCTGTCCGGGCCACCGAAGCAATTCATCGAGCCGCCGCCGCCGCCGCCGCCGGCACTCTCGTCCGCGTCGTTCAGCCCACCTCGTCGATTCTCAAGCACACAATCGCCCGTACCTAGATCCTCGAACATCACGACCTCGCGATCTACGTTTTTCTCAGTTTTATGCCCATGAAAAAAATAACTCTGCTTGTCGAGCTGACGAGACGCCGCGTTGGGGCTCCGCTCGCGCGTCCTACCCATCGGCTGGTAATAATCGCGCGACGTCGCGGGATTTAGCTCGGCGCGTTTCGGCCCTAACTCGCGATGCCCTAAGCTGAGACCGGCCAAATCTAGAGAGCCCGTGGCGTCCGGTGCCGCCACTCTACCCGGCGATGACTTGAATGTACTGAATTGACATGGATTCGCGCGTATAGCGGCCTCGTTGCCAGCGGGCTGCGAGTGTCCAACCACAAGTTTCGTTTTTCGCTCGGCAATAGCCTTCTGTTGGCTCGCGCAGAATTGTTGGTAGAATTGTATTTTACCTTGAAGATCACTCTTGTCCTGATTGTCTTGGTCGCCGTGAGTCTCCATTTCGCGCTTCTGCCGGATGGCTCTCAGACTCGCGTTCGGTCCAAGCGTCGGTCCCACCGTCGCTACGGACGCGTTTGGTAAACATTGTCGAGTGTAGGGCCTGGAAGCAGACATTTACAGAGGGAAACGTAGATTTTACCGATAACGATGCAGTTATTACAATAGCGTACGCCATAATAATTAGATCTCTGAGACATTTGTTTTCGCAAAGACAGATGCGTCACTTTATGCGCAAAATAAATAAACGAATCATTAAGATTAAAAAAGGACAGTCGTGTTTAAGTACGCCGCTTTTAACACTTGTGTTTCTCAAAGAGGACCGTTTCCCGATTCATTGCCCTAGACGCCGAAAATAGAGCACGCTTGTGAGCAATGAAATGACCATGCTATTTATAAACATGAAAAGACGGTATGGTGTGAAGATGCAATCGCTAACAGGCCGCTGGTTTAATAGCTAGGAATTTTTCCCAGCCATTCAAATAGACACCGAAAAACAGACACGCGCGCCGTATCCTGAACAAAAGCACCGACCTTGATCGATGTTCCTGATCGTTGTTGGTCCCAGAGGGCAGCGCCGCGTTGGACGGCTGCGAGTGCATAGGCGCTTGCTGCGCAGAAGGTAACGTTGGTTGTCTCGCGTTACCAAACTTCAGCATATTCCAGTCGAAGACGTAGTCGTAAGTGAAGCCCTGTCCGTGGAACAGCGTTCGGAAGAGCTGTCGGAGGTGCGAATAATCCGGCCTTTCCTCGAAACGCAAGTCTCGACAATACCTTAGATACGACGCAAACTCTACTACAATAATTAATAAAATATTCACCTTTTATCATAAAGTCGGAAAATAAGGTAAAAATGACTTTACGAAATGTTTTTTTTATACATGTATGTTTTGCATACACGTACGACATACGCACGCGCTGTCAGTGTGTGTGTATATGAAAAGACTTACACGGGTAACCTTTGCAAAGTTCTTCTATGGGAGTAGACATTTTCTTCTCGGAAATACGCTCGTACTTTTGTCTCTTGGTCGCCGCTTTCAACCCCTGCCAAGGCAGACTACCCCTATTGAAGTACATAAGCACGTAGCCCAGAGATTCAAGATCGTCTCGCCGTGACTGCTCGATCCCTAAGTGTGTATTTATACTCGCGTATCTGTTGCAAGGATGAACAAATTAGTAGAACGTATTGATGTGTGCGGTTATTGATGTTAAAACATGAATATTGATGCACAACTGACCTAGCCGTGCCCGTCAGATTCTTGTTTTCTCGATACGGTATATGTTTGTGTGTGCGCCCATCGCGATACTTTTTAGCCAATCCAAAGTCGATAATGTAGACAAGGTTCCCCTTCTTTCCCAGACCCATCAGAAAGTTGTCCGGTTTAATATCACGATGAATAAAGTTGCGGCTATGAATGTAATCTGTTCTACTTATCTGTGGAATAGAAAAATTAAAACATCCTTGTTATAACTGTATGCTGTGTGTTTCATGTATTGCAAGTATGCTTCGAACTTCGAAGATCGTACACAAAGATAAACAAAGTGGTTATTCGCAACAATCCGCTCGTATATTAGTGTAATATTTGCCAATACTTGATAGCTTGTTATCCCTTTCTTTTTTCCTTTTTAGTACAATTATTTCTCTAAAATCAACAAATATGTCCGTCGTGTGGAAAATTTTTAAGTAGAACTAAAGAATATACGTATATGTGTACGTACATCTCAATTAGTTTTTCTACTAGCATTTAAAGAAGGAAAGTATTATTTAAAGATACAATCCGTTACCTACATGTTTGACACAAATCAAAATAATAGCATCATTGTTCAACCAGATGTTAAGAATATAAACGATTCACGATAAGAATGTAAAGTATGTTTTTTCGCAAAATGAAATAAATGAATATAATCGTATCATGAACTTTGAACACATATCAAGGCACTTGTGCTTTGCTTGTGGAAAACACTCTGCACAAACACAATGAAGTGAGTGCATATGAGAATAATGAGTTGAAAGTTATCTGTTTAGCCTTTTATCTCAGAGCGCAGCCGTGGATACAACATAAATAGAATCTTGCATTGTGTAATGAAATAGCAAAAATGGTTATTTCATATTCAAAATAAGATGCAAATTTTCTCGATAATTAGTATTACATTTAAAATTAATCACGTAGAAAAATAAGGATGATTAAAATGTATAAAAACTAGATACACATTATATCTACATGTTATTCTGACACTAACATTTTTCATTTTAACTGATAAAGCTGTCATTGGTTTATCATTTGTATTCATACATGCAGTTTAGTAAATGAAGCATGTTTATGTTATAAGAAAATGTTTATTTACCAACTGATCGGCAAGGAGCAGTACTGTTTTCAAAGAAAAACGTCTCGAACAAAAATTAAATAAGTCCTCCAGTGATGGCCCGAGTAATTCCATCACCATCACATTATAGTCACCTTCTGATCCACACCATTTTATAGTTGGTATTCCAACTAGAATATCAAGAATTATGTTGTTATAGCTAGTGACATATAAATAGGTAGAAAAAAAATAATACTTATTCCCTCTTCTTATTGATATTGTTTAATACTATTTAAAGAGTATAATATATTATAAAACAACAATATCTGGATGTTTTTCACCATAACAAGGTTATCAAATTGCTTCTCGCAGGTAAAAGTGATCAAGTAACCACACAATTGAAATATTATTTAAAATCAAATCACATAATATTTGTATACTTTTCATCGCCAACAATGAATTTAAAATATCCCTTTATTATCTTTCACATCTCTTATTAACTAATTATGATTACATATAAGTTTATTGCAACAATTAAATTTTTGTTATGATTGTATTTTCCATTGAACTGTGAAGTCTCGTACAAGAAATATAGGATACCATAATAAGCAAATATTAAAAATCTACAGTCAGATCTTGTCATAAAAATTAAAGATATTAAATCAGTTGGCTCGGTTGACAAATGTAAGAACATATCCCTGATAACTCTTAGTAAACACAAAGTAAACGCTTAGCAGATACATACAAATATTGATTTACTCACCACCTCCTTGCATTATCTTGTAAAATTTGGATTCTATGTGCAGCTGTGGATGCCGTGTTTTTATGCATTCTAACTTGATAGCAACTTCCTCACCCGTGGAAATATTGGTGCCTATAAATAAAGAAAAGTCTAAGAAACCTATTTACATTTATCATGTATATGCATACACACATACACACACACACGCGCGCGCGCGCATGTATGTATGTGTGTGCGCGTGTATAGTTATATACATACATACACGTGCACACCATATACACGTAGAAACACACACATAAGGACATTAGGCACAAAGTACAAGGTGAGAGATAAAGAAAAAGGGCAAGTGGGAGAACAGGAGGATACGGTGGGAAGAGAGGAAGGCGGGAATAATGTGCGCACGTAGGAATCGAGACGCGCGCGCGTTTCCACGCTCTCGTGCGTGGAATACGCGAAATCCGCTGCGAGAAAGAGGAAGGGAAGGGTTGCGGTAGGAGGGGAGGTAAGGGAGAGAACGGTATCGTCGAGTGGCGAGCTACTGCTGGGTCTCGCAGGGGGTTACCTAGGTAAATGTCGCCGAAGGAGCCGCTCCCGATTTTCCTTCCAAGTCGGTATTTGTTACCAACGCGTAACTCCATTGTACTGGCCGTGCGGCGCTTCACGGTACAAATATCACGGTTGCGATCACGGAGACGGCAGCGACGGCAGCGGTGGCGGCGGCGACGAGGCGACTATACACATACACACACACACACACACACACCAGCCAACGGCGGAGCAGCGACAGCGACAGCAACAGCAACGGCGGCGGCGGCGGTGGCAGCAGCAGCAGCAGCAACAACAGCAGTAGTGGTGGTGATGGAGGAGGAACAGCAACAGCAGCAGCAGCGGAGCAACAGCAGCAGTGGAGCAGCAGCTGACCCAGCGTGAGCGTGAAGATGGTCCGTTGTGTTGCTCACGCGGCGACGGGTGCGTGCTAGGCTCGCTCGCGTTGTTACAGGCTTGGCGGTGGTACCTCCATACTCGTCGTACGGGAATTCGGTCTGATCGATCTCGTACCTACGGGCATTTCTTCCTGCCTAGTCGCGGTGAACGGCGAAGTGCACCTTGTTACGATGGCGGTCGCGCTGATGGCGGCGGCGCTGCGCTCGCGGTTGTCGCTTTCGCCGTTGTTGTTGACGGCGCTGCTGAGAAGCAGGAACGATGACGACGACGACGACGACGACGGCAGCGGCGGTGGCAGGGATGATATCGAGAGGTTTGCCCCCCATAGGGGGCGGTCGACCAGTCGTGGTGAAATTCGGTGAACGTACCCACGCGCGAGAACCTTGTCGACGGCGAGCGACGGTGGTGGGGAGGCCGGATCTTGCGGTAAACGTCAGTCCGGTTGCACGAACACGCGGCGACCAATGGGAGAGCACGTCGCGGAAGGGCATCTGCTCGTGGCGGCCGAGCGGCGACGGTGAACGACGGCCGAGGATACACCAATCACGACGACGTTCTCGCGACGTTGCGTGACGCGCCAGCTCCAGCCAGTGTGAAGGCGAGCGCAGCGGCCGAGTCAGTGGGAATGGTCGTCGCGGTACGCCTGCTTTATTCCGCGTGTCGCCACAGAGGGCGCTCGTGGCGCGTTGACGCCAGCGCGCTTTAGTCACGATACTCAGCGGAGCGAATCGCGCGCTATTCAACCTGTTTCTGCATTCGGTCGTTCACTATCAAATCCAAATGTAAATCCAATTTGGACAATTCTACGCGCACGTACCTAGAAACGTCGATTACGAAATTGTAACTTGAGTTTAAATTTCTGGCTAAACGGAATTTAAACTTGGATTCTGACCGACTTCGGCGGAGAAACGGAAAATCCATTATTTACATTGAGATACATTGTTGGTCGCGAAATGGTTTACAGAGTGTCAGAGAGATCGGATATGGATGACTTGGGAGTATCGAATGAAGCAACGCGATTTGAAATAGAAAATACATCAATTATTCATATATATATTTTTTTTCGTAATAGGCGTTCAAATATAATAAGATGTTATAATCGATATTTAACAGTATCAGATAGGAAAAAGTTCTTCGGGGGGCAGGAGGGGGCAGTGTTTTATCAATGTCTTCTGTGTACACTATACATCGCTTTATCAAAGTAAAAAACAATTTACAATATTACGAGTGCACATATACTTTAGCGAACTTGGCGTCGATTTCATAAAAACGAAAGACTGTCGTTAATATACGCGTTTTATGATCAGCAGCGGTAAGTGAAGCGAAGTCACTTATGCATTCTCGTGTCGCGCAAATTTTTGTTTCTTCTCCCATCGGCACAGACACGCATGTGCGAGATATGACGATTGATACATTATGCTTTTCGGAGTATAAAATCACTGAAGAACAGCGAATAAAAGTGATTATGAAATTATGTAGGAGATTAAAACTTATCTACAAAGTGACCCAAATGTCACATTAAAATTATAATCAGAATAATTGATAACTATACCGCTATAGCTTTACCTACCAGGGGTACACGTCTTCATTAAAATCGAAACCATCGTAAAACTTTCATTTGGGTTGCTTATGTATTGTTAAAAGGAGAAAGTTAAAAAATGCGATCGGCTAGGAGGTCGTGACCACCTCACCTCCTGTCAGTCTGTCGCACACTTCGGATTCGCGTTTGTACAACAGTGTCGCGAGATTATGAACGTATATGGTTGGACCGTGCTCTCCGAGTAAAAAATGCAGTTTTCAAACGTAGCGTGGGAGCTCTATCATTCTCTCTCTCTCTCTCTCTCTCTCTTTCAAGACAATTCTACTGAGATCAAAGATAATAAGATACTCGGTATAATCAATATTATTCGTGTTTGCGAAACAAAGCTACGCGAGAGATATCGATACAAAACGATATGTTGGGGGTGGATGTGTGTGTGTATGTGTATGTTCGCAAAAATTCATAATGCATCGAGGCTAAAAAATGCGTTTTGCATAGCACATTGCTTCTGCTAAGGTCTATCCATGCGGTTATTCTCTCTCTCTCTGTCTAATGAGAAACGAGGAATTGCGGGTAAATGCAATACGATAAACTATATCGATACGTTAAGCGCACCCGAGCAATCGAGGAAAGAAGATCCCGAAGATTCGGTTATACGCTTCTCGTTTCCTTGAACGAGAAGAACGAAACTTAACGATTAAGCAACATCGATAAAAAATATATTTTCAACGCGTTCTCCCTACGTCATGGCCATCGACAGACACTTCCCTTAAGTTTACCACGCTTAATCTCCTTACTTGTTCGTACTTTGTGTAATTCTACTTAAGTAGCTATATCTTTTTGTGTCGTTCCGACCGTCTCCTGCCGTCGTCTCCTGCGCCGGTCGCATTTTTACGCCTGCGTAGCCTTACGTAGCTCGCAGGAGGCTCGGAACGTTTCAAATACTGCGGATGGCTTAAGTCGCATCTTTATAATAATTAAAAATATAAAGTAATACACATATAATATATATTTAAGGCTGCCATATTATTCACGATTTGTGATGTTTCATCATTGTTGCTTCTATCAGCAAACTACGACCCTTGTTTCCCCTATTCTTCTTTTTAAATCCGCAATTATGTTGATCGCACACATGCACCAGGCTCGTTTTTCATTCAATCAACGGGCATGAAAGACGGCCGTGTAAAACGATAGATCGATAAACGACAGATTCGCTGTAAAATTGGTGATTTCGTCCCGGCAGTTTATAAAACTTCATCATATACGTTATCTCAACCTGTCAGTGATAAAAGATCTTAAAATTTTTCCCTGTAAAGAAGTCATAGCGAGAGAACTCGTATCTTCTTTTTGTTTTGCATGTTTCATAATTCATCAAAAAATCAAACACTTGTCTAGGCCTATTTCTCTTTAAAAATCTATCGATTCTTCGCCAATCGAGAAAGCTATTAGTTTAGAATATTCTCAAGTAGAATACGTGTATGTATGACCGATGTGTCTCTGTGAAAAATGCTTGAAGTTCGTATTAAAAAATTAATCACTTCTCGTCGTCGTCGTGATCAAATGCTAGCTAAAATGCAGCATAGAAATTTAGATTTTTCTTTTTTTGTCCTTTTAAACCTACAGTATATAAATCCTACCTATGTCGCCGCTGTGTACACGTTTACCTATTAAGTAAGAATAACTAGTTATTGGTAGCTCCATATGCGGGGCGCAAAATCGATGCATGGTCAGCGTAGAGAAAAACGATATGGAACAGAGGCCTACGATCCAACTTCCTCTGGCCTAGCCAACGGCGCCTTGGACACTTCGGTGGTCACTGTGGTAGTAGTGATCTCCAAGTTGGCCAAGTCCGCAGCACTAATCTGCAATAACAGAATATTCTACATGACGTTGCACTTCCTCGTCGCTCTCAACGGAGGTGATGTCTCCTGATAAGAAACACCAAGGCTAAGCCAGAGTCAATAGACGGATTCGGTTTACATCTACGTTAGTGTTGTCAACTAGCTTTCGTTCGTTAACGCCCACGAGTGTGTCACAGTGAGAGGGATGCAGCGGGGCCAGAGTTAATAATCGGAAATCAAACATCCAGACCGAAAAAAGCGCAGGTGCATTTAGTAGCGGGTATAAGATAATAAACTGATGATTAATTGCGCACGACGAATAATACTGAAGCGTCAGAGAACATGGGGATAAGTATATCGAGGTAACGGCCGACACCAATAACTGTGTAATACGGTTCCAGTCCCGTTTTTGCTGACCTCGACGTTCGGAGGTAGAGTGATGGTAGCGTGTGTCGTCGTTGTCTCGATACCGCTGCGTATCTCTCGCTCTACCGTAGTGCCTGCGCAACAAAACAAATGCCACACAACCAAAACGATGATAACGAAGAACGAAGGAGAACCAATAGATACGAATTACGAATAAGAGGTGAAGGAGGAACGAAACGAAGAAGAAGAAGACAGAATTATCGAAGCGCCGGGAGACAGAATGTGGAGAACAACGCGACACGTTGATAACGCGAATATCATATAATCCGTCGTGTGTCTGGCACACAAACGGTTACTGCCTGGAAAATCAGTGAGAGATCTGATGGCCTAGAAAATATTCGATTAATCACGCATTAATTCGTTCGTAACGAGCTGTTACACACGATGATACATGTTACACATGTATGTTAGGTGCAGGTAAATTATCAATCTTTCTTTCTCTCTTTCTCTCGGTGAGTCGTCAATCTGATATTCTAATTAGATTAGACAACGGTGAATGTCCAGCTTGGAATCGACTTGACGATTTCACTCACTGTTCACATGCTGTGTCTCGTTCGCCTGACTCGTTTCAACCTCGCCGTTGGCGGTCGTGCTATTTGTAGTCTGCGTAACCACGGTAGTAGTTTTCACCACTAACGACTGATTCTGCGTAGATATCTCGGAAGATCGTGAGGTCACTTCCATTTTAAGCCCTGCCAAACGATTGTGGAGTTCCTCGGAAGACGTGGCGTTTCTGAAAAGCGAACTGTTACTGCCAAAGGATGGCAAGTACATCGAGCACGCATTAATTAACGCAGCAGCGAAATAATTCATAAAGTCACACAAGCTGTTTATGTCACCTCTTTTAAGTTAACAGAATCAAATTGATAGCATCAAGTCGGATTCACTGCATTATTTAATATTCATTTACTATTAATTTGTACAAAAAAATTGTCCGTGCCGTTATAGAAAAAAAGAAAAAAAAAAAAACGGTGATGCTGCTAGCACAATAATAAGTTAAAAGGATCACAAGAATGTCAAATATATAAATGGAAAGGCACGAATTTGTACCTCCAGAAGAAATACTGTACCTTGCGTCATTAAAAAAAAAAAAAAAAAGGCTAGATTGGAACATTAATATGAAGGTTTCCGAAAAACGTTTTCTGAAGTTTTCTGAAGCAAAACGAGGGACAAATTTTTTTTGGAACAAATTAGTACAAAATGGGTATTAAATAATGTTCCGTAGATCCGATTTGATTCGACCGATTTGATCCTATTAGCTTAAAAAAAGTGTCTCTATGTCAAGCAATGTAATTAAAAGTTCAATCCAATAAAATGAAAAAAGGAAACGAAACTTATCGCGCGCATAAAAGCGTGTCAAGCGTAATAAAATAGATAATTAGGACAATTATCAGTGCAACTTACAGTAAATGATCTTTAACACTGTCAATCGTGATATCTCCGATGGAGCTTAAATCTTGTCGGTCGTCGTCACCGTTTACGTCCACACTACTCGTGGCTGGTCGCAGCGACGGTTCCTTCGGAGATTCTTCTTCCCCAGCTAAAAGACATGCGTTGTGGAATCGACACTAAACGGCACTATTGCGACACAGCATTCCCTAATTTATCACGTTAATTGACACAAGATACACGTGGACAGTAACAAGATAATGTCGTAATGGGTCATAACACGTGATCAAGCACACAGGTATATATATATGCAGGTTACAAAGGTATGCCAAGCGGTTACATACGTTTAGCGATCGCACAGGGAGCCGGTGATTGTATTCTATGTATCGCGACGTGTAAAAACAGGAAGAGAAAAACAGAGAGAAAGAGAAACGTATATCCGTCTTTTTAAATTATTCGTAAGGAGATGTGAGGGTTTCTTAACCGGCATACTCACTGGAACCCACCACGCCATTCTCCGTGATAACTCGATTCACAACCGTTGGCGGTTGACTTCCTTGAGTCTCCCCTTCGGTCTCAGGCGCGCCTTCGACAACACCCTGCTCCTGCGAGACCTCGTTATTAGTTGTTTCGGTGTACGATCTAGCGTGCGGCGGTAAATTCAGAGCGCAATGCGCTTTCGTCACTTTCGCGGCCGACAAGGAAATTCGTTGTAGTTCCGAGCTCGAGTGAAGATACAGCGCCTCTCCGGACTTGGTGAATGTTAAGGAAGAAATGCCGCTAAAAGACAGAAAAGAAGAATGCATCAGTTTGCAAGGTACAGAGATGAGATCAGAGGAACGAGACGCGAGATACTTACTTGATGTCCTCTCGTTTGATCGCTGCGGCGTTCAATTGTCTCCTCAGTTCTGGTATGCTCAGCACCAGACAGTCGCCCAGATTCGTTAGACAGAGTAAGCAAGTTTCTTCATGAGTTCCCGTCGGTTCAACAGGACACGAGAACTTGGCAAAACCTGTTTTACGCACTCTGGATCCTTCGTGTGCAGTCAGCTTATACTTGCAATGCGGCTTCAAGGACGGAAGATTGAATATCTTGAATTGTTCCTCGCTGGCGATCACGACTCTGTGCGGGGAAGTCATGTCGGGTCCGGGCGTAACGCCTTTCTCGGCTTCGTACGGCTCCGGCAACGGCACGCTGGATCCATCAAGGATCGTGATCGCGATTACGGGCGCTCGATGCTTCAACTGTATCTCCTTGCCCAGCGTGCAATTAACATCCTCTTCCGTTCTTCTGACGCCAGCTGGTATGGCCAACGTGAACACATACACCGTTCCGTTGTTAGTGCCAGCCCAAAGAGTGGGAGTTGTATTTTGTACTGCGAACAGATTTTTCAATTACACATATCGTTCGTCGGTGAGTCTTGCACTTATCAGGAGATACTAACAGCTAATAATATAACTTCTTGCAAAATATAAGCACCGAACCATGGAACCTAGAGCGTCGTCGACAGGTCTTGCTTCTACTTGTCTTTCCACCGGTTTCAATTCCACTCCCGGTGAGAGATCACCACTCGGTGAAGAGGCGACGCTAGGACTGCAATTTAACAATCATTGCATGTCGTTTTCCTCTCATTACGATGCAATCGTGATATGCGACTGATACATCAAATATAATAAAAAGAAACAAATGCATAATTTTTTCATCTATATTTATATGCGGAGAATAATTCTCACCTATCCTTTTTCTTCTCAGGCGCGGTATTTTGCGGAGGACTATTAGTATTCGTTCGACGCTGCGAACGTCCTTTTCTCAATCTCCTGAAAGATTCTCTGAGCGATTTTTTGAAGGATTTCCGGCGCGAGATAGGCGTGTCGCCTGCTCCGGAGAGATCTACAAAGTACATTACAGAGGATAAATGTATATTCGTTCATAACATTAAACTTACGTCTATTCACAACGTTCTACCATTTGGATTGAGCGTGCACTTGACGCTGACGGCCTTCCCTCTGGTATAATCAAAAACGGCAAGTCCGTGCGCCGTGCCGGCCGCGAGTAGTCCCCATTCACTATGCAAAGCCAACGCCGTGGCGGCGGCGGGTGGATACAACTGGAGGAGGCTCTGCGGCTGAAAGCCAACCGCGAAAGATATGCTTGTAGTTCGTGGCGGCAAGTGATCGTGACCCTTCCACACGAAGCCATCCCGATCGTTGACGATGTTCATGGTGACACTTTTAATCTCCTTGTTCACCGGCTCCGACGATACGGTGGCGGTGATAACGTGGCCGGCCGTGCCGGCGATCACCAAAGTGGACGACAATGGACAGAGAAGCACCTTCTTCACCGCGAGCCGCGGGTCGTCTGAATACGGATCGAAGATCCCTACTTTCTTGAATGGCGGCCACTCGTCCTCGTCGTCCTCCGGCGGCTGTTCCAAAACATCCAGGTGTTCGCCGGTGAACAAAATCGACGAGTTGTACTTGTACAGAGGCGTTAAAGGCACGTCGGAAGCGTTCCAGAACCTCACGGTACCGTCCTCGTGGCCGGTAAGCAGCAGTTCTCGGCTCTTGGGCTTGTCAGGGTTCGCCGGTTTCTGACAGAGAATAACACCGCCGTCGATCGGCCATGTTTTATCCGAATAGAGATGTTCCGTTTGTGCTTTACCGGCCGCTACAACCGTCTCCCACAGCTCTTCCGGGACACTGGGTACGTGTTGAGAACAGGTCACCTATGATACAGAAGAGTTTATATCTCGCATCTTCCACTCGATTCTACGATTTTGTTCTATGTTTTTGCTCGAGAATACTCACCGCACTCGCATGGAGAGACACTAGATAGGGTAGAGCCATCATCTTCCATTCGGGGTTGGTCAAGTCGATAGCCACCAGTTCCTCTTCAGCCAACACTACGAGCGCCTCCGGACTGATCGGGTTCTCATTGTTGCAGTCTTCCTCCTTGGGAAATACGGTGAAGAAGTCGATCACTTTGGACGTGAAGTCGAAAACTAAATGTTTGTCCTTGGTCATGACGGTGATCGTGTGTCGATCTCCATAACTGGCGCGTTGCATACCACCGGAGAATAGAACGAGCTCGCCGTGTCTGTAAAGAAAGCGAATATTCAATCGTATTCGCGGGAATAAGTGGCAGAGGAAGAAAGAGAGCGCGAAGAGGAGGGGGAGCGCTATATTATTCGATCACAGAACTTACTCCGCGGTAGGATACACGAGGATCTTGGTGACCGCCTTGCACGGGAACGGCCCATAAAGCGTCGTGGGCTCCGGCACCGCATCGCTGCCCGGACTCCAAAACGCGTAGGATCCATCGTTGTGCGACGAAACGAAGCGAGTCTCGGAGATCCAATGAACCGATTCCAGCTGTTGCGTGGAGACGAATGTCTGCGCACGCGAAAATAAACCCATCAGCTGCACGTACACGTTCGCCAAAACCACCAAAGACACAAACGACAATCAGAACGAGCGATACCATCTCACAAATAACCCTGCCGTTCCGTTCGGCTTCATCTCGATCGATTCTTTCATTTTTGAAGCACAACAACTCTCTGCTACTACTTCAAAAACATGAAAAATTCTTAATTTTATCGAGCTTAATGATTTTCGACTTAGATCTTAAATATAAGCGCATCTATAAAAAAAGAGACACACACACACACACACACATATATATATAAAAACCACGCGCACGCACACGCATACACATATGTACATATAACGTACAAGATCGGAAACGAAAGAACGGACTAGCAGGGTTAAACATTGACCCAAAGTGTGTGTATGTTGTTTTATGTGAAGCATCTTTGTACACGTAAATTGTTCGTAAGCAGCGAGTATCACATATGACAAATGTGTCGTTGTATGTACGTGGAGAGACGTATAAACGGGCACAGCGATTACCTGTTGAGCTCCCGGAGTAGCTTTGTTCCACAGCACCATCAAACCACGATTATAACCAATCAGAATATTATCCGGATGTCCCGGCTGCTCGGCTATGGCTTCAACCGCTCCTGGGTTTTTCTTGTAATCCTCCGGCACACTAGGGCACGACAAAAACGATTTAATGATCTCTTACATGGACCGATCTTTCCAATTATCCTCGTGGATTAGAAAGAATGTCGAATCAACTTAGAAGAATACAAAATACTGTTTGCTCACTTCTGCATCACGACGTCCTGATAAATAATATTGTCCGGCATGACGAAGGTCTTCAGGTTCAGCAGATAAATGTTGCCGCCTTCCGTTCCCAGCAGGAGATGTTCGCCGCTCGACTCAAGACACATCGCGGAGATCTTCTTCAATTTGCCTTCCAACGACAGCGACTTCGTCTCCACCACGGAACTTTCATTGATCTCCCACAAGTGCAGCGAATTGTCGTCGCACAAGGACACCACGCGACCCTGCAATTTAATGAACGTTAAACTGATATCTCCTTTCAAATTACGCAGTTTCAGTTGCAACATACTGCATATGTACTTCGTACGCTGTGTACTTCATATCGCCGTGCTTTCCACATGATACACACGACAATATCCATCAGAAGATTTTTCAATAAAAATGTTTCTGTCGCATCTCGGCCCCGCAAATTGTTTTCCTCGTAAAGAGCCCTTTATATTCATATACATTTGATATAGTATCAGTTGGAAATTTGTAATAGTGATTTCTACTTGGTTAGAAAGTCAACGTGTGTTCCTGACACAATGGATGCAATAAAGCGCCTTGCAAGCGAAGATTAACGCAGTTACCGAGCTCTCCTATCATTATTACACGGAGAAAACGCTTACGCAATTTCCCCGCTTCTCACCGGGCCGGTTCCCGTATCCTTCTTGCTCAGTAGTTGCTAGTCGCGATGCACGAAGTGAAAACTTGCGGGAAACGCAAGGTCGAGCAAGTTCACAAAAGACGAAAACGACTACGCGCCCGATAAGCGGTGCTTATATTTAAAATATCGAGTCACGTAAACGTCAACCACACGGATAATTCGCTTCTTGCCGCGAATTCAAATTTACTCGAAATTTTGATGGAAAACGGTTAATATAAATACGCGAAAAACGAAGACTCCAATTTTGAACCTTACGATTACGCTACATCGTAATCAAATTTTGATAAATGATCGCTGTTACCATCTTAATTTAACATAAACGTCGTCGACCACGCTGAATCAAATATGCTGCTAGTTGTTGTATTTGAAATCTTTAATCTTGGCATACTGCAAATGGAAAACTAGGGCGCACATAAAATTTCATCAAGTCTAACGTGAGATTTCTATCATAGGCGAACCTCTCTCATATCTTATCGGCACCAAGATTTGCTCAAAACTTATCGTGATAACGAACGCTCGTGCTCGCACATCGTTGTGCAATCACATGAACAGAGATGTGATTCTATTAACAGGCTACATCTGGCACGGATAATTCTGCATGTGAAAGATGCGAATAAATTATTGCAAATTCGATCGCGGTCGAATTTCGTTGTTCGATGATTCGGGAATTCAATAATTAATGAACCAATCGTTAATAAGAAAATCGTGTATCTCGTGTTGGAGTCTCTTTAACTTGATTATTCTCCCGTAGGCGCAGATCTCTTCTTTCAAGATAAACATCCACCCGTTATGCAAACAAGATAAAGCTCAACTTTTCTGCTTCTCGTCATTTGCTCCGGTGCGCTCGTAGTAACGAGTTTGCCCAATATTTGTCGTTATATCAGCATCATTTGCAAGTTCACGCGTAAATGTTTACACGCGCTAGTCGACAAACATCCGAATAATTGACGATCCGCACCGAAGCACCGAAGAAAGCTCCTCTCTCTCCTCTCCCCGCACATCGAGTCGTATTTCATGCCGCGGCTTAATTGCATTCCGCGGCATTAATTGCGATGCACCCTGCCGTAATGTCGTTGCACCCGTGTATTACTTATTCGTGCACGCGTGCGCGAGCACATTGTGCATGTCGCACAGGATTATGCAACCCACTCCGGCAACCGTATAAGCGGAACACGGTGTCGCGTTACTCCGCGCGATGCGTGTGATCTCGGAAGTACCGTAAGTTGGCACTTCAACAGTTTCAACTGCAACTGTAAAAACGATATAAAATATGAAAACGTTTGCAATCAATTTAAAATAATACATTTTTGAAAAACACAGCAAATTGACCAAATCATGATTGACGAATCACGATATTCTCGACACCCAAGAGTACTTAATTTTTACGATTTAAGAAGGATCGACATGCTCGACGGTAATTTTACAATATGATACCAATTAACTAAACGACTGACATTGCTAACTTTTTTTTCTTTTAGCAGTCAAACGCGTCCCACCTCCTGTAAAGCTCCTGTTAAATATTAAAATTGATAAAAAAATTAATTTTAAATACTACAGATAAGCGCATGTTAGCTCAAATTTTAAATACGTAAAACTTTCGATTGAGGAAAGTGACAAACGCGCACACAACAAGCTCTCTCGTTCCGCTTATACGATGATCTAGTTTGAGCTGGCTGAGAAAATATAGCATTATCATAATTAACGTGTGTTGATTATCTCACCTCGTTCGGCAGTGCGACGATCTTCGTGACAGCATTCTCACCGCTTTCGACGGAATGTTGTCCATAGAATTCTACACCTGGTCTTCCGAAACTGCAGTGGTAGTGAACAGTCAAGGAATCATATAATAAATATTACACGAAAAACACGTAAAAGATACACGTCGAGCGTTACGAGAGAACGGGTCAGGAATCCGAGTGACCGATTTAATGCGCTGACAAGGATGATTGCATTTACCAAAATGACGTGTGTCGGTCGCAAGCTTTGCAATTCTCAGAATGCAAACGATGCGCATTTATATTTATATTGAAAATCGTTCGAAAATTGGAGAACGCGAAGCTCTGATATATTGCCTCCGGGTTAGCGCGCGCGCGCGCGCGCGATTTGATAACATTTTCACATCATGACATCATCTTCCGTATGTGTTTGGCGATTGATCGTGGAAATTTCCAACCCGCGAATTAATATATTCCAGTATTGCACGATATTCTACTTGGCGAGGGGTGTCGCCTACTTTTAAGTTTCGATCAATATTTTCCGCGACGACGGTAACACGCAACATTGCAACTCCGCTCGATTTCAAGTCGAACTCGGATTTAATTCTTGACAAAAAAAAAGAAATCTATTCGAGAGAGTCGATTACAGGCGCGGAATAAAAAACACGCCCGTGGATTGGTTCATAGAAAACCGCGTCGTATGTTTAAAAGCGGAAGCTGGATAAATTATCGTCTCTTTCTCTTTCATGCTCATGCTTCTCCACATTATGGAAAAATGTCCGAAAAACTCAATTACGTTCAAATATATAATAGTCGACGAGCGCGAATTAATAAAACGTACGCTCGTCGAATTAATAAAACGCGCGATACGCGCGATACATCGTCGGTTGCACGTTGCGAAGGTTTCCTCGACAAGGTGTGCCGTCGTGTAGATAAACCATACGTATATGTATTGCGAAATAATAATGATTATCTGATGATTACGTAGTCCTTGGAAGCATCTGCCGACTGTGCGCGAGTGCCACGCCACTAAAACGGCATTAAGCCGCTGACGAACGCGCGCTCGCTGATAATTTCATCACATATGACATTTCGTTTAGTTCTCTTCTTTCTCTCTTTCTCTCTCTCTCTCTCTCTCTCTCTCTCTCTCTCTCGCTCTATGCACGATCGAACGATAAATTAAAAAAAGTAAATAAATAAAAAAAGAGTGCGTACAAAAGAAAGAAATGCACAATCGTATAACGATGTCGATAGTCAGAAGGACAATTGAAATTTTTGACATTCGCGCTGATTAATTGACTGGATTCGGTCGACCGACAATTACATTCACACTTACATTTTAAAAAAGCGCATTCGGTAACGTGACCGAGCAGTATTGGTTAGTGCAATTTCCAGCGAAAATTACAAATGGGCTTTTTGTTGGGTCGATAGCTCGCTGAGCGCATACGTGCAGATTAAGTAAGAGAAATAGAGTCACGTGAAATGGGAGAGCAAAACGGAAAATTGCAAAATCGAATCCTGCCGCGGTCTTTCTTTTGGCAATTTTGTGCTGCGCCTTTTTAATCGTTTGTTGCTCACAAGCTCGTCTATTGTCAAGATTCGCCAGAATTAAGTTTATCATTCAGATCGAAATTGCTCGAGCAGTTGCCGAGAAAGTTGGTATGAAAACGTTCAGAAATTTTCATTATTAAAGTTATTGAAGGGAAGTAAAGTGAACCAATGTTGCATGGAATCTTTCAGTCGGAAACAACTGTAACACGAGATTACTGTACGCGAACGACGTGATTTAACGTTTTTTCAATAATGCCCTGATCAAACCGAAACGCAAGTTTACGAAATACATCATAAGTGATTTATGCGGAGCCTTTATTAGGCAATCGTCTCGTATAACATTGTTGTAAAATAGATTTTTTTATTGCGACAATAAGAAGACTGTAAAATGTATTTACAGCCCAACAATGTTTGTAACGACAATATTGTCCGATTAGGATATTTATCCTTTATTTATCTTTATTCTGATACGACCCTATAAAAATGTAACTAAAAATTCCAAGTGCTTTTCTAAATCCAACAATTAGTGCCTTTACGCTTCAAATAAATAATAAGTAAAAAGAAAATAAAATAAAATAAATAAAAAAACATTTCTGAAAACGTAAAATAATAATTTGATGTTTGTAGCGAATATATATTGCACGCACTGATCATCGAATAATTGATCTGGGATACTCGTAATTCTCTCTTCTTGGCGAACGATGCTTTTCGAGGATTAATAGATCGATACGTACGTCATCGAGCTCGGGCGGTTGCCTCGGGACCAGAATATAAATACCGGACGAAAAGAAAGCGAGGCAGACGAAGGCGAGGAGCAAGAAAAGCAAAAGGATACACCTTGATGGCGCCGGATGCCGTGCCGATGATCATCAGACGCAAACTCGGATCCCAGGCGAGAGCTGTTGGCTTGTTCGGAAAACCATGCTGCACCGTCTGTAACAAATAAGAGCGGATGATTGGTGACGCTAACCTCGCGATCGATTTTCCGACATGGTAGATGTATTTTTTTTTCAAAAGCTCCTCGTGTTGCATTATTTAAAATCCGAATTTGTGATCCGCGTCCCATTTCTGTTACTAAAATTGAAAGATATTCCGACCGTGATATAAATGTGTATAACAGTTCGACATAATTCAACGATGAATCGCTACAAAATTTTGAATTTTCAGTTGCTAGGCAACTTTTAAGGAAACTTTAGAAAACTAATATTATTCACTGGTAATTGTAAAATTTATTGAATTTATTAAATAGAATATTAACTCGTACTCTGTTCTTACTGATCATAAAAACGAGTATACTTGTTTGGACTACAATCGAGAACGGTGTGAAAAGAATCCCGAGATGTTCGATGATGATATTAACATTGATTTAAACGAAAATAACCGATGACAAATTAGTTACAGAGTGCTTCGCGATGAGTCAGACTACAGCGATCGTTGATCGAACTTGCTTATCGTACACGCGCGTTGTACGTGAGCATAGCTTAGAATGCGTACGGTCCGGCAATGGTACACACTTCGAAAAAATTGGCGGTGGGCTAATTAAGCACCACTCGAGCATGATATCGATGAAATATCGTTATTACACGAATACCGGTAAACACGCGTCGCTCATTTGTTTTCGCCTCTTCTTGCAGTCAATTACAACTTTCTCTGCGCGCGCGTGTATACAAAAGATACGACCAGGATACATCCTGAAACATTTGAACTCTCGACACGTTCTCGTTCTTGAATGTACCAAATGCACCGAAATCTTCACTTCAAGTTTAACGACGGATTCGTCGAAGCATTTTTCCTCGCTTGATTTGATTTCTGATTGAGCACCAGCTTTTGAGTTACGAGCGACGAGAGATCCTTAGATTAAATTTTCGCAGAACGAATTTTCCAGGATACGAATGTACTGCAAAATTTACGTGGTATTGCACTTGCATAGAATTATAAATATTTTTACACAACGAAAGTAAAAATGATTGAAATGTAAAAATGATTTGGGACATTGCTGAAAATACGACGCAAACGATAAAAATTAAAAAATTGAAAATATACAAAAAATTTGCAGAAATATTTCTACATATGCGTTAGTCATATTGTCTATTAAATATTGCAAAACAAAGCAGCGCATATTTGTATGAAATCTGCATGTACAAGAAATATGAAAGAAAGTAGTGTGATCGTGTTAGTTATCTGACATTTTGATAATTGCCTCTGTCATTAAAACGTCATTATCGACGTTTTTGGGAGTTTGTCATCCACTTTGGCATGTCCTTAATCGGAACTTTAATTCAAGATAATTGGTGTTCATTATACTTAATGTGAGGAAAGACAACGTCGAAGTTCCGCATTAAAATATGGAATCGTTCGCGGCAGAAATTTGTTATTTAGATTTTCGTTACAATTTAGATTATCGTTACTGTTACTGCAACCATTTTGTATATCAGACTACGACAACATGCTTCGTAGGCAACTCATGTTGTGACCATATCGCGCGACCAGGTAGCAAAAAAAGCGCACTTAAAGAGAGAAAAAATTTTTTTTCTCCGAAAACAATGGATATTTCTGACAACAGGATGATCTTCAAAGGACGACTCTCGGCAGTATCGATCTGACTCAACCTAACGTTTCAGCCGCGCCCGATTAAGGGAACGGGTGGCCCGGGAGACCTTGGCCATTTCCATGAGAAAGGGTGTCACTACCTGCGGGTTTTGCTAGACACCATCATCGGAGTTAAGACGAGACGAGGCTATGTACTGGTTGTTTTCGCGCAACAAAGAGGCACGTGTCTCTCTGAGACCGAGCTATTTTAAGTCGAATTCTCGTGGAACTTCGCAAACGCCATTTCAAACGCACGTAAGGCACATATAAGGAGGACTCTGTTCCGAGAAAGAAGCGCTGAAAGTTCTTGATTTATCTCGAATATTACGAAAGGAAGCAGCGATTGATGAGGTTGCTGCTACAGCAGCGCGAGATCATCCGTTTCTTTTCTTTCTGAGAGTTGCTGGAAATCAACTTGGATATGGATATGGAGTCTTCTGATCTTTTGAGTTGACCTTCTCGACTTCATTCTCCAAAAGCCAGCTACGCTGCAAACCCGAGTGTGTTATTTTGACGCGTATAAGCTGAAGCTTCCTTTACGCGTATCTTGTCGTCTTAAATCACGTCGTTTAACGCGTTTAAACGCGTTAAGTGATATCGAAATGTATCAAATGACGTGATTTCAGACAAGACAAGAAACGCGTGAAGAAAGCTTCAGCTTATGCGTGTCAAAATAACACACTCGAGTTTGCAGTGTAGACATTGCTGTAGAGACAACCCATGTTCCTCATCAAGTAAACTCGCGCGAGTGTAATGTACATAAGAGCTTCTATATTTTTGTGACGCCTCTATGCTGCCAGAAAATCCTTCGACAATATATGAACTTGTTATTTCGACGCAACATCCACCAAGAAATGGGGATGTGGGAACAACTTTCTGCCGGTCGAGATGCCGGCAAGTTGTTTACGAACTTCAATGTGGTGAAGGAAGAGGGAAGGATATACGCGCGTTTCATGTACTCGCTGTACGAGTAACATTCTACGAGATACGTTCTACGAAAGGAACTTCTTGACTTATCTTGAATACTACGAAAGGAAGCAGCGATTAATGAAGTTGGCGCTGCAGCAGAGCAGCGTTGGTGAATGTTAATTCTCCACTTTTGCTGAATGAAGCGCGAAGTCTCATCCTTTTCGTTACACTTTCTTCTTTTGATTTTTCCCCTTTTCTCCTCCGAAAAACACTAATGAATAGATACTTCTTTGTGTCGTTGTTTTCGAATTATTCGAATCCGACGGCGTACTCCCGTCGAGAAAAGGATTGTTCAAACAAACATCAAGTTGGTTGTGCCACGTTTACGTCGTAGTATCAGTGAATCGCTAAATATCAGTATACGTCATGGTAAATGACTTGGCATTTACACGTCAAGTTCTGTCAAACACATTTTTTAATGTAAAAAGATCGTCTCACAAGGGGACGGTCAGATTTAGCCGTCCCCGATTTGGCTGAAATTGTACATACGTGCAGTGTTTAGAAAGAAACTCTTATGGACCAAGCCGTAGGACACGCCTCTCAAGTGTCTTCGAGAAACAGCCATTTGAAAATTTGCGTGTAACACTAGGATCTGGGCAACGCACCAACTTCATAAGCGCGAGATCGCTGGTTCGAGTCTTGCTGCCGCCAAATTTTTTTTTTATGTTTCTTTATATATTCAATATTTATACTGAAGTTTAAATATTTATGCTCTGATTTCCTGCGGCTTGGGAGCTCTACGCGCTCTCTTTCTTTTCTTCTTTTAAAGGGAGTGAGAGAGAAAGAGATTTTCATACTTTATACTTTTATTCTTTTTTTTCTATCTTTTTCAAAGAGTGACCGGTAGAGGATACTGGTTGAAAAAGGTGTAGTAGAAATGATGAGTAAAGAAGTTGGTGCGTTGCCCAGATCCTAGTGTTACACGCAAATTTTCAAATGGCTGTTTCTCGAAGACACTTGAGAGGCGTGTCCTACGGCTTGGTCCATAAGAGTTTCTTTCTAAACACTGCACGTACGTACAATTTCAGCCAAATCGGGGACGGCCAAGTCTGACCGTCCCCTTGTCAGTACAGCTTGATGTATAAATTAATAAAACGTGGTATATAAAACACAGGGAGACAAATTGACACCAAATTTTTCGACGAAAGATCTATAATTTTTATTTAGAGAGAAGATTGTCTTGAGTTGGAAAAATAACATACTTGAGGATTAACTCGTAATCGAGCGATTGTGTTTTACGGCAAGTACAATATTGACCTAACACACACACACACACACACACAATACTTCTGCCCAAATAAACGTGAAAGGGTTAGTACAAAGAACAGTCTTATCGTATTTCGAACTGAATATCGATACGATCGCTTGTTATCAGTTCTCCATGCCTTGTATTAAACTTTTCTGTCATTTCTCAGTATCTCGTGAAACGAAGATAGAAGAAATATATTGAATGCTTCAAAACTCGTGTCTGATGTGAATTGTGTTTGATGTATCGATAAAAATGTGTACCGATGTATGACATCTATAGTCTCTTTTTTTATCACTGTAGAAAAAGAAGCAAAATTGTAATAATACGATTTACATTAAATTAAAATTAAGTCTGAGCAATTAATAATTAGTTGAGGCACAAATAAGTTGCAAGGGATTAAAGAGAGAAACATTTTTTTTCTCCAAGATATATTATCATATAATCGGATAGGCAGAAAAGAATCGCGAATTGGCAATAAATAAAAGTACAAAGACAAGTAAGGAAATAACAAGGTGCGTCATCAAGTTAGCTCCGTAGCCGTGTTTGCCAACGGGATCCGTCGCTGTCGTCAGGTCGTCGTCGTCGACCTGAATTTCCACTGGCGCGTTTGATGCGATGTACTTCATGGTACTTCTTCGAGAATCCACAACGTAGGGAATTAGATCGCTATAGGGTTTCGCGATAATGCTGCACCCGACGCAATGCGTCAACATATCCAGACATTGACGTGTGTCAAAGCACACGATACGCACTAGGAATACTTACGTCTCTAACGGCGAAGTATAAAAATGATGACAGTCTTGTAAATTAATGATTTTATTGCTCTCAGCAAATAGAGTCATTCTGAACGCTACTTCGGACGGTAAATGGCGGAGCAAAAGAAAGAAGGAAACGTCTCAGGAATCGCCGAGAAGGAAAATTGCAATACAAATTTTCCAGGATCATCCTGTTCATTTACCTGAATTTAGTTGAAGCCTTTCTTGAAATGCCCTTGGAATTGAGACTCTCAAAACTCGAAATTTCTTATTTGTTAAGACAGGACAATTTCTACGGAATAGAATGATTTCCGACGGAGGTGCAACCGATCGATCGGTTGACTTTGTGTTGAATTCATTCGAAGAACCGTGCACTGTCGCTCGCCTCGCAACTGATAAGTGGATTCGACGTTTCCTGCAGATTACACGGGCGCATCGCCAGGAAATTATCAGCGACGACGGCTTTCGTGTGTGCACCTAACGAAGCGCGTACATCTCGCCAAACGCTCGATTGTGACGTCCAACAGCGCGGATCGCGGTGAAAAACGACCGCATTCAACAAAGAGCACGATTGCGCAACACCCGAGCAGTTATTGTCCGTCAAATGTTCCATGCCTTATTATTACCTAACGTACGACTAATGGTTGTTCTTTCGCTTCGAAATGTTATCCGCAGGCAATATGTTAAGTAAAAGTTCATTAAGAATCGAGATACCCTTCATGTCGCGTATTAAAAAAGAAAATAATTGATAATTTCGAGGAAATCGATTTAAATATTATTTGTCACATGGCCGTTTGTTTCTGAAACCTTTAAATTTTATAAGGATGTAATCGATGTCGATTTAACAGGACTATGTCTGTGGCTATAGTATGGCTAAAACCGAGGTTTAGTTCACACTATCTTTTTAAAGAAGAAAACAGACTTTTGGCAGTTTGATTTACATAATCGATCTTCCGACGAAACGAAGCTACCGATGATTGTGAATGCGATCAATGCATAAATACCTGCGGTTAAAAAGAATCGGGCGGCGCCCGCGAAAACAAATGCAAATTAACGAATCAACGCCGATACTCGAACATCGTGACTCGCGATTAACCATTTGCGGTATTATCGAGCAACATTTCGCAAATATGCTTCTCCTTCGCCCCGATCGACGTTTCATAAAAATAAACTCTCGTCGTTCGAACGGTTTATCTCGACGAGATAATCGACGGCGAAATAATACAAGATATATTTTCAGGTTCTTTTGCAGAACTTGGACGAGCCTGTAAACAGGCGGAATACATACGAGAGTTGAAGCGCGAGATACCTCTGTGAAGTAATCCTTTATACTCTTTCATAATTCTGCAAAGCAGAATTATTTTGTTCAATAACTGTAGAATGTTGTCATGCTGAACTATGGGGTAGAACATAGGATGTGTAGAGATTACTGACAAACTTAATAAATGATTTTGCTAATGCATATCTTGCCATGTATATCACACGATGTGGCAAAGGAAAGAAAAAAACACAGCGCAACTTGGTTAACGTCAGACCTCAATTGGGTTTTGTTTCCACGAGAACAATTTCTTCCAAGCGGCAGTGTAATAATGCAGACACGAAACAGCCTCATTACATATGATAAATGTAACAGGCTGTATCCCAGAAATGACGGAGGACGGAGTTACCGTATTGTTCTTGATGAAATTTCAAGTTTCGCCAGGCAGAGGCTAAGGCGAACTATCGGAAAATTGTAATATTTTTCTCTCGAGTTATGCTCCAGAAATCTTGCGCAAATAACATGGTGAGTGATTTGTCGTTGGGTTTAGAGCGGAATTAGCTCCAGTATATAACGTTACATTCACGAGAGATGACGATAATTATTTAGACGATAATAAGGAAAATAAAAGGAATTCTTTTCTCCCTCTTTTCTCTCTTATTTTTTTCCTTCTTTCTTCTCTTTTCTTTTTTACTTTTTTCCCCTATTTATTATATGAGAATCTTTTTAATCGTTATACTATTGTCTCAACTACTGTACGCTAAAGGGGTCAGACCCGTATATTATAAATAAATAATTAAATAAATAAATAAATAATTCCCATCGGCGAATTTCATGAACGCAACACATTCACGCATGTTCTCCGCCGACGCCGACACACCCTGTACTCGCGCAAGGATTCCCGCGTCAATTATAAAACCGTAATCGCACTGATAAACAAACTTACGGTACCCGGTGTACGTAATGGTCTGCTACGCTCTGGTCTGCTAAATTAACTCGCGCGGCAAGGTTTTGGGTAAAAACCAACCAACGGGGAGATACAAATCGATCGCGGAAACTAAGCATGCGAGTGCATCGCATCGCATACGGCGAGAAGTGCCGCATTGTCCAAATTGTTGCGCTGCAGTCGCGGGCGAATAAATAAACTTTGCGGTAACGTGCGTGCGTACGTGTGCATACGAGCACCAAGGTGAGAGAGAGAGAGAGAGAGGGGGGGTAGGAAGGGAGGGGAGAGAGAGAGAGCGAGAGAGAGAGAGATATGGACAGACACGAGATAAAAAGATACCATTGGTACACAACGGTAATCCGATATTCCCGACGAAACGAATCGCTCGAACCTGTCCGAGAGCAGCGGAGACTCACCGTCGTCCAGTGTTGCCAGAAAACGAAATTCTTCGCAATATGTAAATTTCTCAAACCGCAATTGTTCAAATAAAAAGAGCTCTGTCTCTCTCTCTCTCTCGCTCTTATAAATTCATTCGATCACATTTCTCGAAATGTTATTCGAAAACGTCATTATATCGAAATTTCAAGCTCATTAACTGCGACAGGAGTTAAATTGTGGCGTATACCTGAACTCAGTTTCAGATTAGTTCAGGAGACGATAAGCTGAAGTTCGTAGGAAAAGCACATAGGTACAAGAAAAGGGAAGGGTCTTGTGTATTCAGGTAAAAGTTCGTACCAGAAACAACAATGAACCCTCGTGTGATGTTTTCGCGGCGGACAAACGCGCGCGTCCCTCCCCGAGAAAAGCGCGATCACCGTGTAACGTATTTTCTGCGAAATAAAACGATCCATTGAAAAAGCTCCGTTGAATGACTGATTCAAACAATTCCGGTCAAATTGATCTGGCAACATCGCCCTTGGCGATGTTCATCCCGCGCCCATACGCGTCACGTTCACGATGCGTTTCGCGCCGGGTGTGGGCGAGAAGGTTCTCTCTCACCGGGCGCAGATGTCTGTGTCTCTCTCTCTCTCTTTCTTTCTCGCGCGCGCGCTCCCTTTCCCTCATACCTTTCGGAAAGCGAAGAGATCCTTTTGCAGCTTCTGCCGCTCGGCCGTCGGCTGCTGCCCCTTCCCCCTGATGAACTTGAGCATCTCGATGATTCCACCTCGTTGGCCCGGCTTGGCGGCGTTTGTCCAACTCCACGGGGTCGTCTCCCTCCTCGCAGGCAGGCACGACTGGTATCGGCTCGTCACGTCACATGAATGTCGCTGAATGCGACCGGTGAATGCGTACGGTTATGCTGCCACGTTTTCTGCTCGGGACGCGATACGTTCTCGAACGTTTGTCTGGCGCGCGCGCGCGCGCGCACGTCTCCAAGAAACACGCCCGCACACGTCAGTGTGTGTCCCTTTCTGTCTCTTTCACGCCGCGAATCCTTACTGCGTATCGCTTTTCCCACTCTGCGTCACCGCGTTGTCGTGTCGTTGCGTCGCTCCTTCTTTCTCTTTCTTTCACTCACACCCGATGTCGATGCGCCCCGTGATGTGCTGTCAGCCGTATATCACCGCAAATACGCTCGCCGCGAGTAGCTGCTCCTTTCGTTCGTTCGTTCGTTCGTTCGCTCGATCGCGCGGACAATAATCCGGCTAGGGCCGCCACGGAACGTGTGATGATGCTGCGACGGGGCGAATTATAAAACTATCAAAAAAAACACGGGCACGGAGACGCACTCGACCACTCTCCACGTCGCTCGCTCGTGTTCACTCGCGTCTCTCGCCGTCGTCGCGTCGCCTCGTTCACTGCTCGCCGGAGTTCGAGCATGTTCGGGAAAGATCGCCGTCGCTCGGTGTCGCTCGAGTGCACGGCAGTCGGCGAGCGCGTCCGAACGAACAATGACCTCAAGATCCACCATTTGCCAACCGTAACTGAAGAAAACGTTCGAATGGCCGGTCTCCAGGCGTTTCGGTACTGCCAGGGCTCTCAACTGCGAATGTTTCATTTACAGACGCGCGATTTTCCAGCGACCCATGGCCGTCCGCATTTGACACGCGCTATTTAGGTATGTGGATATGTTTCTCTCTTTTGACGCGATGAGGAAAGCAAATTCCTCTGAAACGACCGCCATTGACCGTGCGCGGATAAACTCGCCCGATGATACTCGTAATTCGCGTCCCGATCAATTATATTATCCCGAATAATAACACGACACATCCGCAGTGTATTAAGCAATTTTACACAGAATATCGCAGGCGATCGTGTCGTTATCTGCTCAGTACTTGCATTGCGAATTTGTACGCGCGCTTTTTCACGGAGCATTCGAATATCAACGAACATGCGTCATTACCAACTCTCCCGCTCAAACGCCATTCTCTTTTCTCACGTGACGACGCAAGTTACTCGAAACGATTTTCATAATATGACATATCCGTGAAATGATAAGAAATGAGTATTGATATCATATATCATTATCCAACTCTCAAACGAAAAATACGAAATTTCGTATTCGTATCATCCGTACATCAGCTTTGACTATATATCGACAGATATTCATACGTATATATCGGTGTAGATACGCGGGAAAAAAACGCACTCATATCACATTCATTCCATGCATATAACAGGACGTCACGTACTTGAATTTCCGCAATTTCCCTGCATGGGGTTCACGATTCTTAAATCGTTCTTTAATACTTTACTCGCGATGAGAGATACGTGTCATCGTTAATTTTATTACATTTGAACGATGCACGCATGAAAAAAGTTCTTAGGAATTACGAGAAAATATACTCGAAGATGTAAAACGTAAATCTTATATAGCATGCTCAAAAAGCTGTTCACAGATAAGGAATGTATACAATTTCAATTACAATAATTACTTATATAAATATATAGAATTGCCTTATTTATACTATATAAAAAGAATTGGGCTTAATATATATGTATGAAAAAAAGTACATTAATATATCACAATTTTTGATCAAGTAAAACAGGTAGCAAAATATATACCAGAAAATTTTAAAAATATAAGAACAACGATGAAAGACTCATTTCTAATTCAGCTGAAATATACTTTTAGCTTTCTAAATATTTATGCTACCTGAGATTCAAACAAGTTCGACGGATATGTCATGTCTTGTGAGCTTATGCGTTATATGCACTTCAATAAATTCTCTTGATATTGTGTATATACAATCTTTAAATCGCAATATAAATTAAACACCAGGCCGGTATCACATCGTACATATCTTTTTGTCTTTGTTTCTTCTTTTTCTCTGTATCTTAGTGTTAGGTAGATAATACATGTAAGTAAGCTGCCACGAATGTTCTAAGAATCTTGTTAATATTTTCGGTAGTTTTCAAATCAATATTTCCTCGGTTGTCACCTTCTTTGTGCCAGAAGGACGGAAAAGGGCTCGGTATTATGTGTAGAATGGGCACGTCTGAAAAATATACAGTTCACAATAATTAGGATGTACGTAAAATAATTTAATATAAAAATTTGTGCCTACACATATGCACACTCAAACTCACATACAAATTATTCTCACTACTTACTTCTTCTCATAAAAGGGATATGGTCGTCTTCGATATGTGAGTCGAACGAATATGGTTGAAAATACTTTTGCTCCCGTTTACCGTACGAATACGATTCTAATTTTCTCAAATCAGCCAATTTCTCCTCGATATTAATTAACAATGAGTACCATTTCTTGGTGTTTTCAAAGTAACTGTAGAAAGCCGGATCTGGCGCACCGATTAGGTCAAGAAGGATTAACATATCCTGTAATAAAACGTTATCTAAACAATGAATAATTACGATGACTTAGCATGCACGATACTAAAGAAATGTATCATATTTTATAAGTTATATCAGTAGTGTACATAGCAAGAGTGACAAATAAATTTTACCATTTTATCCAACTCATTGATATGATCTCCTCTGCCATTAACAGTCCTCTTATTATGCCATTTTTTAGCTAAATGCTTGGCACCGTAAATAGAGTCATCTGGACCCCATTCCTCAAAAGCTTCTTCTCCATCAAAGAAAATAAACATCAGACTGATATCTTGCTGGAAATAAATGTAAAAATTTGAGGAGATCTTATCTGAGTTGTCAATCTCATATCTTATATGAGTTTACCTCTTTAATAATCTGTAAAGAATTGTTCATGACAGTAGCCAAATTAATCATTTGAGCACATGGTATAGCGCTATCTGTCGCCCCAACAAAATTTCTCTCCCTCGTATACTTGGAATCATAGTGACAAGCCAGCACTAAGTATCTTCTGGCATTAGGATTTAATCTGACTATTATATTTTCAAATTCTAATTTGCCAAACAGTGGAGTATTAGCTTCGAATGAGTCCGACTCCACTGTCCAACCAAGAGCACTCATTGACCTCTTTATATACTGAAAGAAGAAATATGCATTTTTATTTCATTTGCAGATTAGATATTAGAACTTTATATATATGCATACTTATATAATTATTTGCCCGATATGCGATATTCATTCGCACCTCGTCTCGAGATAGTTCTTTTTAACCAAATTTCTAATTAATTAATCACAATATCATTGACGCGCAAAGTCACGAGTGTCATTTCCTACTTACATTTTTGACATTCGTGTGTCCGGGAGTCCCTACGATCCTGACGACACATATGTTATCCAGAATCTCGTTCATGTGCGTGATATTCGTGAGGTCGGACAACCTGGCGATCTGTTCGATCGTCAGCTGGCTCGACGTATGATAGTACTGGAATCATGTACAACAATAATGACTTGTCAGGGCGACGTACTCGGGTCGACGGCGAAGCGACGCTCAGTACACGCATGATGACACAATGGGCAGGTGAACGGTGATGCGAGATGCGAGTGGTAATGAAGAAGCTGCCTCTTCCTCAGAAACGGAGAAAGAGGACAAAGGTTAAACAAGTGATACGCCACGTTATATATTACATACTTTCTCGCTTCTGAACGGTATCTCCTTCGGACCATTCATGTCTGCCTTGTGCAGCAACACAATGCCAATCAGGAAAACGCATAATGTGAACCCGAGTACACCCATTCTTCAGGAACGGTCACGCGTCAACTGAGCGTCGCGGCGCCATGGAACACAGACGCGCCATCTTGACGTTTAAATACCACGCATGCACGTGGCATGGATCAATTTCGATATGGTTCTTACGTTCATTCATGCGAATTACGATGAATTGCTGTATATCGTTAAACGGATTGAGATATATTTCTGAACAAGCGAAATCTGACAGTTGATCCCGGAGTTGGTATATATAAGATTTAGAAAATCAACGTTTGTTCCTCGTTTACATTCTCTTGAGAGAGAAAAATCACTGTTTATCCGTGCACTTAATCGACCGTCGTACAAAGCTCGTATCTCAGATTGCGCAATAATAATTAAACTCGTATACGTTCATTGGACTTGGAATGTAATCAACGGGAAAAAAATCGACTTTTTTGATTATTGATCACGAACACGTCATCACGCAGTCGACAGCTATTTTTCATTTGATCTTAGATTGATTTCACTAGAATTTTTCTTTGAAAATGAATTATTAAGAAATGTATGTTGAAAATTATAAAACTACAAAGAGAAGAAATTTTATGAAATTTTACGAGGAAAGTTTGGAGTAACAATTAAACATAGAATTTGTACGCGCGCGGACGACTATTAAATTAAAACAACAACCAAAGGTAACAAGAGGCTTAAAAAGGCTTCTGAAAATGGAGGACAGTAATTTGTGTGAGGCATATTGTCTTTCGTACATTCTATTATCTATTTTATTATTTAATATCCAAGGTCTCGTGAATTCTCACTGTTTTTAATTCTAGTCACTTTTCCGTTTCTCTTGAATTTTCTTATATTTATATTCGTTCCTAAGTCCTACTTAGCGCTTTATCACGCGATTGTAGCAATTAACACGGTACACTTAATTCATCTTATTCATATTTTCGCGATAATAATCAGCGACGCACTCCTGCTTTCTCTTTTTACAAATGTATTGCTGTTACAAAGAGTAGTCGGCAAAAGATAAATTAGAAGAGGAAGTTGACGCGAAACGTGTCGTTCGCGTTCGCGTGCGAACATGGAAGACTCGCGGGGGAGAATAATTGATTTAACTTATATGCTGAAAAATGTCGTGTATAAAGTAATCAAAATATTCCTCTTTACTCCTTAGACGACTCATATACAGTGTCGTTGTAATAAATCTTACAGATCGGTGTTATCAGGAGAGCTATGTATCAGACATAACTTCGCGATCCGCGTTATCACGTAACGATCATAGCAGCACCATATATTATATAAATGTTTACGTTATGCACCACACACGTTACGATATCGCGTTTCGTCCGCGGTATTAAGTTTTAACCCTCTTCGGAGTCGAATATTTTATTTATTAACTACACGTTTTCCACATAGATTCTCAGTGTAATTTTCTCAACATCCCGAGTCAATCCCAACATCCCAATGTCACTCGAGAGAAGTCGGAACTGCGGTTTCCGTCCAAATCATCAATCAGAATATCCTGACTTCTTCGTGTCTTCACGTCTTCAGCTGAGATCTATTGTTCCGTCAGACTCGAGATGGTTAAACCGGACTCGCGGCGAACGGACGCTCTGCGCAAAAATCGCGACTCGATCTTCTTCTTGCACGATCCTAATCGGGATATTTATTTAATATTTGGTACTACCAAGGTGAGAGAGCGTTCACGAGCATGATGCCGTATCCGCGTCGCCTTCCGCTTCGCTCATGCGACTCGACGACGATCGTTCTCTCTTCGCGAGATTGAACTCCCACTCGATCGCGTTAAATAAATAAAGGCAAACGCGACGTCGACGCGAGCCAAGTTTCACGGACTCGATCGATATGGTCGTTCGGTTTTCAATTATCAAGATACGCGACTCCGGTTCTCACCGAGCTTCCTCGAAGCATATATAACATCCGTTAAATCCGCGACTGACGGAAACGGACGACGGACGGCCGCTTTCGCGCTAAAGTGATGACGACACGTCACGTCTTTAACGTCTGCGTTTCCAACAATTTGAGAAAACCCGATCGGGAGTCGAGCATCGCAGTCGACGGACGGGAACCAACGCGCGATGAACGTGAGCGCGATTCGCGCCTCCTGCGCGATTAACACGCGTGAGTGCGCTCACTTTAAAGATGTGCGTGCGAGAGAATGATCGATATATCTTACTTGTATAAACTGGAAAAGTACAAAATGATCTCGCCTCCTAAGTGTAAGTAACGCGGATTTTGAGCAACCGCTTTACGCAAGTCGAGTATTTCCAGGCGACGCGAGTGCTCCGAAGATCAGCTACGGGAGAGTGGCCAAAAGACGACCTGATCTCTTGAACGATCTCCCGAACGTTCTTCTGGACCTCCTCGCGTTGCCTGGATTCTTGGACTTCCGGCCGGTGGAAGCCAAACGATCGGTCTATCGCAGGGAGAGAAGAGCTTGCTTTTGCGTTTCGTGACGTTCGCGTAAATCGAATATCCGATACTCGTTGGCCACGCTTGAATTAACTTCATTAACTGATCAATAAATTACGTCTGAAGCCGGACTCTTTGCGATCGCGGTTAGATTCAAATCGATCAAGACGATCGATCTATTGCACGTCGCGATTGCGAATTGACCTCGGCGAGTCTGTCGAATTTTACGAATATATTTCTGGTCCTTGTCCGGCCAGTCAAGACGCTAATAGAGAATGTTCGACAAGTTTGGCGAGCGCGAGCGCGCCCGGGATGCTTTCTTTCCTCCGATGCCGACCAGCTGAGTTTCTTCAGTAGTTGTAGGGCCCATACTGAGAACCGTGATAATACGGGCCCGGGTATGCCGCTGGGGCTGGATATCCGGGGTACGCGTATTGCTGTTTCTGGGGGTACACTGGAAAAACAAGAAAGCAGATTAGAATCGATCCGGCCTCGTCGCGTATGCGATAAAAACGAAGTTGATAAAAACGAAGATTCTGTTACTCGATGCATGAGGCTCGATGAAGTCGTTGCTCGTCATCGATAGAAAACTTTTTAAACGACACGGTCTAGACGGTTCTCGGTTATTGTTTGTCGTGAATCTTATTGTAACACCTTTAGGGTAGAATTTAGCGAAAACTTCGCGATATAAGATTCACATGATTTTCTATTTACATTAGAATTTGCGTTACAAGAGGGATTTCCCGATGTCGCGAGGCAGGACACGTTGTTGTTTGTCCTGCGCGTAAATCGAATTCCGACACAGCGATCGGTCCGCAGCTGAATGCGTAAACACGGAAATTCTTTGTGGCAGGAGGTCGATGGGTGTATGCGACGGAAAATTAGGCAAGTGTGTCGCTTTCGAGCGACTACTTCGACTCTAGATGTCTTCGGTTTTCCATTCCTTTTCCCTTCGCGGAAGTTAACCATTACCGCTTGGTCTGTTTCAAGCGAACGAGACTTATGACAACAAATATTGACAAACGAAACCGAGACGTTAAATAGGATGATTCGGGATGAATTTAACCGGTGCAAAAGTATCTTGGATTTTAATCTTGAGGAGACCTAAATGTCAAGTCGACTGTAAAAACGAGGCTCGATCGAGTTAATTATATCACGAATACTTATTTTACGTTTAAGAAGTAAAATTTTGCTCTTGTAAATATCTATTGAACAAATGGTGACAATTCTCTGTTAAGTCTTAAGATTTCTTAAGAGAAAAGACTGAATACGCGATAGATGTGCGAACGCATTCTGCAGTCCGATTGATCATCCGGAGAACAAGTAGAAAGTTTCCTTTAGGATCAGAGCGTGACAAAATCTAATCCATAGCGGAAACAGAGCGTGAGATGGATAAGTAAAAGTTTCGCGAGAAATATTAAATATTAAATCGTTACCCTGCACACGACACTGCGATCAACAGTTGCAGGCTACGTTCGATCCATTTGCCTAATCTGCGATCAGAGTCTGAACCGCTTTCACATTAATTTGCCGTTACCATTATCGTTGTTAAGATCGACTCGTGTAATACTATGATGGATACGATTAAATTCAGACTTGCTGTTTCGCGTTACACTCGTCCCTCGACTCCTCTCGATTGATCATATTCGATAGTTACATTTCGTCATTTTCCTACGCGACTACGCGAATTCGCTTTCTTCGTCTAATCATTGAACATGTGGCTGAGAAGAAAATGCAGCCTTGGCAATATCTCTCGGAATTAAAAATTCGACATTTCTCTGAAAAACGTAGGAAATGATTTCAATACTCAGCCAACAAGTTATTTTCCGCGCGACTTAACTCTCTTCGGATGGATTGAGTTCTAGAAACTTGCCGACTCTAGAAGTCAGCGTGCAATTCGCCGCGGATTTCGAGTTGTTGATATTCACCAAACCAGTTTCTCACCATCTGGTTTTTCCACGTTTGCGCACAGCCGTCGTTCACGTAGTCAGTTCTCGAAACATTTCCGGATTTTCGTGAACGGGGTTATCTCTTTACATAATTCGAACGGTACAAAGATACACTTTTATGTACAAGGCGTTACTGGTACCGGATCCTTTGGTTAAACAAGCGATCTAATCCTTTCCGGTTCTGCCGTTACGGGCATTATTGTCATTCGATTAGTTTACGATTATCGTACGTCTCTAAATCTTGGATATGTATGTTACAACCGCTCATTTTTTCTAAATCCTCTAACAACGGTTATTGTGAATATTGTTTCTAAGTGATGTCTGTCTGTATAAAATAATCGACCTAATATGCTCAACTCGTGCTGATTATAATGGTTACGGCGTTAATACGGCGGCGCACGAAATAATGCGCGCGCGTTTACGTGTTATTAAATATTTACAGAAAAATGGCTTCTATCTCCTGCAAAATTCCAGAGACCAGAGACCCGTTTAATAACACCGTCGCGCTTCCGTATTAACGTTTCTCGCATAACGAGTGAATCCAGTTAGTATAATGACGAGATGATCGTTATCGTTGTATCAAGGAGCATGTTCCTCACGATCAAGCCGATGAGATCGTAAATTAAAGTTAGTAGAACACTCGGTGCACGCGGGATCCGACGTATACAGGCGCGATATCGCGGAAGTTCTTCCGGACGAAAGAATCTGCTCGCTGAGTCTCTGAGAGATCAGAGCGAGAAAAATCGCCGACGATTTCCACGATTTCGCCGGATCGAGTGTTTCTGTGTAATGATGTTGATATCAGCTTAATTAGCTACTACTTGAAAAAACAGAAGAACGAAAGAAAACCGAATTATTATTATTATTATTATTATTATTTCATATATTCTCATGTATAATAATCGCGATACGAACAGGGATGGCGCGATTTAACGAATACACGAGCATCTCTCCAAGATCAGGCGTTCTCGGAGATATTAAATCGACACCGATATCAACATCGGGACTTCTACAGCAACAATTACATCTGGCACGAATGCGCGTTAACCCGTTCGACCGTTCGATTATTCCGACATCGGCACGCGGGCGAGCGCGTTAGAGGAATCGACGAAATGATTTCCATGCGACTGGCATGGCGCGCGCGCGCGCTCTCTCACCGCAATTCGTCGGGCAGGTAGGCCACAGTCTCGGGGTGCCCGCGTGCACGTTCGAGTTTCAGTGGGCAAAAGCAATAGGTGTTAAATATGTACCAGGCATGAGGTACTGCATGTTCATCGCCTCCTCACGCATTCTCTCGCCCCTCAAGCAAATCGCCGCGGCGATAAACAAGATCGCGCTGACCAACGACCAACCGACGCCGACCCAAGCGACCACGTACGACCAGTCGTACGAGATTAGTGAGTTGTCCTTCAGGACCTAGAGCCGCGTGCCGCGGGCGTACAACAAACAAAAAAAAGAGACACGGGCGAGTTAGTCCAGCCGTTTCACGGGTATCGTGTCACCTGGCATGATGTACTGAACATTCTGGGCCTGCTCGCGGGCACGCTCCCTTCTCAAGCAGGATGCCGCGATCAGAAATAGCGTCATCGTACCCAGACACGTCGCCACCCCCAGCCAGGCCAGATAAAACGACCAGTCGTACCACTGCGCCGTGTTGTCCCTTAAAACCTGCGGGCAAAACTCTCTAGGTAAAAGTGCGTCATGCGCCCGCCTGCAGCCACTTAGGCAGGATAGAGACTCCTCGTTTCTCTCCTCGGCTCCGTGGAGACGCGCGATGCGACCGATCCGATCGAGTGCCTGGAAGAATCTCTCGTCGTGATGCGAGATAAGCGAAGTTTCTTCCGTTCCGCGCGTCTTACCGCGCTGTTACGTCCCCTCGTCATTTCCCCGCGGAAATTTTCCTCAAGCGCGCGCGCGCGCTGAGAAGCGCACGCGCTTGAAGGAAACGTGTGGTTTGAGATGCGAAAGACTCTGAATATTATTTTGCAAATCACTCGACAATCGTTGATTTATCACCGACGAACCGATGAATTGTTTTATCCTCGTTTGAGCTCGCCGATTCATGCGGCTGTCTGTATCCTCTTCGCTTATTTCGCTTATCATCATAACGTGTATTTCTAAAGGTCAGTCGATTGTAGTTGACTTTCAAGTGTGAACTGTGTGAACGATAGAGAAGTGAAACTAAATTGGAGGAACATTATTTGATCGATATATCGTTGTTGTCTGGCTTTTCTTGTCGTTCGCGATCGACGTACACAGTCAACGACAACCTTCACATTTTTCCGACAACTTGTTCGTCTGTCGGAGAAATGTGTCCGTACAAATTGGATCAATGGCAGAAATAATGGCAGAATAGGGGAAGGACGAAACGTTACTTACGTTGCTCCATTGTTGGTAATACTCTTCGCCGACAATTTTCTCCTTTTCATAATATTCGACCCCGTGCCACAGGCCCATACCACCAGCGCTCAGAAGGCCTGTATCATTCAGACAGATATTCTAGTTATTTTGTGCGTGAAAGGCGTGAAATGAGGAAGAGTTTATATCTCGAGAGCATCTTGGAAAGTGAATACTGACAGGCGAATAACATCAAAATCGCTGTGGCCGTGATGTTTCCTGGTGATCTTCTCCAACAGCCCACCACTCCTGTCCAAAACGCCGAGAATATCGCGACAAAACCGACCATGAATAGCGCTATCACGGATCTCCCCATGTCTGTGTGACAGTGACAAAACACTTTAAATGCTAGTCGAATGTGCGTAAACGTCGTTACTTGCACATATGCCTGTGAATGTGACGGTGAATTTTAAGACGCAGGCATCCTGCGTCCTACAAATTCCAACATCAAGACATTTAATCTCTTCTGGATACTTTGGATTACGACGAAAGACGCGCAAGATACGTGAGACAGATTTCTCTTTCGGACGAGAGACGCGACAATGTACTAGGTACTAGGACTTTCTATCTATGACCTGCGTAAAATGTAACAATAATAATAATAATAATAATAATCGGCGCTATACTTACGTAGTCGTGCCATCGCGTCGTCGGAGAAACCCCTCGTCTGATTCTCTTCATCGGGAATAAAATAATCGATATTCATGCAGTGCGTCTCCACGGGGCTCAAGTAAGTTTCGACTGCAATTACATAATGCATAATTCAGACACGATCACGTAAGAACCTCTTCAAGAAATATTCTACAAGGAGGCGCATATATTCTCGAATCCTCTTCCCTCCCCCGTCACTAATTGGCTAACCAAGACTGACGTTCTCATTTCGCCGACCGCAAAACACGCGAGTGTTAACGTTTTGTCTGACAATCTAACGACTGCAGATTACGACACTCGGAATGGAGGCGCGCTGCATTCCGAGCGAGATGGACGCGGAATCTCGGTGAACCGCGAAATCACGTATCGTATCGTCCGAAGATGACGACGGTACCTCTATATCGGAGAAACTCGTGTCACGTTAAAGAGGCTCAGCTGTGAGAGCGTGATGAGTCTACCGCTAAATCACAGGCCGAGTGAACGAAAACGTAAAACGGACATTCCACTCGCGCGAGCCACGTGAAACTTTTTTCCCCCGAAGAGCAGCATCGCTCCATCGGGACGAGATTTCTCTCACGTCTCTCGCTAAACATATTCCGGAGATGGTTCCAAATTAATCGTCTCACGATGTTCGCATGCACGCGCATCTTTTATATTTTCAGATTATGATAATTATCTAATTATTCATCTTTTCACCGCGCAAGAACGGGGTATTCCATATTCACACTTCGAGTCGAGTCCAGACTTCCAGACTCGAAAATCCTTGGAGACCGCCGCGTATTCTCGCGTAATCCACCGCGAAGAATACCGGCGAGATTGATCAGCGCCGCCGCGGATCCCACAGCCCCGCGACGTCAAGACGTCGACGTCGAGCGTGCACGTCTCGAAAAGCACGCGACCCAGAATGCAGCGGGCACTATCACCGGGCGCAAAGTGCGCGGTATGCTTTTACCTGCTGTCGTACCTGCGGCCTCTCGTGCCTGCGCTCCTTCGTCTTTCGCACAACGGTTCTCTCTTTTAGCGAGTCCTAATCCACGAAACGCCACTTTCGAAAGGCATTGCACGCGGGGGAAAAGTTGTTGTGAAGTAGCCGGTGCTTTCACAGTCAGCTCCCGGTGAGTGAGTGAGTGACAGGACATGCGACCGCGTCCGTCACTTTGAAACCGTCCTCGCGTCGTCGTCGTTTAATTAGTCGCCCGGGGAGGATTATTTCCATCGTCGATGAGACTCGGACGTGTTGCCGCGCAGTCTCTCGGTGAAGTCAGATTTAGCCAGCTCTATACTCGACGTCTCGAAATGAAAGCAGAGCTACAGCAATGATTTTCGGGCCAATTAACATTCTTACCGTCGGTTGTAAATTTTTCTTTTCATTTCACACTTGAGTTCTACTCGAGCGACAGCCAGACAGATTTGAAAAGGAAAACACTGCTGGGACTAACGGAACGGACTTTTTTCTTTTTTTTTTTTTTTTTTTTAATTAATACGGATTGCTCAAGATAATATAATCTTATACATTTCAAGCCAGGTCGGCATAGTTTTGTTTATTGACTGAGACTTTCTCCGGAAGCTTCGTCCGTCAAGAATAACGCTAACATAAAGCACGCATGAAGCAATGCTTCGTTTCACAAAGTGTCCGTTATCACGTGTAACGCGGTACGGAAGGTACGTAGTTTCCGCGGAGGAAGCTCGGCTTCGCAGCGAGCCTCCGTCCTGCGCGAGGAGCCTGTCAATGCAACGTACCGTTTGAAGTATTTGAGATTCACGCGACGGACGGCGCGGCCGTTTCCTCGACCTTCTTCGAATCTAGTTTCGCCTAAACGAGGCGCCATGCCAAGATCGTTGACTCGCGCCTAACTGTACACGCGTTATACTCCTCGCCATTACCGGAAGAGGGGCCCGCTCGCGTCGGCGATGGTGGCGAGCGCGATCTTCTCGCGCGCGCGGCAGACCCTCCTCGTAGTTTCTTCTTCATCGGGTGCTAAGCCGCGATGTGAGCGATACCAGAAGACGGATAAAGCCACCAAACCGGTCCGTTGATTGGCTTCCTCAAATCTTTCATGTATGCACTCGCGATGAGGCCCGGTCGTACACGCTTGACCTCGATTTTCGGTGTTGGCCACACTCGCGCTCTCGACGCCGCCTGTCGTCGCGAGTGTGTGAGAGTACGATAAAATTCGTTTACGAAATCACACGTAACGTCATCCGGAGGAGTGGTCATATCTTTGGAAATCTTTGGATAATCACCACTTATATAGTTGAATAAATATGGATGTTTATAACTTCGCTCAATATATGTATACGGCTTGCGCGAAATCGATCAGCGATTTGTTTGAACCTTTGCTCGACCGTTGTAGGGATGAATGAGGGTCAGGCTCGATCACGTGCGCGTAATCAATCGGAGCCACCGGAAGCGGGTCGCCGGAAGAACACGGCGCACCCAAACCGAGAAGGTGTCACCGAGCGGCGTCGATGAACGGTACTGCGGCGATACGAGCGATGCATCGATCATTGCGATTGTTTCCCCGGCCGAGCGAGGAGAAGCCAACGCGCGAAACGAAACCCTCCCGTGTGCGTCAGGTGTGTGCTGCAGGTTCCTCGTCTCGTTTCGCCCGATCGTGATATCTTCGCTTCGGCATCGCGCGGCCTCGCGAATCAGCCGATAGAATCGATTCTCACCGATCCGGCCTCGATACGCTCTCGCCTTTCCTCGCAGTTTCTTCCATCCCACGATCCAAACCGACGAACACCGACACGATTGCATTTTCCTTTACGATCCCAGCCAGGAGAAGCGCCATTGTCCTCTTGACTGTCTCTTGAATCGGATCGTTCCCGCTATATCTGAATTCGATCGTCCATCTTGGCTATCCGTCCGTTGCCGGCTATTAATCTCGAGTCTGCAGACTCTTCCTCTTTCTGCCCCCCCCCCTCCATCAGCCCCTTTTCTTCTCTTGAAAATGTTAGCTGCGTAAGACAATAGGAAAGCGACCGTTTTCACCCTTTACAAATCACGAGGACGAGAGCGTCATGCGTTATCCTGTCAAGGCGCTGATTTATCTTACGTAAGAATTCTTTTCTCTTGCTTTTGGTCTTCTTCTTGCCATAAGGGTGAAGAGTAGAATAGAACGCCATGTGGCGCCATGCTACGTTATGTCGACGGTTATGTTATTTCTACGCTCTTGTCTCTGTTTATATACGATTATATACGTTGGAATTCTAGAACGTCTCTTAATAGATGCCGACGGTGTTTCTATTCCTCGACCGTAAAAGGCAACCGATGGTGACCTTAACATCTCGTCGTCGGACAGTTTTGAGGTCGACGATGTGACGTCGAGATTACCATCAGTTGTCTTCTATGTCTAGGAATTTTATGGACTTGCAGTCCCCTCCCTCAACAGGTCGATCTCAAAATTCTCCATTGTTATCTCTCGTTCATGAAGCGCTAGTGCATTTTTCGACAGGAAGATGTAAATATCTAAATGTTCCTTTTTATTTTATTTATTCTTGTGCGCTCGATTCCATCCATTCCATTTTTTATAACGCAAAACGGATGTCCCTTGTGGTACGTGACATCGACACATTTCCCTCGCGCTCATCTTGAAATTTTTACAAACGCGCTACCGTCGTAGCGCTCCCCTCTGTAGCGATTCACTATTGTGCGGACAACAATGGATTTTACACAAGGCTCCTAACGTACGTACGACCCGCATCTATCGTGGTTTGCCCGTCATGGGTGCGTTTTCGCTTTGTATCGCAGCGCATTTCTCTTCCCGTTCGAAGAATGCGCAACCTGAAACTTCCGGGAGAACTGGAATCACCTGTAGCGCATAACAGCAGCGCTAACGCGAAAAAGATGCATGTATATTTTCTTTGCTTTTTTTAATTCTCATGTGTTCTTACGAATCAGACTGGCGTAATCGTTTGTATAGCGGTGCTTTTAAGGTGCTACTAAAAATGAAGTCTCATTTCTGTGGGAAATTACTCGTCGATTATATTCCTCATGACTAGGCTCGTAAAAATTGATCTTGGAACGAGTGACTTACAAAGATATTTTAAATAACTCGATTGCATAATTCGCAGCTTTGAAAAGTATCGTTGTGTTCATGGTCATAAATTTTTGATTAGAGAGTGATGTGGAACGCCTTCTTAGATTTTCACTCTGCGCTCTGTTGTTTTCTTTGTGTTATATCACAATATTGGACTGCATTTGTAGTATTTTCACTAATCAAAATCGACCTGTACGATTATGCGATACAATTGTACACGCTACGCGCATACACTGCAATGCTGACGCTCGCATAATAATCTCCGATCGGGAATGATATATATTTTTTATGTAATCATCGAGCAGTATGTAAAAATCGATTTCGTGATTCGCCTAATCCGAAAAAATCTGCATCTTTGAATCTTCTCGCGTACATTACATGCATCAGTAAATGTGATAGAACGAGATATGAATAATGAATGTAATATAAAATATTTCTAATTTTAACTTCTCTCGAATGCGTAATTACTTTAATACTCTCTTTTTTTGCTCAATTATCTCTGCGTCTTTGTTCAGAAACATAATCTCGAAGAAGATAAAGAGAAAATTAAGTCACGGTTAAATTCAGCCAACGTGGGAGAAATCGGGAGATCCCTGAGAGAGAGAAAAGAGAGACCGATTTAAATAGATAATTTTCATATCTTAATTGGCTTTGACCTAGATTCATATCGGAATTCACTTAATCAGCATACGCCTCCTGAAAAGAAACTTAAGCGGAGTCGTTACCTGAAATGAAGGCCTTTAATCGGAATAATTTTATCAATTACGGATTATTAATTACACCAACTCCGTAATTGTCAAGTAATTATATATCGTCGCGTCGCCTCTGATTTTATTTCTGATTGCGAGCGCATCGTCCGATTGGACACGCGCGCAGAGCGTGAGCTTTGTTTCCATTGTCGCTCTAAAAATCCTCGATACGTTACTGAACTTTAATAGAGGACGTACTGCGTGTACGTCATTACCATAGAAAGTTGCCAGTAGGAAAGGCGTTCCGAGTCGTAGAGCGTTATACGACGTATGCGAAATCACGCACGGGGAGCAGGAATTTATTACATCCTTGTGTGTAACATTCGTCATGATAAAGACACGCGCGCGCGCGCGCGCACGATGCTTGTGCCAAATTTCGAATGCGAAATTTAAATATAAATTGACATATCGCACCTTGTCTCACAAAATTTTATTTACGATGCGATAGCCACGGTAAATTCACTAACGGTAAATTCACGGTATTTTCCTCAGATGTTTCAAGACCGCAGTACGTATTAATTAAAATAAGATTTTCGAATTATGCGCGTGCCGTAGTTTTTAAGACGCGATATATAAATGTAGTTATTTTCCAAATGGAGCGACAAAAATTATTCTGTTATTGCGGTAGCGAAAGAGAGAATGTGTTTCTGGATACATTGATCTTATTTAATACATCTCTCGCGGGTTTACTCGTTTATTCGCGCGACTTTTGAAGAGGCTTTTCTTCGTTCGCGCGGTCAATAAAATCTCGGACACGGTTTGTGTTTGCGAGGCATTAACACGCAGGCGATCGGTCGATCGATCGCGGCACGCTGACCGTTTCGCAACGACCGCGATCGCAACGGTCCACTTACGAGGCGTCGAGATGTGCTCCGGAGAAAAAAAGCCACCCAGCAGTCCCCGAGGAAAAAAGAAAAAGGCAAAAAATCAACAGTCCCCGAAGCGGGATAGTCGCGCCGTGCAGTAAGTACGTAATTTAAGGCGAGGATTCTCGCGGTCGGGCATGCGTGTAAAAACTTTGCGCAAATCGGTTCTGCTCGACGGCGGAATATTTCATATTCTCGTCGCTCGTTTAGACATTTCGCTCGAAATCGCGCCTGGAAAATCGCGCGTCGTCGTTCACACGGTATTTTTCCTTTTTGCCAGCGACTAACGGACGTGCCCGATGTATGTTACCCAGGACTGGTTTCGATTAACTTTTTTTCAATATTCCTCTCTCTTCCTCCCTACTCGCCAAACTCGCTTTGGAGATTAATAAGACATCTCGCATTTACTCAAGAATTTATCAAGAACTTGAACCGTATGAAAAGGTCCGCCGGGATGACGGGAAAAAACTTTGGTCTCAAAGTAAAAGCGTGTCCTATATCTCGCGTCCGAGGTACGTACGTTTTACTTTTGCTACGAGACACATTTGCCTCTCGGTCTGAAGTGTACGTGTTTGCTTGTGAACAAGTACTAACAATGCGATAACATGCGCAAGTGCGCAAGTAGAATTATAATTGCGAAACAATTCTTCAACAAGTCTTGTCTTTTGTCATCGACACGTTTACAGGATATTACGGCGTGTGTGTCTTCAACTCGGCGCGTAAACAAATGCTCCGATGCCCTCATCGATGCTTTTTCCACGTGTTTACCTCGATGGAAAAGGAAAGAAAAGCCCCCCGTTTTATTCACATTTACGACCCATTGTGCGAATACTTTCCATCTAAGAGCACAGAGCTGAACTGTACGTAGCGACCGATCGCAAGATGAGAAAGCGTCGCGGAGCATCGCGCCGTGGCTGTCGGGTGAAAATGCACCTTTCTCCGAAGATTGTGCGCGCCGATTATAAACTGTTAACCTATTACGTGGGATCGGATAACCTACGACATTATGAGATCGTAACGTAGAAAGTGCGCTAAAGGCCGCGTAAGAGGTGTCAGCGACGAGGGCTAGACAAGGAACTCGAGAAGGTTCATCGATTTCGAATGATCGGGGACCAATGATTGGATCCAAGACTCGAGTCGACTCGATTCTTTGCGTTCACAATTTCGTGTGAAAATGTGCACATATTCGCTTCATATTGTGTTATGCGCGGGCTATTTAAAAAGAAAAACATCACTTTTGTACAAGTAATTTTTTCCTAAGGCGCGAGCCCACGAAATTGATCAGCAATCGCCTTAAATCGAAACAAATTCCATGACATTCACAAGGTTACAAGTTTCATTGATGACAGTCGTTCTTATCATCACGCGACTGTGATGATGATTCATTTATCGCAGGTGAATGTTTCGTGATCGGACATGCAATTCTGCTCAACGATCTTTGACATACCTGTCGGTGGTCTCTCTTTGGGATAACATATCCTGAATAATCCCTGAGTCCTCGTGTAATAATAATACTTTGTGTTCATTTGCTCCACCAAGTGGCTTTGCTCGGCATGCTTGCTCGCGTATTGCTGCAACAGGAAGAAAAAAATTTGTTGATGCGATGACCGTCTGTCGCAAGCGTCGACTTAACATTCGATGAAAGTTGCAACACGCGGCGCGCTGTTATTAACGATGCTCGAGTGAAAGGACAAGAACAAAGTCGCGGCGAATAATTCGATCGCTCGAACGGCGAAAAGGAGAGAGGGAGAGAGGGAGAGCTACTGAACGCGTACGTTTTCGAATGCAGATGAGACGTGCGCGCGCTCACGCTCTTCCTTTCGCGAAAATGTTATTATCGTTAGAAAGTAAGAATGTACACGCCACGTTTCTGTAAGATAGAACATCTGTCAGAATCTCTCTCTCTCTCTCTCTCTCTCTCTCATGTTTTTAGCGTGAATGAGGCGCGAGACTTATTCAATTTCGAGCACCGCTCAATTTAGACGACAGGAAGCACTGACCGCAGGCAACTTTATTTTCTCATGACTCGCATGTATCGATAAGCATTACGTTAACACTGCTCGATTTTCAACGCGTATTTGATATCAGTGATTGAGCCTCTAAAATTTCAATTTCAAACAGACTTGATCTCTCTCTCTCTCTCTCTCTGAGATTGGACGAGTATGATTTTCTTATCAATTCGTTCATGCTTCACATGACGAATTATTCGAACGCAACGTTCGCGCGTAAGTATGATAATCATCGTATTGAAGAAAAAAAGCCACCACAGCGGCGATGGATAAAATTACAAGTAGAGAAAACGATGCCGCAGCGCCTTATTTTGCGTTGCGAGGCATCGATATACCATGAAGAGCCCGCCCATGAAACCCATAAGAACCATAGAGAACGTTTACTCGTGCGTGTCGATACAAGTTCCGGACTTTCTTATGTACGACGATGCACCGCGCATATCGCCCTCGAAATTTAATGCAATTTCAGTTCACGCACAGCGTGCATAGACTCACATACTTTTTCTCTCTCTCTCTCGCGTCTCTTCCATCGACTGATAATCCCTGTCGATCTCGCGTCGCCCGGCGACGCATTGAAATCACTAGCGTGATCGGCGCGATATCGCAATCTATTTTCTAGAAAGTCCGACTTGGCGATTTCCCGATTCGACGTCTGGTAGAAAGTATAATAATACACCGCCGTCACATACGCGGGAAATCTTTACGCATGAATCGCGACAGCGTGTCGACGGAAAGGAGCATTTCCGTGCTCGCTGCTTCCTTCCCACGAGACATTTCGCTCGATCCATCGCGCGTCCTGTCGATCGCTGATACACCGCGCCGACGAGGTTTCCAAAGCGTTTCTTTGGAAATTCGATCCGTTTTGTTTTCCTCTCGCACACGATAGAACGGAGGCTCTTGCGAAGGAAAAGATTGTAAAAAGAACGGAGCGTTCATAAATATTCTGCATAACCGTCTGAATCACACAATTATTATTTCGTTTCGCGAATGAAGCTATAGCAGAGATATACATCGAGCTATGAAATTGTACTTAACACCGACGCAGCGATCCAGCAGTTGCAGGCGTTAGTCAGGTGCGTTATCGCACTGCCGGTGATAACTCGGCCGATGAGTTCACCTGCAACCTTCGTGCTTTGCGCGAAAAACCACCCAGCGCGAGTGCGCGTTCTCGTCCGGCTACCGTCAACAAGTCGTGTTCGAGGTGTTTGAGAAATTCCACGCGACCCACGTTCCTTTTCGATTACAAACTAATAATTGTACGAGCATGACGTGCCCCGCTGATGCAAGCCTCGGTTATAACCTTGACGAACACCCATGCGTTTCTGCGCGAGGAACGCGCGAGGTGGACGATGCGTGTTCGCGAGAGCGGTTTACATCTCGTCGTCTCGTCGCGACAGCTTCACGGTATGCGCGGTAAGGAGAGACGAAGAGAAGAAGCATCGATACGAAAAAGATGGAAGGAGACGAAATTTTGTTGCACCTGCGAGACGCGATTTCTCCGGTTCTTTGTCATGGACGATCCGGCCCGTTCTCATTGAGCCTCGCGGAGGGTTTTCCTTTCTATGTCAAAGAAATCAGCCAGGCTCGACGATGTTCCCGCGTTTGGAGCGAGCAACGGCGAAATAACAACGTGAAAGCAGAATGGTGCGATCTGAACGAGACGAGGGCTCTCCTTCGTCGTCTCTCTTCGTCTCACGAGTGACAATGGTTCCGCGCGCGATCGATACGCGCAGTCGCGCGATGGAATCTACGTGTTGCATCTCTTCGGACGAAAACACCTGTTGCCCGCGCGAGCGTTGAGACTTCCGCATCGGGATATACATGTCCATCGAGCAATCGTGTGCTCAACGATGAATGAATGCCTCTCTGCTTTCTCAGGAGAGCATAAACTTCTCCGATCTCGCCTTTCTCAACGTCTGCCTCGTACTCTCTCTCTCTCTCTCCGTCTCTTCTCGTTTTAATTTTTCATCTTATCGCATTTCCAGCATCTCAATACTCGTCCTCTTCAGCCGAAATTGCTAAATTGCTGGATCGGTGTTAAGTACAATTTTACAGCTGGACTTCACTCGCGGAACGAAGTGATAATTGTGTGACGACCAGACGATTATGCAAAATATTTGCGAACGCTCGCGGAAATAGACCGGGAATAGCTTTCACCGAACCTGTATTATCCCCGTCTCGGTCACGTTTGTGGTAACCGGAAAAATTTTTTGTCGATTCTCGACAAGCATATTATATACCGGCATCGTACAGCGTCGTTTTATTTTATTTATCGATAATTCATCGGCGTTATCGGCTCGGTCAATTACGAATTAAAACTTAGGGGCAGCTCCCTTCACTTCGCTCACTCGCGAGTCGTGTTTTTAGCTAACGAGCCGCCTTGTGTTGCATACGGCAACTTTCATTTGAATTTTTCATCGCTTACGGCCAGCTCATTGGCTCGACGAGCCGCCGTCGTTTTTCCAACTGCGCGCGAGTACTATTGCACAACTCTCCATCTGAATAATCCGCTGTCGTCGACGGCGCGCATTAATCGCTTAAAGGGCCCGATCGTGAAGAATGCAAGTTCGTGCGCCGCTTTGAATGACAATCCACGTAATTTGGCCCGTTTCGAGAGAGAGAGAGAGAGAGAGAGAGAGAGAGAGAGAGAGAGAGAGAGAGAGAGGGAGAGAGAGATACATCTAAGAACACGCCGCGCGTTAATTCGTGACGCTGTCGAGACACCGTTCAGCTGGTAAATGCATTTCTGCATGCCCGACGCAACGTCAAGCGGCCAATGTTAAAAGCGGGCATTGCAGTCTGCTTATTTACGCTCGTTCGTAAACATTTATAAGCGGAAAGAAAATTTAATGTTACGCACACGTGTCGCGCAATAACGGTAACATGACGAAACAGGTTACTCAAGTTTGAGACTCTGTCTGCAAATTCCCCATTCTTTACTTCGCGAAAGAAATAATCGAAAATTACGGCAAGTCGTAAAATTGCGGAGCTAACTAACTAGATAGAAAACTTGAACTTATTCCCAGCTCTCTCTCTCTCTCTCTCTCTCTCTCTGCAATATTCTCTGATTTAGAGACCAACGCCAAGCAGAAATCGAGCAGTTTCGCTGACTTCGCTGGAGAATATATAAATTGTACGCCAATCAGACTCGCGATTATGCAAGTGTGTTATCTCTGGCGAATGCGATCGATATGACAGCTGTCATACTAGTCGAGTCGAGTTTGTATTCTTTAGGTGTTTATCCTCTCTCTTATGTAAAGTCTTACGCCATGGTGTCTTAACGGCACCACGACTATCGCGATAAAAGCCAACAATGTTGCCTCAGGTATCGGAAGGAAGTCTGCAAAAATAAGTCACATCGCATATCGCAGCGCCGCATTAGAATGCGGCCGAACTTATCGCGGAGAATCATGAACGTTGCGTTTCCGTGTGTCTTTATCGCCCCACACGGCTACTCGTCGATTATCCTCATGACGTGTTGAGCAGGACAGGAAGAATATTCATGCAACACCCGAGTTTCTCCATATCGTTCTGCCCACGAAATCGCCTTACGCCATATTCAGCGTTTTTAAAAAAGCATAGACGAATCGCGAGCGTGGCCTTCAGCAAACTTCCTTCCTCGATACTCAACGAGCGTACTTCTAATTTACCGAAGCGTTATGAACGCGTCACACAATTACGCGCGTAACACAGCGCTCGCTAAATACATAACACTTGACCAGCGTGAGAAACTCATTGATTTCGCGATACCTTGCGACGCGAAGGTTGATTGAACTTGAATGTAACGCGTTAATACGCTGAGCGAATGGACGAGACGAGCTGACAAATATACGCGTCGCGAGTTGCATTTGTTTAGCGTATCTTTGGTAAGTCAATTGAATTATAAAACTTGAATTATAAAACTAATTAAATTAATAAATTAATAAAAATCCAAAATTGTAAATTACCGTGACGTGCGCTTCTACCACGATTCATACGTCAGGATACGCAATTCTCCAGTTAAAATCTAGCGATGTTCCTGTTTCCAGGAATCGAGCAAGCGCGTTAGGATAAATTCAGCTAAAGCGCATTCTTTCCTCCGCAGCTCGCCATGTCATCGGCTCTCGAATGAAAGTACAGGGATTGTATTTTATGAATATAATACCGTCGATGTAACACGCTACTGTGCACACACGCATGATAAGCACCGCATAGAACGTCTTTTAAGTCGGCGGATAAACAAGGATAACACGCAAGGTGCAATCAGTTCGTGCGACGCACGAAGCGCGAGCCGTTCCTGCTGCCTCCGTCAGGATTGTATACGGTTAGTCGTGTGAGTACAAGAGAATCATTATGTGCAATTTATTGTTATCGCAGGAGGCGTGAGATGAAAATTATCCTGCCGCGATGGCATTCGGTGCCGTGTAACGGCAGTTTGAATAAAATATATATATAACGCATTTTTAAAGGCCGAGCGAATAAGTAAGAAGTGCAGTTGAAGTGGCGGAATGTCCTTTCTTTATCAATCGGACGTAATTGCGCGATATAGAATCGATTTCGAAGACAGGACATAGAATACGACGCAGACAGGACACGGAAGACGACGAGGTCGCTGAAAAATCCAAGTCTTCTGCTTCTTTGTTACTTCGCGCAGGCAGAAGCGCAGAGTTATCAGTTGCAACCGCGTCTCCTCATTCACGGTGATTGCTTAATGTCAGGAATTTACGCGCGCGCGCAAGCGCACGGAGCCCGTTAATCGGCGGCGATTTGCATGTTCGCCGAGGTCGCGTCCTGGTGTCGTAAAGCGCGCCGGTTACCCGAGGAATTATCGCCACGTCCTACTCGCAGGTAGCGACGGACTCGAGACACCGTGAGTCACTTCGAGTACAATAACGCGAGAGCCTCGAAGATTGTTCAGGGTGCGTTATTGGGAACAACAGATTCCGAAGACACTCTTCGGGCCGGCCGATTCTCCGCGAGTACATCGAGAGTCCGTCTGGCGGATCGGTCATTATCTCAATATAATCTACACAGGTCCTGTCGTACATACATTTACATGTCATTTCCCGTGCATACGTTATCAGCACATGGACATTCAGGATCTCTGAAAGCCTCGAGGCTTCCGGAAATTTTCTTCTCGGAGACATTTAATTTTCCTTTAAGGGGGGGGGGGATTATATGGGGAGCAGGCGTTTTCAAGGCTATTTTTACGAATTTTTTTTTAACAGGAACGGTAGGATCAATGGACTCGAAATTTTCACAGCGTATTCATTGCATGTTCAAAGTATAAAATAAATTTGTTACTGTCCATGTGAAAAGTACACATAAAACTTTAAACGCGTTTATCTGGAAACACCATTTTCTTAAATTGTCGACACAATTACGCAAATACTACTGAGCCAAATAACTTGAAATTTTTACACGATATACAGTAGACATGTAGTTTTCGCCCCTACCTCAAACATTTTTACACAGTTTTTCTTTTTACGTACATTTTATTTTATTCATTTTTTTTTAAACATGATTATAATTTGAAAAAGTCATTTCATTTTCGATACTTCTTTTTAATACAGTCATTATTTTTCCAAACTTGGCTTCATTGCCTTCATCTTGGTACGCGCTATAATGGCAACCGTATATTTTAAAAATCTTTCTCAGTTTTTGGTTTCAGAGTAGTGAGAGAGAGAGAGAGAGAGAGAAAGAGAGAGAGAGAGAGAGAGAGAGAGAGAGGCCCGGAATTATGTCGACAACAAACATGGAGCTTGCAAACGGATGACTGCATTTTTATCTATAATTATAAATAGGATTGCTTCTTGCGATTCAATAAAATTTATTTTATACTTTGAACATTAACGAATACACTGTGAAAATTTCAAGTCCATTGATCTTACCGTTTCTGTAAAAAAAAATTCGTAAAAATAGCCTTGAAAACGGCCTTGTAAACATAATTCCCGTCTTAAACCGAAGAGTGATATTCTCGGATCCTCGTCGCCTTGAGATTTCTGCAAATTCTCGAAGATTTTTCCTCCTTCGGATCCTCGTCGTTCTCGCAGAGATACACGATCGTGCGCGAGGACGGACACTCGCCGTTCGCGAGCATTCATGTGTGCGCCTCGCGTTCGCCTCCTACTTGTTGCCGGCGAGGAATGGCACGGTGCAGGCGACATAACTGTACGCGACCGAGCTCTCCCCAGCCGCCGCGACGCCTTCTCCTCGGCCGAGCCGAGGAGGTAAACCGCGACGGTGTGTGTGTGTGTGTATGTGTATGTGTGTGTATGTGCCGGTCGAGGAAACCGATTGCGATTTTCTCGCGGAGCGCGTTCTCGCCAAAGTAGAGGCGCGCGAGCGCGAGCCGTGAAAATAACAGAACGTAGTCGTCATGCGGCCAGCGCGGCGGTGAGCGCAAAATCGCGCGAGATCCTCTCGGACTCGACGACGACGCCTGCCACCGCGGCAGGATCGTTCGAAGTGGATTAGTGGGTCTCCATGCGCCGACCCTAAACCGTACGAAATGATTAACTCGCGCGAAAGTGCAGAGACGATCGGACGTGGAAATGACGACCGGAGCGCTCGAAATTAGAAGCGCAGTGGTGAGAATCCGAGCAGAAGTGCGCCACAATCGACTGCTGGCACATATCAGCAATAGTTTATTTACTAGATATAAGCTGAATAAGGGCCGATTATTCCAACTTCTTGGTAAATTAACTGATAGTCAGGTCATATGTCTGTCTTTGTCTAAATTGAAGGAAAAACAAAGACTTAATCAGTTAACTTGCCAAGAAGTTGGAACAACCGGCCCTGAGAAGTGGGGAACGAAGCTTTGCCCAGAAGAATCCAAGGCACGCGTGAAATTTTTGCGTTCCCGAACTCGACGGCGCGGCGAGTCGATGCGAGTCGGATCGAAATAAGGCAGCTTTCCATTGGACGCGGGTCCGCTGATTCCGGAGCTTGCGCGAAACACACGGCCGATCGTGGACGTACGCAAAAGGACATACGCATCGGCCGATCGGTGCACCGAACACTAAACGCAAAACTCGTTGAGTCAACGCGCTGAGAATGGGCGCGGCTCGGAATGTCGATCGTTCCGAAGGCTCTCGGGACGAGATGGCGAGAGGAGAGGAGAGGAGAGACACCCTGCGATCGCGAGACGCGGGAAAGCACGACGAGGAGGAGGAGGAGGAGGAGGAGGAGGAGGAAGAACGCCAGATACCGAAATGAGATTCCGCTAACGACCGGATAGTCCGATTTAATCAGCGCGCTCACCTGCCTGGAATGACGACCTCTCGAGTCAAGTATGAGACGCATAAACGACGGATTTCCTCGTGAGAAGTGAAGTACTCCACGATGGGCTTATCCCATCTTTCCCTCTCCCTCTCTCTCTCTCTCTCTCTCTCTGAATTAACGAGGAGTCACTGGTATTTTTGATGCCAGACTCGGCTTTTCTCCAGACGGAAAGAAACCGTCGGAAGTCTCGTTATCCAACGATCGGTACTTCTTTTTTCTCAGCGTGAAGCGCTCGAGCAGCGGGAACATTCACCGAAGTTCTCCGCATAAGAACGATCGAACGAAGATTGCTTCACGGCTGAGCATTCCACGACCCATTGTAGTACTCCCTTGCACATCCCTTCGCTCTTTTATCGCGAGTACCGCTGACATTCTCTCGGAGCAGATTCCACGGAAGGTTCGTGAGAACAACATCCGTCCGACTCTCAATGACCCTAGAGGGTAAACTTGACCTTCGACCTGTGCACGTTCACCCAAGACAAGGACGCGGCGGAAGGCACGGCGAATTCCACTTCCTATCTTCCCCTTCCCGGGGAGAGACGCATTTTTCTGAGGAGAAGGCGTCTCCCCGGTTGCGGTTCCCCGTGCGCTGATTAGCGGCGTTTTTTCATTTATAATGAACGTGGATTAATGTCTTGTAATTAATAGTAATCTTCGTAATGAAATCGTTATTTCTAATTACTCGGTCTTAGGCGCTGCGCACACGGATATGCAAAGCAGAAGCAGCTGATCGCGCGTTACCGGAATCCAAAAAGTTCATACGAGTTCAGAGTATCGACAAAAGCAGAAGGAAAGGACGCGCTTTCACGCGCAAGAGACTCAAGAAGTGCAACTACCGCAGCCGTCGGGTCCTTTTATGGCCTGCTCGCATCCTTAAGGATCGACGATGCGGAGGAAGTGGAAGAAATTATATTCACGAGCAACGCGCACCGGCTCTGATAACAGCTTCCAGGAGTAACGAGATCCGGATACGCTCCGACTTCGGACAGGAAGGTGTCCATTTTCATGTATCACATCAGAGCTCCTATCGATCTAATGGAAGCATGAATAAGGACTGCGCCGGGGGCGCATCAGGAGCACGGCCGAGCCGAATTAGTCACGAGAGCGACGTTACTCCGCGACGAGAAGGTCGTCGTTAGAATTCTGTCGTCATCATCGTCATCATCATCATCGTATCGTCCCACGCTTTCCTCTTTGATCTACCATCGATGCCTCTGCAGATTACGTGTTACGAGCGACGCGACGCGACACGAATTCCTGTGACGTCGAAACAATCTCCATTTTCGTCCGACCGAGATCCGGTCATTTAAAACGACGCGCGCATAATTTCTCAGAAGATTTCTCGTCGTCAGAGGTTTATTGTCGAACAGGAACAGGTACCAAAAGGTATCCTTCTGACTGCTGAAGCTCGATGCGTCGAGCGACGACAGACGACAGAAAGATACGTGGACGGTAATTTCGAGTACATACATCACGAGGAAAAGCTCGCGAGAGCCGGGAAATCGCTCTCGTTTCGCGCGAATTCGAGAAGAATTTCTCCTGATAAGCACACTCGGCGCGCACCTGCCGCGCGCGCAGTCGGGAGAGTTTGTTTCAAGGTAGAGAGAGTTTCAAACGAGAAAGACGAGAGCGCGCACACCCTGTGCGCGTGCGTAACGTGAATAACAATGCATGAATAATTCACTTTGTTTGCGCTGCGCGCTGCGAAGCGGCAGCCTCGAGGAGCGAGTTCGCGCTTATAAATATCTTTCGTCAACTGTAAAACCGCGACGGGGGGAGGGATCTATCTGCAGCGCGAGTGTGCAAACGCGCGTAGGAGCGTGAATTAAATTCGCGCGATACGCGCTCGCACACGAACCTGCGGCCGTGTATCACGTGCGTCATTACACTTTCGCAACGCGCAGTCGCGAGCTATAGAATTGACCGCATTATCCGAGGTATTTGTCCGTCGACACGGATAACGAGTGTCTCTTTCCACTCGGCCACTTCCGAAGTAATGTTCTTCCAATTCCCCTTTCCCGCGGCGCATTATTAGCCCCGTCTAATCGAGCCGCGTCTCCGCGGCGGCGTTCAAACGGGAATAGATCAGCCTCTTTAGAGACGAGAAATTTATCAGAGTCGGCAGAAATTGACTTAATCGCGAGTATTACTTAAGGAATTTCTCTTTTTCCCGTTATGGAATTTTGCGGCGAGTATTCTTCATTCACCATAATGCCCGTCGTATTTTGTCGACGACGAGCAGGAATTCTGCACAATTTCGACTGAGCAGGAAAAATTCAACATGTCTGTGGACGTCGCGCACGTAACACAAAAGCAGCTCAAGCTCTCGATCGGACATTCATTTACTTTCCACGTCTCCCGAAAGGCACGCACTCCGCGTTGGCCGCGTACGGACCTTCAACTCTCACGCCGCGTCCTTTTCCTAGCGCCGCAGGAAGAGCTCGCTGCGCGGAGCTCTGGAGTGTTTCCTGAAGATTCGAAGCGTCATTCGACCCGCGGTCGAATTTCTCCAAGTGCCACTTAAGGAACGCGCGCGCTCCTCGCGCTTCTCGCTGATAAAATTAATTACATGAGTCGACCGCTTCGCGCTCGCGAAAGGGGACGAAAAGAATCACGCGCGTCTCACCGACTCTCTCCGCTTATCCGTGTCCATCATCGACACCTTCTCGCTCTTCTCTTCTAGACCTACGAACCTGGATCTGGGCGCGCTTGACCTCGGTGTAGAGCCAGTTGTCCGTGGAGAAGGCGATCGCCAGGAGGGCAGTGGCGATTATACCGGTTATGGTGGCGAGGGACAGCGTCACCGCGGAGCAGGGCATCTTGCTACTATCCGTGAGTCTCTTTCTTCTCTCTTCTGTCTCTCTCTCTCTCTCTCTGTCTCTCTATCTATCTTTCTCTCGCTCTCGCTCTCTCTATCTCCTCGCGATGTGTCCCCTCGGCCGGTTGTCTTCCGTTAGCTTCACCTCACACTCAACCGCAACTATACCACCGAGTACGTAGTGCTGGCGCTACTACGGACATCCGCGTGACGAGCGCAGGAAAAGCTGCGAAGCGTGCTGCACGACGAAGAGAGGAGTTGGACCGCGATAAACGCTCCGGACGAACTCGGCGAACGTCTTGCGCTCTTCCTTCCTTTCGTTCTTTCTTTCGATCTCGCGGGAGAGCAGCACCGCTACGAGAAAATTGAATACGATGACGACGACGGGGAATTCGACGAGAGAGACGAGTTCGAATCGGCCACTGACAGGGCGGGGTGAGGGATGGTGGTTTGCCGAGGGGGATACCCTTCGGGTTTATTAATCGTGCGTCGAGAGTGGCGCGTACTTTACCGTCCTTCAGGGTGCGCGCTCGTTCGCGATGCACATCACAATCACCATTCTCTCACAACGGCAACGACACTAACGGCTCAACCGACTCACCTCGAAGGAAAGCCGAGGGAGCCGAGAGAGCGAGGAGAGAGAACCGGACTCCAGGTGGGGATGGACGTAGCCTCGGGCATAGGCAGGTATATTACCTGTGTTTTACCTGCAGCGGTGCTCAACGTGCGCACGCACGCACGCACGCACGAGTCGACCTGTTGCTGCTGCTGGTGGCACCTTCGACGGAGCCTCCGACGCAGGAAGGATGCAGCCGCGAGGAGAGAAGCGGCGTATGTTTATTTCGGCAACGCCGAGCCGGCGTCACTAGCTACTTTTTCGCAGAAATTCCTCAGCGCTCCTCTCCTCCCGTGGGTCGCGTCCTTCCCCATAGCGAGCACTGAGCACCTGACCTGGCGCGATGTCGATGTGCTGTCCGACGTGCTGTCGTTGTCGTTATATAAAAACACGCCATGCTCAATAATCAAAACGGGTAGAGTTACTGCAAGCTCGAATTTCTTAACGAGGGTGGGAACGTGACGAGAAATCGAATTCTTCCGTAACCGTCGCAAACAGCTCTGAAAATTAAATTCTTCAACAGTACTCATTGTTTTCCATTCTTGTCGTGGTATTTTGCATTATGCACTTGTGCTGCGTTTGAAGTCCCGATGACATTTGCGTCAATCTCGGGACTTTGTTAGGAATTTTCAACACCTATTGCAGAGCCACGAGTGCGATAGCAATTTTTCTAACAGGTGCTTCCGCAAAAGTAAACACTGCTTCCTGTCAATATGAAAACATATGTTTATCTGTTAACGCGCTACCGCTACAGCCGGTTCGTGAAAACTCGTTTGGACGTGGTCGAGGTAAAAGCTTAGGAAAGTCGTAAACGTTCTACGGAATGAGAACAGTTTCTTCGAGGCCTGTGTACCTGCATCTACGAACCGCTCCTGCCTTGTCCCTGCACCAAACGATCCCACCACCGTGAGATAAACTCAGCATAAACGCTGGTGGAAAGCGTAGGATTCTTCGCATTCTGTGAACTCTTGAATCGCTCACGATTTCACAGGGTGTCGCTGCCGGAGAGGGAAGCGTTACCTTACTCTCGTAGATGTTTCTCGAAAGGAAATCTTATCATGGGGGATTTATTGTACGCTAACAAAAGAAACATTGGCTGACGCTGGTCTCGAATCGAAATAATTTTGAGATTTTTCTCATCTGCGACCTTGTGAGGTCTCTCTTTAACGCATTATGAGAAAGTGAAAGAATTCAAAGGAAATAAATATTTAGAAAACAAAATTACAAAGACCGTTTGATATAAATTACTTTAACAAGTTACTAAACGACTTGATGATAATGATAAGTTCAGTCTATAAAACTTACACAATAGCAAATAACAGTTAGAGAGAACTCTCATATTAAAGGTAAAACAATATGTATTAATATTTGAGAAATGTACACACGTATATAAATCGTCTAGAATTGACGCACGCACGCTATACATATACACACGCACACAAAAGTATTGTAAAATTATTTATAAATATATTACACAATTTACAAATTTAATTTTGCATCTTCTAATATATCTGACATGCGTTCAAATTTGACGCGGATGAACGTAATAATTAAGAGTGTATGATACATCAATTAAATTTTACAACAGAAGGATCATAATCTGTACCTTGAAAAGGTGATCCTTTAGCATTCCATGCTTGTTTCAGAGTAGCTTCCATCTTCTACAAATACCATTTGTGAATTAGTGGAATAAATATTTGTTGTCTTATGGTACTAGTTTATGATGATTTATAAGTTTAAATCTTACAATTTGTTCAGACGTTGGTTTGCCCATCAGTTTCTGTTGATGATTCCACATCAATTCCTGCACTTTCATTTGTTCCTCCTGTGCCATATCGTCGAAATTTTTTATGCAATCAATTTTGCTTAATTCAATTTTTGGCTCATCTACTGCCAATGCTTCCCACCATCTTCCAGTAGTTTTCTCAAGATGAATCTATAAGTGAAAATGAATAGTTATATACCACAAATTAGATATATGTTGAATAATATTCCAAAAGTAATTATACACACATATATATATATATATATATATTACAGACATACACTGATGTGTTTTCCAGATACAATGCTCCATACAGATTCATCTTTTCGAACCTTGAAACTAAGTTTGCTATCAAAAATGTTATTCCATTTGAAATCTTTTGTAGAACCAAAAGGCTTGATGTCAATTTTTATCTCATCTGAACCAATATTGACTTTAATCTGTTTCGGTGTCTTTATATGTTCTGGTATTTTTATTAATACATCCAAGTCATCGAGAGTTTGGGTCCAAACATAATTTTCTCTTATAGCGCCATTGTAACTATCAGAAGTATTATCCATTTTGACAGATTGTGTAGAAACATTAGTAGGTACATTAATGGTATTAGGCTCATTGCAAGAATCGATCTCAATTTCTTGAGCAACTGGCATATTACAACTGTAATTTTCATCATTTTGTGTCAAAGTTAATTCATTTGATTCAGATATATTGTTGCTGATTATATTAGGCATAATTTCTTTTAAAGTTGGTGAAGCATTTTTCCATTTGCGCATGCTATTCAATACAAGTTTCTCTGCCATTCCAGGTGAGAAGCCCAACCCCTTTTGTTCCAAGTTAGATTCAATATAGAAGTCTGTGCTAATATCATAAAATATTATAAAAAATCTGATTTTGAAAAAAATATCTGAGGTATTAGAGATAACAAATATTGATATTCTTAGTAGCATACTCACCATCTATATAAAAATCCAAAAAAGATATCTAGGAAATTAACAATGTTCTTTTCCTCATGAAGTATTCGTAAAAATACTTGATCGTGATCTGATGCCATAACTAAACAAAGATGCAACCAAATCCTACAAAATACTTTCTGTCAATAAAGAATAAATGTTTAAATATACAATGTAAATAATGAAACTTACTTTGACAATTTATTCACTTGAATCAAGATACAATTGCTTTAAAGCGAAAATCAACTTGAGGTAAACATGTAACAATCATGTGGTTTCTTTTTTTATGTAGTTGGATGAGATTTAATATACAGATTATAACATTATATTAACATTAATTTGCTAGCAATGTGTTAATGATTATAAACAGTAAATTATACCATAAAGAATATTAATATTTATAATAGTAATAATATTGCAAATTATGTTAAATTATTTATATAACAATGACATATAATTATCATTTCTCTTTTCTGATATCACATACACACAACATGAAATATTTGATTCGGTTATATAATAATAGGTTATTGTTTCCTCTTAAATATTGTCATGAAAATTATATTTTGATTTATTTATAATTAATATTTGTTTATTAAATTACATTCATTTATATACATATATCTATATGCACGTAACGCATCGTATCTATTGTTTATTTTAACTGTAACTCTTGTACCTAAAGTACATTCAAAAGTGTAGGAGCTGTTTAGCAGAGGCCGTGTTCTAAAATTCACTGCCAGCGCTAAAAAGTTATAGTTTGCGTGACACAAACTATATATTTTCAATATTGGCAGTGAATTTTGGAACACGACCAGAGAGGAACCTGAGAACGGCCAACGAAGGGTGTTTACGATAAATCGAGTTCGAGTTAGTTCCACTAGGACTGAAAGGTATGATAGGCACGACCATCTACTATCTTCATGATTTATGACAATTCAATGCTGCCCGATAAATCGAGTAGAGTAGAGTAGGCTAACTTAGCAGTGTTCGTGCGAGACAATCAACAATATTTTATCATATAATAAAGTTTTGTAAAATGTTAAATAATTACATTAAAAAACAATAAGTTGTTAAATTTTAGAAAAATTATAAATACTTATTTGAAGTAATTATAAAAATATATATTTGTAGAATATTCGAAGTAGGAAATTCAATTATTCTAACCTATTTATGAATATTCTTTTCACATTATCTATTTTTGCAGAACAAAAGTTCTCTTTATAAAATATAATACATGCATGTATATGTATTATATTTAGATATTTAGATAGTAGAGGGTCTAGTGTTCAGGTACTGTTCAGAACAAATGTGAGGTTAAGATAACTTTTATTACGAATAACACATCTTTATAACATTATAATTTTTAAATACATTAATTTTTTTATTTTATAACTTGGAAACCACATACAAAATAATTTTACTTACTTTTAATATTACAGTTTGTAGCCAGACAATTTTATTGTATACAACGCGGTAAACACAAGTTACATACATGCACATATATATGTATACATTGCCGCCATGTTTTTACAAAACTAGGCCGAGTGGCCAGACTCTATGTTTTAGGGACACTAGTCGTGCCTATCATACCTTTCAGTCCTAGTGAAACTAACTCGATTTATCATAAATACCCACGGCGTTTTCGGTGACACCGACTTTCCGCATTAGAAAAGGGCACCATCTGTATCCATTTTGAGAGAGGAACTATGATGTTACATCCACTTTCAGGTCCAAGCGGCAAAACCTGCATGTGGTGGCAGTCCGGGCTACATCCACTTTCAGGCGGTTTATGTCCGTGCTACAACTATAATAGCGTACTTTACAAGCACAGTCTTGCAAATTTTTATGCGTTTGTAACATGAATTAACATGTTAATATGCGCAAAAGAAAAGAAGAATTAAAATTGTGTATAATTAATATCATGAAGATTATATACGATATATATCGTATAAATATATGATGTCCGGTAATTAGCTGCCAACCCGAAGTGTGAAGGTAGATTGGGTTAAGACAAAGCTAAAAGTCCTATACCGTTTTGCAAGATTGGCAATAATTATCGAGTTATTAATTATAGAAATCTGACGTATGAGCGCACCCTATAATAAATACGCAGAAGATTCGATGTATTTTATCTGGATCATTAGAATCGTCGAATATAGAAGACTGGAGACCAGTTACTGCTGCAGTTAGAGATGCAAGCATTTACAGCAGTAATGCTAGAAATGGGAATTATAAAAAGGTCAAATATACGTTGATATTGGATCGAAAATTCGCGATGCATACCATGATTTCGGAAAGTGTTATCAAAAAACAGATTTCAACAGATTTTGAGATACTTTCACTTGGTTGATAATTCTCTATGTTTTCCACCTGACTACGAAAAGTACGCTCCGCGCGCAAAATTTGAGTCACTTGTTAGACATATTAACAGAGTTTTCAAACTATATCACACACCGCATAAAGAATTAACAATGGATAAATCATTAGTTGGGATACTGGGTCATTTCAATATAACCCAAATAAAAAACATCATCGTTGGAGCATCAAATTTTGGGTGCTTTATGATGCACCGTCAAAATATTGTTTAACTTTTTATTGCTACAAAGGCGTAAAAATACAAACTAATGGTGATTAATGGTGATATAAACCGACGTAATCAGCATGACATTTGAATCAATAGAAAAGAATGTTTACATACAATGGTTAGCAGTATATCTAATGATTCACGCAATTTCTTACCTTGTTTTCTCAAGATTTGTTCCATTTTTCTTTTACTTATATTTAACTACACCTTTCCAAAGAGAATAAGCAAAAGGTGAAATAAATTGTTAAATTATAAACTCCGGTAACTATAATTTTATCAAACCGCAAATCTAAAATTTAAACATATTACATGGTATATTACATAGATATTTAACTATATTATACTATATTATACTATATTATATTATATTATACAATATCTATATAACTATATATGCATAATTATACAGTAATATATATTATTATCATGTAATATATAATGTGTATGTTCAAACACATGTAAATAAAAAACCTGAGAATTTAGGAATAAGCTGATAATAAAATATGATGAAAATGCAATTATAAAACATAGATATCACAATTTTAAACATAGACAACCCAATTTACTTCCCAATTTACAACAGGCTTCAGTTCGGCCACTTTGATTATTTAAATTTTATCACATGTTGTAAACTCGCTCATTCAGAAATTATATTTTTTCCTTTTTTTATTCCACTATAAACGTAAATCATATTTTGCATTTTCTTAATTCTTTTCTTTTGAGCTCGTTCTATTACAAATATGTCATCTATTTTTACTTTTAATAACTGGGCATTATCTTGTGTAAAGTTTGTAATCTGGAATAAATCATTTTGATAAGTTCATAAGAGATTTCAAATTCATTTTTATCCATAACTTCTAACTTTGACGAAAAATTAATTATCACATGTATTGCGTGTTTGAAAATGAGATGTGGGTTAATTAAGAATATTAAATGCAAAGCAAACAGAAAATACATACTATATCAAAATGGTCATCTAAATATACATTCATTATCATATTGCCCAACAAATTTGTGTTTAAAAAACTGTCTTGCCTCCTAGAAATAAAAAAATAATCAAATAAATCATTAATAGAAGTTCTGATCTCTCGCGATCAATCGCTGCAAGTACTTATAAAAGAAACAATCACAAGTTTATTTTAAAATAATTTCTTATGTAGTATTCCAGAAGATCAGGGTTCCTTATGTGCTTTTTTATGATAAGAAGATGAAGTCCAATTTCGTCGTTATGCAACAGCACATTTTTCATCGTCGAAGACGATATTTCATTCCTATACTTTATGATAATCTGTACATCATCCGAGCAAAACAAGTACTTCAACATATCTATATCCTTGGTAATTTTGTATTTTTCAAGCAGTATCTGCGCTATATTTTCGTTGGCCAAAATCATGCCGGCACTATATACCCAATCCTTCCACCATGGTTGAAAGATGCTATATATATAAAAAATGTGTATCAAAAATATCAACTATTAGCGAAGTTTAAGTTTAAATCGTGTGACCGATCCAACATATGGTGTAACAGGTAATAAAGAAATATGTTTAAGAAGATCAATATAGTGTATAAAGGACTTACTTTTCATTATTACGATCGGAGAGATATCTAGACAATTTTCTCGCAGCAACTCTTTGACACTTCATATCCCCTAACTTGCAAGCCCATCTTGTTGCTAATAATCTCAATGTCTTCTGCATATTGTCCTCACCATCTCTTTCTTCGTATTCCAAATGTTCAAGCAAGCGGTCCAACATTAGACGTACACGATCCTAGGTTACGTGAAGCAATATTGATATCACATTAATATTGAGATGACAGTTTGAACAGTTTGATATGACAACGTTATAATTTAATTTTAATACCTCGCGTTGTTTATTAGGAACTGATATTTATATGCATGTATAACTATGAATATGTATGATATATATCTGAACATACATAAATATTTTTAGTAACAGAAATAGTCCATTTCATATTTTTCCAAATTATTTATCTTTAATGTTATAAAGTTTTCTTGTTTATAATCGGTGTAGACTAGGCATCGCCTAATTAACTTATTTGACGAATTTCGATATTACCTACCTTCATAAGTTCCGCTTCCGGATGATCCCAAACAGGCCACATGAACGATAAAATATTGAACATCGGATACCAGGCTATATAATTTACATCGTTCTTTAAATAGTTTGCAAGACCCCAAAATATGGTCGATGACACGTAACCTTGTGTCATAAAATAATACGCATCATCAATCAATTGCGCGCGATTACGGACATCTATTTTATTATAACCATCAGTGTTTAAGAAGTTTTTAATTGAAAGCCAACTGTGATAATCGTAATTCACGCGAAAGTATCCTGTTGTAAATTAAATAATCATTATATTATTTCAGTTATTAATTTACATTTGTATTTACCGAATAATGTTACAGAGATAAGATAAAAAATGTGTTGGGTATGAGAATAAGTTTCCGCTCGTTTTAAATACAAATTAATCGTTTATTTAAACAAAAAAATACAAAATGATTTTATTCAAAGTACGTCCCATTGGAAGCGACAACTTTCTCCCATCTTTCAGGTAGTAAACTGATTCCTCGAAGAAAAAATCAGATTCTTTTGATTCGGTCCATTCATTAAGCCATTTTTCGATACCTTTATGAGAAGTGAACTGCTCTGCAGAAAGGGCCGATTGCATGAACCGGATTAATGGAAATCCGAAGGAGCAATATTTGTTGAATACGGCGGGTGGGGCAAGATTTCCCTCAATTCAATCCTTCCAAATATTTTTGGACCGGTTTTGCAATGTGGGGCCTAACGTTGTAATAGAATCAGTTTGTTGTGCCTATTATCCCATTTCGGTCGTTTCTCTTTTAAAGCTCGGTTCAAACGTATTAACTGCATTCGGTAACCCAGTGGTTTCGGTTTTAGAAGCTCATAATAAATAACGCCCTTCTGATCTTACCAGATGCATAACATAACTTTCGAACCGTGGATATTCCATTTTGAAGTTGATGGACCTGGTTCACCTGGCATTAGCCATGATTTCTCAGTCGTTTGGAGTTGTCGTAGTAAATCAATTTTTCATCGCCAGTGACAATTCGGTGCAGAAAACCCTTCCTTTTTTGTCTTTGAACCAGCAATCTCGCACGTCACCAAACGTCTTTCAATGTCTCTCTCCTTCAATTGATGTGGCACTCAATTTCCTGATTTTTGGACCATTTTCAATGCATGTAAACGTTTTCCGACTGTTGATCTATCAACATATAACTCGCATGAAAAATCTTCGAGCGTCCAACTCGAATCTTCTTCGAGTAAATCTTGCAGTTGTGCATCTTTGAATTTTTTAGGTGTCCCTTCGCGTTCTCAGTCGCTCACGTCATAATCACTTCGAAAATGCCGAAACCACTCTTTACACGTGGTACCCGACGGAGCATTATCGCCGTAAATATCAACAAGCATTCGATGCGTTTCAACAGCACTTTTATTCAGAATATAGTAATGGAGTAACACTTCTCGCAAATGCCGCTTCGTTGGGATAAATGTTTCAACGCGAAAAAAAATGATGTTTATGCTTCAAACGAATGTCTACTACTGCGATTCAAAGCTCACAAATACACCTTCAAAACACAAATATAGCCGTTTCATCAAACATGAAATTAGTATCACTAGCAATACCTTTCTGAAAAGGCCGGAAACTTACTCCCATACCCAATATTATGTTAAAGTTGTTTTTCGCTCTAAAGTGACAACGTCACGATCTTATCAGGTATGTAAATATGAAACCGGAATTTTTGTATAGAAAATACACGTTTATTGTATGAAGATGATAAAAAATATTTTATTCGAAGTATTGCCCATCGCTAGCTATACATTTTTCCCACCTGTCTGACAGTTTGTGGATGCCACGCCAAAAAAACTGTTGCTCTTTTGAGGCAAACCAGTCATCGAGCCATTTTCGTACATTTTCGTAAGAAGTGAAGCGCTGCTCAGCAAGTGCGTGTCCCATCGATGCAAATAAGTAGTAATCGGACGGAGCCAAGTCTGGTGAGTAAGACGCATGCGAAAGTATTTCCCAACTAAACGCCTCAATCGTTTCCTTGACTAGTTTTGCTGTGTGTGATGGTGCATTATCATGAAGCAAAATCACTTTGTGTTGCCTTTTTTGATATTCTGGTCGTTTTTCACGTAAAGCTTGATTCAAATCGATCATTTGTTGTCGGTAGCGTTCAGTATGAACGGTTTCGCCAGGTTTTAGCAGCTCATAATAGATCACATCCTTCTGATCGCGCCAAACACAGAGTATTGTCTTCCGTCCATAGCGATTTGGCCTTGCAGTCGATGTCGATGGTTCGCTTGGAGTTACCCATGATCTTTTACGCTTAGGATTCTCAAAATATATCCATTTTCATCGCCAGTCACAATTCGATGGAGAAATGACTTTCTTTTGTATCTGGCTTGCAGCATTTCGCAAGTGGTTTTTCGGTTTTCCTGCTGTCTCTCATTCAGTTTATGTGGAACCCATTTTCCCATTTTCTGGATCTCTCCCATGGCTTTCAAACGTATGGAGACGGCTTCTCGTGTCACATTTAATTGATCCGCGAGTTGTTATTACGTTTGAGCGTCATCCTCATCCAACAATGTTTGCAACTCGCTGTCTTCAAACTTTTTCGGTGGTCTTCTACGTTCTCACGTCAAAATCGCCATGTTTGAATTTTTTAAACCACTCAAAGTACTGTGATTTACCAAGAGCATGCTCACCGTAAGCTTCGACAAGCATTCGATGCGATTCTGCAGCAGTTTTCTTCAAATGGTAACAGAAAATCAATGCTGTCCGTAAATCGTAGCTTCCAGGCACAAAATTCGACATGGCCAATACTATTACAAACTATGCCGTCGTATGAAACTTGTATTGTTGTGAGTTGAAAATCTTTGTTAGATGTCAACAAATGGAAATGACGCCAATGACGCGGTTTGACGGTAACTACATTGACAGCTAGGGCCATCTATGGGCAAATTCCGGTTTCATATTTACAGACCTGTTACATGGTATATATACACTCACCATTATGATTAACATTAAATATAACAAAATTAATATTCTCTTCTATCGGTAGGTTAATAGTTACAATGTCAGAACTTGTTATCCAAATATCATTGATGATAGCACCCATGGAGTGATATAAAATATAAGTTATTGGTACCATCCATGTAGATTTTGTCATGCTGACACTATGAGTGATATTTAACATCATTGTGTTATATCCACGATCCTGAAAGACTTGCACAACAGGATAGTGTCTTTGAGTTAACCACGTATCCATCATTTCTTTAATTTTAAACTTTTCATTTTGTTTGTTATCAAGTACACGTTGAATGGTGATCCAGAAATTATAAGGAGTGGCTGAATAAAACATACTATAAAGAGAAAAATTCAACATTTGCGTGTGTGTACGAAATTTGTGAATTTTACAATATAGATACTGAACACATTTTTATTTAACCACGTGTTCAGTTAAGCCTTTAACGTAAATGCATAAATATTGTATACGGAAAATCTGTGTAATAAATAATATACCCCTTTTTAACCCAATTAATTAGTAAATATGTAAAGATATAAATTTAGAATAATATCAATTCTGTCGTACACATAGTTACCCTTAGAAACAACGCTTGAAAGCAAAGTATATAATGATGCTACAATATGCTACTTACAATTTATCCAAATATGTTTCGACCGCTAGTTGAAATTTATCCCGTGTGATCATATGCTCTATCATGCGTAAAAGAGCAAAACCTACAAATTAAACAATGCGATGAAACATAATAAGTTTATGTAGTTTAAATAGAGTAAGGACCAAGTCTCATCATTTATATGGTATTTCCTTTCGAGGATATATAGAATGTCCCATTTTCAAGGACTCACTCAAATATCTCAAAAACACTGCGTTAAATCGAAAAATACTTAAGACAAAAGTTGTTTGGTTTGAAGGAGGACATGAGAAAGCGATAGCATTTGGTTTATAGATGGCTCCACTTTCGAAATATTTACTGATCATCAATTTTCTTAAATAGAAATCCCAATTTTCTATTATATCATCTTTTTCTACCAATTAATTTGAACAACTTTTGTCTGAAACATTTTTTTATTTGCTTAATATATTTTGAGATATTTAAGGAAAACTTGGTAACATTTCCAACATTTACCTTACGATATCTCGCTAACTATTCGTCGAAAGAGAAAATATTAGTAAATAAATAGACTAGTATTAGACTTTTTTACTTTATTTATTATCAAGAATATACTACTATAATAGTGCCATAACTTTTATTAATTTAATAATTTTGAAATTTCCAAAGGTCGACAAGTTAACAAAAGTTAGGGCACGATTATAGTAATATATTCTTGATAATAATTAAAGTAAAAAGGTTTAATACCATTTTTCCTTTCGACGAATAGTTAGTGAGATATCGTAAGGTAAATGTTGGAAAAGTTATCAAGTTTTCCTCAAATATCTCAAGAAATAATAGGCAAATAAGAAAATGTCTTAGACACAAGTTGTTCAAATTAATTGGTACAAAAAGATAATATAATAAAAGGTTGAGATTTCCATTTAAGAAAATTGATGATCAGTGAATATCTCGAAAGTGGAGCCATCTATAAACCAAATGCTATCGCTGTCTTATGTCCCCCTTCAAGCCAAACAACTTTTGTCTTAAGCATTTTTCGATTTAACATAATATTTCTGAGATATTTAAGTGGGTCCTTTAAAATGGGACATCCAGTATATGTATATATTTTTTTTTAAATCTCCAGTTAAACACTTACCTTTATTATAATACCAACGAGAACCGAGTATATCAATTTCATCCGCGATCTGTATGTTGTATTCGGAAAGAGGTGTCATCCCAAAGTTAGTTTCATAGTGAAGAGTTGTCTGAAGAATTTGGATTGCATAGAGTTGTATTAATGGTAAATGCTCTGCTTTTGCAACTGTTGCGCCGAAAATCTAGAATAAATTATCATGATATAACGAATCTAAAATGCGAAAAAGTACACGATTTAAGATTAAACAAATTAGTAGACCATATTCCAGTAAACATAAATACATAATGGCTATTATTGCAATACAACAAAATATAGCACGTAATACGAGGTTTGATGAAAAAGTAACGAGAATTTTTAATTTTCTCGGAAAGTATTTATTTAATCTTCAATGTTTATCGCATCTTCTTTAAAGTAGTCCCCTTGTGATATTATACACTTATGCCAACGTAGTTTCCAGTTTGAGAAATATTGGTGGAACGCCTCTTTAGGTATCGTTTTGAGCTGGATCTGCGATTTCGCCTTTATCTTATCTATCATTGTTGAAAAACATTGTCCTTTGAGTGTTCTTTTGAGTTTGGCGTTTGAACAAGTCTGAGTCATCAGCGACGTCAGTAAGCATTTGTTTAACGATGGTTATGCGATGCTGTTTTTCTTGAAAATTCAGCAGTTTCGGAACAAATTTTGCTACCACTCATTTTATGTCCAAAACATTAGTAAAAATCGCTTTGCATGAGCCGTATGAAATTTCTATTTCTTCAGCAACCTTTCTAATGATTAGCAAGCACAATCTCTTCAACTTTTCCCACGTTTTCATCACTGGTGGACGTGCTATGACGCCCAGACCTCGCCAGTCATCTTCGATGTCTTCTTGGTGTTCTTGAAAGCGTTTGTACAATTCATAAACTCGTGGTTGTGACATGGTATCATCGCCAAAGGCCTTTTTGAACATTTTGAACGCTTCGCTGCACTTAATTCCGTTTTTAACACAAAATTTCATATAAACTCTCTGATCCGACATTTCGCTACACAAAAAGTCGCCAAACATACTAAACGTCTTGCTCATTCGCTCGCCAAACACAAACTATGCGTCGCAGCTGCTTGAAAATTGACACGTTCGTCTCTGATAATGCTACCAACACATAAAAAAAGAATCAACTGAATAGACAAGATACAGCGCGCGCAATTTCAAAATTCTCGTTATTTTTTA